GCCATCTCGCCATGATTCCATTGATCAATATGTCGATATTGATTGAACAAATATCGAGTATTTTTGAATATATTCATTCTTAGATTAGTTCTAATGTTATCTCACCATGATTTTATTGATCAATATGTCGGTATTTATTCAACAAATATCGAATATAATTGAATAGGTACATCTTTAGATTTGTTCTGGTGTCTTCTCACCAGGATTTCATTGAGAAGTATTTCGATATTGATTGAACAAATATTGAATATTATGGAATATATTGATGATGAGATTAGTTGTAATGTCATATCATAATGGTTTCGTCCAGAACGATTTCGCCATTGTTTCAAGAAATGTCGAATATTATTGAATATATTGATAGTGAGGTTTTTTCTAATATCATCTCATGATGATTTCAATGTGAAATATTTCTATATTCCTTCAACAAATATCGAATATTGTTGAATATATTCATGGTGAGATTAGTTCTAAGATATTCTGATCATGATTTCATTGATAAATATTTCGATAATGATTCGAGAAACGTGGAATATTATTGAATATATTGATGGTGAGAGTCGTTATAATATGAGCTCATCATGATTTATCTGAGAAATAGTTCGACATTGATTGAACAAATATCGAATATTATTGAATATATTCATGCTGAGATTAGCTCGAATATCATCTCGTCATGTTTCGATTGAGAAATAGTTGGACATTGATTGAAAAAATATCGAATATTATAGAATATATTCTTTTTTAGATTTGTTCTAATGTAATTGCATCATGATTTCATTGAGAAATATTTTGATATTGGTTTAACAAATATCGAATATTATTGAATATATTCGTTTTTAGATTAGTTCTAATATCATCTGCTCATGATTTCATTGAGAAATATTTCGGTATTGATTGAATAAATATCGAATATTATTGAATATATTCGTGTTTCAATTAGTTCTTATATCATCTCATCAGGATTTCATTGAGACACATTTCGATGTTGATTGAACAAATATCGAATATTATTGAATATGTGCATCCTGAGTTTAGTTCTAGTGTGATCTCATCATGATGTCATGAGAGTATAGGAAATTCCTATTTCCTGGAAATTCAAAATGTGCTGCGCACTATAAATAATTTGTAGCACGTAGATAGAGAGGTGCATACAAGCGATGTGTTTCGTTTAGATTTTATCAAGCGATTTGATTGACTTCAATATAATGGAACTCTCTTCTATATATCAGTATCAATACTGTCTGTATCCATATGAATATGTATAGATTGTATGCAGATTTGGTGGGATGGGTTGGGAGCAGTAAAGATAAGTACATCTGCACAAAATACATTTTGTAGATGTATATATGTACTATATACTTCTAGCTGCAACTGATTGAATTAGATTAAAAAGGATACCGTCGGATTTCATAGGAAGTCTGCTACCCTCTTGTTTTTAAGCTTAATGGTTTGTAAAGATGTAGCTTGAAATTTGTCATATTTCTATTTATTTGGTTTGGTTGCAATTGAATGATAAAATAGTTTTTGGAGTTTAATTAGTCTCAAGGTTTATATCACTTTTGGATATTTCGGGCGATATGTATGGTACCCATATGTTCTTCGTTTGTGTATTCTATATGAAAACTAATAGTGTAGATCGGCGCAGTTTTTCACGCTCTGAAAAATAATTTTTTCCTAAAGGTTATTAGTAATTTTTCTATCAAATAGTATAGGATCAAACATGTGAAATAATTTCACATGTTTGACCTTACACTATCTGGTAGAAAAATTACTGATAAACTTGAGCAACATATCATTGTGTAGAGCGTGAAAAACTGAATCGATCCACGCTATTATTTTTCATATGGAATACACAAAAGAAAAAGATATGGGTANATTTTTAAAAGCATTCAATTGAATTTCCAGGAAATTTTTCTTCTAGTCATTTTATTTGAATTTCCGAGCAATAGGAATTTACCACCGCATGGATTTCATTGAGAAATATTTTGGATGTTGATTGAACAAATGCCGAATATTATGGAATATATTCATCCTGACTTTAGTTCTAATATCATCTCATCATGATTTCATTGAGAAATATTTTGATAGTTAAGTTTAAGTGAGAGGATGTTTGTTTTTGTTAGTTTTTGCCCTTGTGCATTGTCATTTTTACATGGTTAGGGGAAGAATATGGCTTGCTTCCTTAGTAGGAGTTGATGATTTTAGGATTTTCAATTGATGAAGACTGTTTAGTTTCTATTTGATGTTCTCCCTTGATTGGGGCTTCCTTTTTTGGGGCTAGGTACAGAATATTTTTGATAGTCTTTTTCGCGGGTGGATCCAAGAATTATATGTTGTCGGCATTGCTAGATTTTGGATTATGTAAATTTTGGGATAGATGAAAGTTGGACAGTTGCATGAAAGATGAGTGCTGATATCGCGTTGATGTTGTATGTATAGTGCTGATTGATATTTACTGATCGGTTGTTAAGGGACTGGAATAGAAGATTGGTAAGTGATTGTTCCTTAGCTACGTCACGCATGAATGGGTGAGTAAATTGGAGCTTGATGCTCAGATATTGGATGAGTGAACGTCTGGGAACTTGAAGCACTGATCCGATTTTGCGTCGACAGTAAAGTGATCGCAATGGTGAAGGTTGCTGCTCTGCTATCGTAGGTTGTGAATGAAGCTTCGAGACTAATGGTTTTGACGCTGTTCTGAAACTAACGGCATTGGCTTACGGGATGGAGTTCTCGAATTTCACTGGTAGGTCGGGAACAGTTTTTGAATGTAATTACAATGATGGAAAGATATACTGTTTTGAATATGTTTTCATGGAAGTAAATGAATCATATTTAGAAAACTGTATGCTTCATTGTAAATCAATCTTGTTCAACTAAATAAAAGCATTTTACAGAAACGTAGAGAACAACAACATTGAGCCAAATTGCTGAGTAGTGTCGAAATCGAAAAGAAGAAAGTAGCTCTATATTTTCAGTTATAAATCTTTCATACATTTGAGTGGCCACTTGAATATTAATCTTCATAAAGGAAATGTAACTGTAAATAAAAATTGATGTTTGTTGTAGCTTGAAATAAGATGAATTCTGATTTCAAGTTTCGCTGTTATTTAAATATTTCAAACTGCATATAATTGTTCAGAGCTCAATTTAAATGCCATTGATTTGGAGGATTAAGTCGACTTAGCTCTTGTTAAAAACCGAATAAATTTTGATGCACGCTAAATGTGTTACCAAATACAAAGTTACCTGGTTGTTTACGTTGTATTGACGTTTGTTTAAGTTATATGAAATATCGTCTATCATATGAACAAACTTTTGTTTCGTTTTCTATGTACCATTTTTTATAGCTTTAGTTGAATGTTGGCAACTATTTAGTTGTAAGTGGGGTTTACACTAAAACTGATATTTTTTGATAAACTATCTTGAAATGATATCATTCTTGCACATAAAACAAAATTTCATTTTAAGCCAGTGGTTGTTAACCCTTCGTAACTGTTTACATGTTGGAAGTAGGGATGCACCAAAACCATTTTTCTCTGCATAAAGATGCTCCTTTTTCGTTATGAAAACACCCAAAACCAACCAAATCTTTGTGTCAATTATAAGCAGCTTCGTTTGCTCTACTTGATATTCGTAATTTCGTTACCAAAACCAATGACAAAAATGCAAGTTTTGGTCGGTTTTGATGAAAACTGCCATATTTTGACCGAAATCTACCAAAGATTGCATTTTTTGTCATTGGTTTTGGTAACGAAATTACGAATATCAAGTAAACCTCTCCCACTATAGAAGACCCCCCCATATTAGAATACCTCCTGAAGAAAAAGTTTGCCCGACATAATAGAAGCCCCCCTTTAGTTAATTAATTTTCTGCTAATTATGAACTTTAATTAGCGTTTTTTCATCAAAACATGCCTGATTCTTAGCATTTTAAGCTGGAAATATTAAGAGAATGTGTTCACAATTATAATGACACCCTTAAAATCCTGAAAATCCTGATGGAAATCCTGAAAATCGCCTTGGTGTTCTGGAAAACCTTTTAAATTAAATATTAGGAAAAAATGCGATCCTTAATACAAGACCCCCCCCCTCTGGAAAATTTTTACGCTGCAACATAATAGAAGACCCGGGGTCTTTTATTGTGGGAGAGGGGGTTTAGAGCGGACGAACCTGCTTATAACTGACACAAAGATTTAGTTGGTTTTGGGTGCTTTCATGACGGAAAAGTAGCATCTTTATGCAGAGAAAATGGATTTGGTGCACCCCTAGTTGAAACTTAGTAGATACTGTGGGGTCCGCTCGGTCCCACCCATAGAAAACCGTGTAAAGCTAATAGTTTTCTTTCTCTAAGTTGTTCAATTATACACTAAAGGCCTCTACACACCCCTGTTGTATCGACTAACATTCAGCTTTACACGAAATAATATGAGTACATACAGTATCGGAAAATTATTGACTGAAACTGCTTGTGAAACCAAACAGATAATAGATTTCACTATTCAGTCTGGATTATCACATAAAACTATCTTTAGATAAGAAAAGATTTAGTGTGCGCTTTCTTGTTCTTTATATTTTCATCTTTTTCTTTTTTCAGGAGTTAAAAAAAATATTTTTTCATTGTTAAAACGATGAGCTAGTTTTTGTTTCAGCTTTATTGTATTTGTCTCAATAATGCAGCTACTTCTCAGTTGTTTTCTTGACAATTCTGACATGTTACTAATATCACTTTGCTAGAATGAAAAATACAGACGTTTTGTCGAAATTTTCGTCCAGATTTTGCCGGATCTAAATTAGTGTTGACATCAAGATGCTGCATACTTCTCGAAGGAATGTGAAAACTTAGAGATAGTAAATCAAGCTTTACTTTTGGTTTGAGACAAGATTCTTCGCTGAAAAGTTGATTTTGCGAGCATGCCAATGCCTTACTCAATTCTGTAAGGAGCATAATACGTCGAGTATGTGTTCTTTCTGTACTTGATGCAAAATTTTAACAATCAAATTGTCAAAGCATTTATTGCAGCAATATCAATCAAATTATAAAAAACCGTCATAGGCCATCGTCGATTGATTCGTCGAACTGTGCATGATCCAATACATTGATCAGTAGCAACTACACGACATTTTGTTTGATTGTAATCATGGACTGCACATGGCAATTTATTCTCACCACCAAATGTTTCGGAAACTTTATGTAATGAAAGTAATAGAATAATTGGTATTTTATTTTCTTTTGCTTGATAAGATAGGAGCATGTATGGACCAGAAAAATAAAACTACGATGAAAACAATTGTTTTCGACATGATTTAAGTTTATTGGGTAAAAATCAGCGTCTGTGTTCGACAACTCCAATGAACGTAATTTTTCGATTCAGCATTGCTTCACTCAACTGCATATCCGTGAAGTACTGATAAAATGTAATGATACGGCCTTGTTTAATATTATTCGGCCATCGATCAGCTAAATGAAGAGCCACATCAGTAGCAAGATTCTTCTGAATTACGTTGTTCTTTTTTCCAGTATATAGATCGAGTGATAAAACATATCGACTATCAGCATCACACAGCATCAAAAACATTAACCCATACTTGGCCGGTTTTCTCAACATATACTGCACGAAACAACAGCGACCACGAAAGGGCACTAATTGTTCGTCAACAGTTAAATTTTGCGGGTACAAAATGCCGAGAAAGTTATTTGGCCAAACTTTCAAAAATTGATCTAATACGAACAAGACAATCAGATTTATCACGATGTTGTCGATCATAGAATCGAATAAATTGCAGAAGATGTTTAAAACATTGAAGGAACATTGTAGCTCGATATATTGGATGACTTTGACTAATGTCCCATAGTTCACTAAGTAATTCATGATTGTTACGATTCACACCAGATTGAATAAGTAGACCTATAAAGGAGTCTAATTCAATACGATCTAACGGTGGGGAAATTAACTTCCGTCTCACTTCTTTTTTACGAACTCCGGTAAAATAATTTGTTTACGATCTCCTGACATGAACAAAAATACAGGGTGTTCGGAATCGATTCTGACAATAGCTTTTTCATAGGATATAACCATTGAAAAAGCTATTGCCAGAATTGATTCCCAACTTCAGTCAAATTTTACTGTTTACGAACTTCAAAATTTGGCTGGAGATCGTAATCAGAATCTCCGGATGTTTGTAATGACCAAGACAGAAAGGCCGTACTAAAAACACGACACAATTTTCGTAAGTATGTTTAGGTTAGTTCACCTGTGAGAGAATATGAAGTGATACGATAGTCTTGCAACCTTGAATCATGTTTAGCGAATGTTCCGATGAATTCAAGCAATTACGATTGCATTACTGATTACTATTATAACTCTAGTTTTAGTTATTATTCTCGTTATTCCTTCAATGCATTCTCTATTTCAAATACCAATTTTATTGAAAGAAAGAAATACATATTTATTCGTCACTCTAGTGTTAATGTATATCATCATTCTATTCATGAGAATTCTTCTCTAGAAAAAAGAAATAAAAGGAAAACAAATCATCTTCTTCATTATAGAATAATTTTCAAATGTATATACTTTTCACTTCTTTATGAAGATTCAACCTGATTTATCTTTACTGCTCAATTATTTGTGTAGTCAATCATATTTGAACTTGGAGACTCTTTTTTACATTATATACTATTTCATTTCTACTGAGACCACTGTCTTCTCTTCGTATCATGAACAAATTACAAGACGAAAATTAGAAATAACTTCTTATGCCATTCTAGCACAAAGAGTATAAGTAGAGAAAGAATGATCTCCTACTTATATAATCATGGGTGTAATCAAAAATTGGAACCTATTATATTATTGCCTATAAGATCAGAAAGTCTTGTATTTCAATTACAATATTCTTATAAATTCTTTTACGAACTCCATATTAAAGTACCCTTAGAATTACCTGCTGAACAACCGACCGTGTTCATTACGATCGTCAGGTGTTACATTAAATACAGCAAAAATATTCTATTCCGAACACCCAGTAAACACATTACGATCTCCAGTACATAGGTGTTTACGAACTACTGTCATAAATTTTTACGAATAAAAATCATTTCCCAACATCCGGTCACATTTATCGGTGTTCGTAAAAGCTGAGACGGAAACTAACTCAACCCTAATGGTATCCATTTATACGGATTCAATTTTTTTTGCATTCAAATCTCGTAAAGAACTTTGCTATTGATCAAGATATCTTTCAGCATATAACGATTGGTATGAAAAACAGTTTCATCAAGAATCTTGTTTGTAAAAGAATGTTTGAAAGTATCTAGAGTGGCCTGAACTGTTCTGATATATGTTCACTGGTGGAAGTTGGCATCTGATTCAGCAGCACCAATATCATAGTCACCAGCTAAATCAGAATTTTTGCTATCGGCAATATCATCATTAATTTCATCGTTCTCTGTCAACAAAATCTCCCGCATTCGTTTTAAATTCGTTTTATGAATTGTGTTCATTCGAAAATTCACACGATTCGGAAATGTAAACGATGAATTCGATGAAACTGTGATATAGAATATGATTCATTAATATTCATGGTAAACCTAGAAACGAATCGAAACTTATCCAAATGGGAAAACAATGGCAAGACAACAGATGATAGCTACATCAAGACTAAAAATTTTCTCTGTAACACTATAGCTGCTGTGGTGTCCACATGGACCCACACCTGCACTTGTTTCACGTTAGACCTATTCACAATTTCTCGTATGGATATTATTCAATAACAAGGGACTAGAGATTGGAGAATAAGAATAATCCAAAACCACAAACGCTAATGTAGTTCTATACAAAAAATGACTAGGTGGGTCCGCTTGGACCCCTAAGCAGCTTACGAAGGGCTAACGAACAAATAACATGTAATTTCGCCATATGTAATACATGTCGCACATGATATTTTCCCTTCTCCCCTATTCTTCTCTAATCACTATTTCATCAGAATGCGTTAATGTGAAATTGAAACAAAATAGTAGAACATAATTCTTTTATCAAGAACATCTGTGAAGATGCACGTAAGGAAGCAAAGAAGTAACTAGCTTCATTTTATCTCTCTTTTCGTCTTACTTTTGACATACACATGCGTTTTTCCCAAAGCAAGGCTGTTATTCAACTGTGAAAGATAAAACACATTGAGCTGATGTATCAAGATCTCTGTAAAAAATGTTGAAGAAACGCCAGTTCGAATGTAGTAAATCTATGTAGTAGCGAAGTTTTTAGACAAGTCATTTGATACCATTTAACTTGATCATTCCTCTTTTGCAAACTCCTTATCATCCTAAACATTCTGCAGTCAAATGGATCCGTTGAATTTTGAACTCGATGACTTGATGATCCCGATCTGCAACCCATGAACTCGTTGAATGAGCAAACCCGTCCTCTCATTTAATTATGCGCTCCATTGCATTGATTAAGCCAATGAATCTATTTGGCACGTGAGCTGCATAATCAGTTTCAATTAGAAGTAACATAAAATTTATGTTAATTGAAACTTCAGTGAATTTAGATTTCAATTCCAAATATCATGAGATCAACGATGAAAGCTGATGTTTTGAGTTAGAATTCCATGAAGTTTAATGAATTACTCAAACATTGGCAGATTTCTTCATAGTAAAGAAAATTTCAATCGGCTTGAATTATTATTTTTAAACATTTCTAACAACTGTTGTTCACATCAAGAAGTTTGTGTTCAAATTATTACTGTAACCGATTGGATTTCAGACAGCTTTTTCTATGCGAATAATTTTGTATGGTATTCTCTGAGTCATTTAACGTGACATCTTTTTATAGATTGTATTTGGTTCTAATAATCGTATGATTTCTACGTACTGGTGCATATGGGCATGATTTAAGTGTGCTCAACGATTTGAAGAGAAATGTAAAGACTATCGTGATAAGACACACAAAGAGTGATGATGACTGAACTGGAGCATAAAAATGGAACGCTATGCTAAAATCTTATAGAAGCAAAAGTAGTGCTACTGAAGGCAGATTGGCTAAATAGAATGATTTGTGCAACATATTATACGACAAGGAAAGGGCCACATAATAATTTTGCTAGGAGAATCATGATATAAAGTCCATTGCTCTACCTACCACGTACAAAACAACAAATGTAGCAAGACACATTCAATGGATTCTTTGAAACATATAGTCATTAAAGTTTATTATGATCACTTATAATCAACAGATCTACTTTCAGTTGAGAAATGAATAAAATTTCATCTTCGATCGCTAGGAGTTCTAATTTTGGTAAAAAATAAAAGACTAATTTCAAATATGGAGATGATTATACTGCCAGTACACACTATAATGATAGAAGCTAACAAAGACAGATCTAATTGAATAGTTTTGTGTTTCTTCATTACCCAGGTTGACTAATCCGACGACGAATTCTACCGAATCCTATAACATTCTACTAACTGAGGAAAATTCAATTGGATTCTGGGTTTCGGAATTATTGACGGATCCGACGGAAGAATTTAAACAAATTATCAAAATTCTATTTAATACAAAAAAAGCGTTTTAGAGGTTGACTATAGCAGAATTTTGTGGCGTATCGGATCCCAAAGTAGGATACGATCGGATATATGTCGGATTCCGATCCTATGGATCCGAATCTCGGTTCGAAACCTGGAATCTGTCGATTTTCGTGGATTTTCATATAAGATCCGAGGCAATCCGTTTTCAGATCTGATTAGTCCCCTATTGCGTCCCCCGTTAATTGATTCCGAATCCGCCCCCACCCATATTCGTCCCCACTCTAAATTGGTCCCCAATTATATTAATTGGCGCTTGATTTCAAAAAATATGAATTTCTAATGTAGCTATAATAAAGGTGAAAGAAATTTTTTATCGTAATATTAACAAGTGAATATAAACAGTTTTTGCAACAATTAGAAAGAATTAAAAAATTGTCGAGCAATCACAGCATTATATCAAGATAAAGAAAATATACTCGTGCAATTTCGTGAACGACTCCGCCATTCTACTACTGTTTTCCGTTCACGTTTGAGAGTATATTGAAAACCATTATAGTTCAACGCCTTTCCTGTTCGTTCTGTTGGAGTAAAACTGAGCATATTTCAATATGCTTACAAATAAAAAATGTCGATCAGTCAGCCGTGGACACTTGGTCACTACATGGAACTTTATTACAGGCTGCTGGATTATACCAGAAGAAATGAATCCGATTGTCATTGCCACTAGCTGTGTATATAGACAGAGCGAAGCATGAACGTTTCAATGTTAAATAGAGTGGGAACGAATTCGGAATCGAATTTTTGGGGACCAGTTCCCAGTCAGACAAGTAACGAAAAAATCGACATTTTTATGCGTTAAAAAAAATTATTTTGACTAAAAACAAGTTTAAAAGCATTAACATGTATCGATTCACTTTTTTTCTCACAAAAAAGTATTTATTTAACTCATAAAAATGTCGATTTTTCGTTACTTGTCTGACTGGGTTCAAATTAAGACTAACCCTTGTATTGTTAAACACAATTTTAACGTTCTTGTACGTCCAAATTATCTCTCCGATAGTAATCATGATCATTCGTATTAGCTCGTCTATCTAATTGTGTACATAATATCATTTTTCGGATAATAATTGTCTAGATAGAGAAAACATGATGCATATTTTGTTTTCATGAAAGGTATAATAAAATTCACATTTGATTGCATGAAAGATAGTTCAATTATCTTCTGATTAAAGGGTCTGTTATAACTTTGTATTTAAGTCTAGAAGATCTAGAAAAGTAACCCACAAATATAAAATATGGAACATAAAAGGCTTAGATAATATGAGCCGTGAATCATAGGGTGAGAGTATATGACTTCTCATCAACCACACCCATTATATCAATTCATTTCAATATTAGGATAAACTTCAACTATTTTGATTTCATTATATTCATGTAATATTAAGATTTCGAACATGCGTGATGATGGTTGTCTGAGCAACAGTCTAAACACGTCCTATAGAGCTTGAAATCCATACAATTTAAGCACACCCTCTACCCAAATCATACGTTCCTGCTCTATAAGAATTGATTAGAAGAACTTGAATAGTATTTTCATGAGGTTAGGCACTATTTTGTTAGATAAATCTCCCATTTGTTGTCAATTTCATCGAAAATGCATGAATGAACAGAGAAACGAAAGCGTGGATCCAGCAGTTGCTCTTCTTCGCTTGGATAGTTTGAATAAAGTGACACATCTTCGCCATCCTTCTCAAAAATATCGATAATAAAAAGAACGTTTCCGAATTCTTCAGCTTTCTTGCGATTTCTACTTGTTGATGTGAACGCAGGAAAGTAAGCAATATTGTATGGATCAAGAGACAGTTGACGATATTGTTCGATTTGGTCTTCTGATAAGTTCGCTCCTCTATACACAGTCTGATCCTTTCCTTCATGATCGTGTTCCAGACGTTGAAGGAGATATACAAAAGGACCAAATGTGGGCACTCGGCTCATTAAAAGTTCTTCATGTTCTTCATCTCCACTTAGCCGCATCGCTTCGTTTAATTTCTTATATAAGAATGACTCCATACAGTAGAGCCGAACGCAACAATTCCATACCTGTACTTGATCTGCGTATTTGGTTTTAAGCAGTTCTTTAGCCATCCAGTTTGCTTCTTTCGTCTTGCTCACCCGTTTGCCTTCCATGATGAAACCTTCGGCTGCTTTGTCCACAAACCATTGACGCACTTCTGCATCGTGAAGCCCTCTACGGTGTTCAAGATCAAAATACTTCTGAACTGCAACCATGAAGTTAAACGAAGAAGATGAATCCCAGTCTGAGAAAGGCCGCGACGGATTGACTGGGTTAGGCATAAAGCGTGCTTCTCTTAGTCTCGATTCTTTTCGTTCGTTGACTACTCTCTTCACAGGTCGTTGGTTGTTCTCATTCTTATTAGAAATTTGAACCATGTGTTTGAAATTAATATGGTAGCTATCGAGTAAAACATCGGGAAGTTTCTTTTGAAGAGCCTCTTCGATGATGGCCATCTCAACGTCGGAGAATCGAGACCACTCCTCGGGTTCTGAAGAAGACCAGGGATCATCATTTGATTTCCAAAACCACTCAAACTTTATAAGGGCCTGTGATGCATTCGCCATTTAGTTATTTACTGTCAATACTCGAAAAGTAAAAAGAATTTGATCACCAAATTATCGTGACTCAACGTAGGAATTCGGTGAGAACTTGCAAGCGATGAGAATGATATTTGATCTACAACAAAAGCAAATAAATTGAAGAGAGGGAGTTCCTATTTAAGTACATGACATCATATATCTGAGGTTGGTGATACTGTTGGCTTAATAGAAATTTTATCCGTGAGAACGAATATCTCTGCTAGGTGCAGGAGATCCCGAATATCAAAATTCTGCATTAGTAGGCTTTCGCCCACGACTATCTCCCAAAAAGATCAGTGAAAACCCATAATCATGTATGCCAAATGGTGTCTTCCTAGAGGTTTAACTATTCACAAGATCACCGAGTTCAAATGAGGTCTAGTATGGGATTTCCTTTTATAGAATTGGAAACTTCAATTTTATCTCCTAAAGGAAAGTTATTTTCATTCAAATATCTTGAAAATTAGTCCTGTTATACGAGGTGAATATTCTTTGTTTACTTTTTTCGTTTAAGTTTCAACAGAAAGGATGTGGGTTGATATGACACAGAAACCAAAATGTACCCATCCAAACACCCACACCCACACCCTGCTTCTTTGTCTGTCCATAGTAACAGCGACGTCCAAAGTTCTATCTTTAAATACTTCAACACTCTTTTCAAATCACATTTTACGAAAGTAAAAATTGACAAAATTCAGTCGTACATGCTTAACGTCATAAAAAATAAAATTGAAAAAGAAGGGCGTTTATCGCGTGTCTTTCGTTTTGTTTGATTTTAGTTCATTTGCTTGACGAAATTTATTTTTCGTCAGAGAACGTGACTATCGAAAAAAGGGGAGACCGTAAAACAAAACAAATATTATGAGTTTTGTAATTATTAATATCTACCTGGAGAAACAAAATTGAAAATGAAGTTTGAGCCTCTTACTTTCTGTTATTTCTTCTCAGCCCGTGAGGGAAATCCTTATTGTCATCAATAGCAAGTGTGCACAGCAAGGGGCTAAAAGCAGATTGCAATCTAGTAGAAGATAATTTTATAGCTCCTAGATGTTCGTTTCTATTTCAATTACTTTGACCCAAGCACGAGAGAGCATTCCATGAAAGAAGAAAAGCATCAAAGAATGCAAATCAAATAAATAAATATCAATTAGAGCTGAAACATGCCAAAGCGTATAGTGTGTGTCTATAAATGGGCACTAGAAGACGCTATTCAGGTGTTTATCGTATATTAAAAAATAGTATTTCTAGGTATTCTACTGGAAAATTTTCAGTATGTTCGAGATTGAATCTGTCTTGTGATTTTGTTCATGCTGAATTGTTCTAAAATAACATTTTTCGAAAATGTAAATTAGATAATTTAGTATCATACTTTTCTTTATATATAGAAAATCAATGATATGATTTCTTTTGAGATATGAGTGTGAGTGTGGATTTTTATATAGGCGCCGTGAATATCCACACCCACACCCAAAATCTTGGAACTTCACAGTTTCTGACAGAAATCTCATATACAGGTCGAACAGTCCGGCCTGGATGAGTCTCTTGCTCTTCTAAAGGCAATATTTTCAAAACACCTGCACATGTACGAAATCTCGTTACTCTCTTAAAAAACTCATAAAGATATCATAAACTAATGATTCGTAGATACTCGGTGCGCGAAGTTGTTAAAGATGCTACCTTCTCTCCATTAATTCGAAACAAATCAGTTTTCAAAGCGCATTAACTTTAGGTAATTGTTCCTATACACACAAAAACACGTTGGCTCTCACTAGATGTCGCTTGTAGCTTGATATTTAATAATATAATATACAAAACTATTACCTTGCACGATATAATCATTTAGATTGTTCATCAGTAATTCTTTAATGTTAAAATTTCTCTCACTTTTTTAATTCCAAAAAACATTTCTATTTCCCGATTGGATGAAAACCTTATACCAGTCACATGTCTAGTATACGAATACATGCATGAAAAAATGATTGATGATACGATGCATATGCAGTAGACTGTTCGCATGATTAATGTTTTGGCTAACATTTAGTGTCGTTTCACATGAGTAAATCAAATATTTAAACATGTATAGAGTTTCTGTAGTTTTTCTATGGGGTTAAATTTAAACGCCCTCTAAATATATATTTTTTCTAGATGATATGAATTATGTGATGAAATTCCGTATTTTACCTTTATCGATATTTTTTCGTCATTTCTTAATTATTATTCTCGTTTTTCAATCATTTGTTAATGGGAAAAATGATGATCAAACAAAAAATCTTGGCAGTAGTAATGGTGATGGAAGACATGTATTTGATATAAATTTTGGAAAAAATAAAAAGTATGCTATCGATGATTGTATTCCCTTGGCATTTGGAGATTTCAATGCGGATAAAGTTATCGATATATTTTGTCGGAATACGAAAGGTACAAATTAGATATTCAATTTTCTCATCTATTATTCATTATGAATAGGTAATACGATTCGAATCATGTTAAATGATGATCGATCTCCAACATCAAAAGAGCAATTCAGCGTAAATATAACTGGAGTTATTTATGATGCATTAGCAGCTGATTTTAATGGTGACAGTAAACTTGATTTATTTGTACTCTATCAAACGGAACCTGCTCAAATCGGATACAATGGTGGAATATTTTGGGGTGATAGAATCAGATTAAGTAAGTAGAAATTTGTTTTTGGAAAGAATAATTATTTATTTTTGAAAATATTTAGGTCCTTTACAACCACTTGATTATCTATTTAAAAGTATTCCGACTACTCTCGAGTAAGTTTTTAATTATTTAAATGATTGATCTAATGATTTTGTTTCAGTGCAAATGGTGATTCCTATGTAGAATTATTAGGCATGGTTAGCGTTGATAAAATTACCTATAAACCAGCTTGTGTTTATCTGTAAGGAAAATATGCTTGTCATTATTGAAAAATTTATCTCTTATGTTTTTAGTAAAAATCAAACAATATCTCCTGTCGATGTTTTACCGAATATTGAAAACCTTCATCCTCGTTCAACACAAGCGTCAGCTGACCTCAACAATGATCTTGTCGCTGGTTAGTATAGATTTTATTATCTATTGTAAAGAACTTCTTTATTTACTTGTAAAGATCTATTTTTAACGGTCGAAACTGGTAATCATATTAAATATCGTATTTATGAATTACCAATAACAAAATTAACATTAATTAGAGAATACGATCCACCACCGGGTGTTGCCATTCATCATCTGTCAACATTTGCTGATATAGGTAGGAAACAAGGAGAGAAAAAAAGTTTTTTTTACACATTCAATCATATTTTATTTTCTATAGATGCGGACGGTGAATTAGAACATATTCTTCCTGTTTGTATGGATCATAATTGTTCAGACAGTCGAATTTATGTACGAGATGATAATAAAGTAAGTCTAATTCTTACGCATCAATTCTCATCGATTTTGAATATAATAATATTTTCAGTGGTCTCTATTACCGATTCAATTTGGCAGCGGAGTACGATTTCCTCTAGCGGATGAACTCCCAGCACCTTTCGATACAATCCCAATTAGCATTAAAATAGCTGATTATAATCTCGATGGTTTTCCGGATATGGTTGTAGTGATGAGTAAAAGGTTGATAGATGAATGAATTTTAATTTTGTATACTCTTTATTTTTGATTTTTTGTAGTTTATCGGGAGGGAACGTGCCCATTGTTCTGCTAAATCGAGCGTGTGAAGGAATCGGAAATGCTACGTGCAGTTACAATCGAACGTTCATACCACAAACACAGGAAAAATTCGTCTTAGCAGCAACCAATGCTACTGTTGCTGCATTTTTTGATATTTTAGAAAATGTAAGATTTAGCATAGTTTGATCAAATTAGAGTTTATTCGATTTTTAGGGTTATCCGGATTTACTTGTTGTACAAGCTGATACAAATAATACATTTGAATTAACTGCTTTTCAAAATTCTATTGTACAAGATGTTCACTTTATTAAAGTCATGGGTAACGTAAAATCTATAGTAAAAAGAAAATGATTAATATGTGTTTTTGTCTATAGTTCTTAGTAGTTTTACATGTACGACATGTTCTAGTCAAAAGAGATTAGTAAGTTTATAGGGAAACCAAAAAAAAAATCATTTGAATCATTTTTCGTTTTTAGCCATATGGCAATAATGAACCAGGCCAATCGATTAAAATGGAAACAATTACAATTATGAATGGAATTAAAGATTATGTGATTCAGCTAGCAGGTAAATGTTTTATTCATATAGAGTTCAGATATTATGTTGATGTAAAAAAAGACGTTTTTACACCTCTGGAAAATCGATTTGTCGTACACAAAGACGGGCCATTCGAGTTAAACAGTCGTTAATGAATGATATGTATCAAAACTGTAACATAGTGTAGTCTGTTTCTCACAGCGCGTTCATAATCCTACAAGCTTGTGTTTTTTTAGCTGTTCAAATGTCTCATGCTGGTCAATTAACACTTGAATTACCGTATGTTATAATTGGTCTTGGTTCGACACCGAATTTCGTCGAAAAAATAACTGTCGGAATTCCACCAAATAAAGAATCGGTTTGTCATAAAATCGTTTTCTTGCGTTAAATAGTAAAATTTGCGTTTTAGAATAAATTATATCGAACTTATACACAGATGATTCCCAATTCCCAAATCGTTGTTATTCCAATTCCATTGATGAATCCTGAAAAGTAAAATAAAAATAAAAAACTTTCATTGCAAAATTTCTTCTCGGCTTATTTTAGATGGCATAGTAAACTATTTCTGACACCTAGCCGAATGATTCTTCACACAGGGATTGCATTAGGGGTCACATTAGTTGTACTTGCCGGTATACTTGCCATATTACAATATCGTGAAAAGGTTTGTTTTGGCTTTTACGCAATGAGATGATTGGAAATGTGCTTTTGTTTTGTTTCAGGTTGAAGATGATCGTGAACGTAAAGTTCAAGCTCAAGCATTCCATTACGATGCTCTATGATCTGTTTATTTGTTTTCTTTCTCGATTTTGAACAGTACTCATTGGAGAGTGGTCAAATAGATTTTCTCATTTATCAGCGTTCTTTTTTGTCTCCCTGTTTATTTTATTTTTTATGTTAAATATCGAACTGCAGGAAATTAATAATTATTACTAATATTTTATTTCAGTTTAAGACAAAAATGATCAGTCATTGCTAATATATTGTTTCTTTTTGTTTTATTGAAGATCTAATATAAAATCATGTGAATCGACATTCGATCTGAATGGTAAGTTAAATATTTTTCTTCCACAAGATTTTGAGGAAAAATAAATTTATTATACGCATTGAAAAAGATTAAAATGACAATGTAGTCTTACTCGTTGTTTTATATTAGTCACCAAACTCAATTACGTTTACATTTTTATCGTGACACAAACAGAAAGAAAAAATTCATTTTTTTCGTTCTGTCTTCACAACGAGGAATCAGCGAAAGAAGAAGAAAGAGCTGCGCTTTGATAAGAAAAAGAAGCCATTCGCCTAACAAATGTCGTCGTAGCCAAGAAGAAAAAAAAGAGGAAAAAAAATTGACCTTTTACATCTATTAGAGTTTTTTGGTGTTACAAAATCCCATCGAACAACGTATTTAGATTAGAGTTTCCAATGAAATATTTTTTGTTTTCTTTTCTAGAAATGTTTGTTATTCAAATTCAATGCTATTTATGCGTGCCAATAACACTTCATTATAATCGATTTTTTTCTAGATAATTCTTTTTAAACATTCTAAAACATAAAAATGGATAACGGACAAGCAACAAAAATGCCGAAACCATTCGATAGTGATATTGATTTAAATGCATCGGCTTCAGGCGGTAATCAACAGCAATTCGTCTTACGCGAAGATGATCGTCTTAAACAAGAAGAAGATTATCGCCAAGGTAGGTAAACATGTTTTTCAATGAAGGGAATTCTGAATTGCTTAGCTAGAATAAAGAAGTCGTTAACTTCGTTTTTTTTTGGTTACACTTCTAGAATTAATGAAGGTTCAAGATGAAATTATCACATTACGTCAAGTACTAGGTGCTAAATTAAAACGTGAACATGAATTAAAAACTTTATTAGGTGTTGGCCTCGTTGATGATATAAAACAAGATTGGAATGAAACAGTTAGCGATATTAAATCAAGTGTAGCTTATCAAAAGACGGCTGAAACATTCAATGCTGCTTCCGAAAAACTTGCGCCAACATTACAAACAGTTAATTCAACATTTAAATCTGGCATTGGTTCTCTTAGAAGTATGCACATCGGTTATCGTTATTACTATTGGCTATGCTTTCTTTTTTCATCTTAGATTCGTCTTATTTCAAAACATTCGAAAGTACACTTGGTTCAACTGTTAGTGCAGTCAAATCGAAAATCGCACCATCAAGATCAACGATGAGTTTCGATGACAATGAACCTATTCATGGTGCTAGCGCAGGATCGATGAGTACAAGTGCAACACATGGTGATCATTTTGATTTTGGCGGCAACGGTTCAGACGGAAAGAAATAATATAAAATATCGAAACATTGTTACTAATTCTTATTTACAATTAAATAAAACAGACAAAGAAAATAAAAAAGTTTTTCCATATTTATTCTCTTCAAACTTTATCGTTGATTCAATTCGTTCGTTTTATTTTTCTTCTTGGAATAAAGCAAAACGTTGTTCCGAATCTATCTATCTCTCTCAATACATATTTCTTATTCGGTTTGTTTGACTTTTTTTTCATCATGCTATCATTTATGTTATGATCTGTAACTGTCTCATCGAAGTTAAGTTTTCTTGTTTTTTTTAAACGCGCATAAATACTAGCGAAGCTTTGCAGTTATACAAAAATCTTCTCCTTTCATTCTGCTCAGTTCTGTTTTTTCTTTCGGTCGACGTTATTGTAAGATCGCTTTATCATGTTCGTGGTGTTGTCACGCATTTTCTGTCTTATTTTCTGAAAAAATATATATTCAAAAATTTATTCATTCATCAATTGTTTTTCTGCGCATGTCATTCTTCTAGATTGTAGCACTTCTAATTCCGGAGACAATGAGGATAGAATCTTTAAAGCCGCCGAATAAATTTATAGTCTTATTCATAATCATGACTGAATCTTACAAGAAAATAAAATTATCCTCCCATTGATGAATCGCTTTCTCGGATATGATTATGCATGTCGTGTTGGCCTAAATGAACTTATTAAAGAACAGCAGGAAAACTGTTTGCTGAAGTTCACCGGAATATACTTGTGCCAAAGCTGATTCTCGTTAAAAAGGCTGTTTATTTTTCTAGATATTTTTCGATTCAAAATGAATGAAATAAAAAGATTAACAGGTATTTATCATGAAGTACAAGAAGGTTCGCTATGTGCTCAACATGCATTGAATAATCTTTTACAACGTGAAATATTTTCAGCTGTCTCTCTGGCTGATATTGCTCGGTAATTAATTGGACGCAAATGTTTTTTCGAATTCAAGCTGAATTTTATTCTTTAGAGTTCTAGACGAACAAGAAAATAGCGTACTAGGTCGACACACTGGACATTCAGAAAATATGGATGGTTCGTTTATTAGCTAGATTGCTTCTTTTAGTTTGATTTTTGTTTTCTAGACACCGGCTTTTTTAGTATTCAAGTATTGCAAAATGCATTGAAAGTATTTGATGTTGAATTAATTCCGTATGCCAGTCAACATCCCGTAGCTCAACAAGCACGTGCGGAAGCGCAATCAATTCAAGCTTATATTTGTAATTTGCGTGAGCATTGGTTAACAATTCGAAGATTTGGTTCGCAATATTTTGATTTAAATTCTATATCGACTGTACCAAAACTGATTTCCGATACATATCTATCGCTATATTTAGCGCAATTGAAACAAAGTGGTTATTCCATATTTATTATTCATGGAATTTTGCCACCGTGTGCAGCTGATGAAAAACTTCTAAACAATACAATTGATCCAGTTTATTATCGTTCGTTAACGACTCGAGCTGATGTTGCCGATAGAGATAGCCATGGAAAGTCAACAACTTCACCGGGATCATCTTCATCGTTCGATGAAATAGAAATAAAACGTGCTATTAAAGCAAGTGTGGAGTTGGATAGTTCGGAAGATAAAGCTCTACAAGAAGTTCTTGCTCAATCATTACGCGATTCCCATGGTATCGATGATCCGATGTTTATTAATCATCAAGAAGAAGATACAGACGCACTCAATCAAAGATTACTTGATGAAGCTATTGCTGCTAGTTTACTTAACAATCCGCCAGTAACAACAATAGATGATAAAACTACAGAATCAGCACCACAAACAACAGCAGAACCAAGTGTCGAAGGTAAGATAACAAAGTCTATCTAGGGAGGAGCGATTCTCACACCCAGCCAGGCTTACCTCACGAGACTGATTTCGTAGATCTCTTAGTTCAAATGATTGTTTTCTTTTTCAATTTTAGAATTACGACAACGACGCCTTCAATTCTTCGAGAATAAAGAGAAAGCAACAACAACAACAGACGCAAATCCATCAGAATCAAATAAATAAATGTATTTTTTTGCTATTGTCGTTGCATTGATTATTGTTCTATATTTATGTCTATTTTTTGTTCGTTGATTTTCAAATGATTCACTCCTCCTTTTATTCTAGATCATATCGTCGAAATCTAATGTTCGCCTGAATAGTTCAGATACGTTTTTTTTCTTTTCAAAACGATGAGTGCTTTAACTTGATAAGAAATTTTCTAAGTCGAGAGTGCTAACTGTGAATAATTTTATCGGACGCTTTCTAGATTTCAATTCTTCAATGAGTTTGAAGGATAACTGAATAGAAGAAAATCATGTCGATTAAAGAGGAACAATTACAAGAAATTGAAGCGATCACTTCAATCTATCCTGATGAAATCGCAGGTTTGTGTTGCTTTGTTTTTCGTATTTTATTGTATTCATAATTCATTTTCTATCTTCAAATTAGTACAGTACTATCAGAGGATCCTTACCCTAAATTCAACCTCATGATAAAACCAACAACAAATGATGAAGACGATTTTAGACGTATGCCGATATTTTTTTTCGAGCTTTTTTATATCAGATTTTTCATGAATTACAGCTTTTCTTTTACTGGAAATCAAATTTCATGAACATTATCCTGATCAATCACCGGAAATAGCAATCGTTGATTCAGTTAATGTTGATGATAGATCAGTATTTGAAAGTGAAATCAAAACGATTGTAATTCAAAACTTCTTTTCAAATAAAATCTTGAAGAAATTTTATTTTTAGTGTGCGGAAAATTTAGGTATGCCGGTAATATTCACGTTGGCAAGTCATCTATCGGAGCAATTAAGTATTCAATCTGAGACTCGTCTAGCTCGTCAGCGTGAAGCTATTGAACGAAAAATTCGCGAGGAAGAAGAAGCTGAACAAAAACGATTTGAAGGTACATGTGTTTCGGTTGAATCATTTATTAAATGGAAAGTTAAATTCGACGCTGAACGAGCGGAATTAATCAAAACGGTAAAAGTCGACGAAAGTGAACCGAAAAAATTAACAGGTCGACAATTATTCGAAAAAGATCGTTCACTTTATGATTCAGATATTAAATTCATTTCGGGCGAAGGTTTGTTCTTTTCGTTTTCTTGATTCATTTAGAAAGCGTTTATTTCTGTTGTAGGTGGTGAAGTGGTCGAAGTTGATGAGTCGTTATTTGAAGATATGCTCGATTTAGAATTTGATGACGCAGGAACAACTGGCATTGATTTGTCTGATGTGGATCAATAATCATGCAAAACATTCTTTTTTGTTCTGTTTTTCTTTATAAAAGTTTATGGATTATTTGACATTCAAGCTGAAAAAAAAGATATTAAAAGAAAAGAATGAACTGTGATGTAAGAACTTATTTTAATGCAAAACTAATATTAATTATCTCTGTTGACTTAACGTTTTTAAAGTATTTTGGTCCTACATTTTCTTTTCCAATCGATTCTCTGCATGATTGAATGAGTACAAAGTAAATCATAGTTGCCACACGTTCAATGATTCTCGTATTCTACAAATAAGTCCTATTCGAAGATATGCAAAGTCAGTTCCGATTCCGGGACGAACACAAAATGTGCTTCCACCAAGAGGAAGACAACGAAACTTCCGTACTCCGATTGCCTGTCGGGCCTTTTAGCTCCATCATAGTTTAGACATTGTACGATAAACTAATATTCAAAGCAGAAAATCGCTCAAATAATCCTTTTTTTAAATTTCGTTTCGCTATTAAAATCATTCGGAACTGAACAGAAGACGAAAGAATACTGTTGGTTTTCGAATGATCAGTAGTAGTATTAGTCTAATATGTTCCTTATGTACAAGTTAAAACTCTGGACAGAAGATAAACGTTCGGCCACAAATCTCTTGCTCAAGATCATTTCACCACTGCTGATTTCTTAGATATCGGTCAAATAGATACCAATTCAACTATCATAGTCCGACGGTTTGTGTTTACGCTATTGATTTTTGACGCTGTGAAAATAATGTATTGAATATGAAAAATCGCTGCTGACTGCGACATCTCTTATGTGTCAACAAAAGAAATTTTTTAAATCGGAAGTCAATAATAAAACAATTGCAAAACAAAAAGGTGAGCAAAGTAGAATGGCCACGTGTATTTTTATTTTTGCACACCGAGGAAGAAAAAACGAAGCTATAGTATATATTTTTTTCTTGTCAAATACTTAAAATTCAGTCAGTCAGCTAGAAATGCAATATTATTCCTTTTTGTACATGCCAATCAACGCCTCAATTCCATTTAAGATACAGTAAGATTCTTAACCGCTGCAATTATTCTTTATGTATTTTTAGAAGTTATGCAAGAATTATATATATATATAGTTAATTAAGTATTATCTATCTTCCATGAGATCAGTAACTGATTAAATTGCGCCATAGCTCGATTGTATGAGGGAAACAACATTTTGTTTTTCTTCCTCACTCACATTTATCTTAAGGTAAATAATACTGCTCTTAGTTATATCGAGCGAGGCAGACAATGGAGAAAAAAAACACATCTCTGAATAAATAACGACGATGTTTTCTTTTCCAACATATCCAAAGAATTTCTATTTTCTTCTAGTTCAGGTGAGGCTCTACCGGATTTTGTTGATATTTGTAGATGTAGTTATTTTTCAGTGTGCTTCAATAAATCGCATCTGTTGACGGCCTATCAAAAAAATAGTTCACTAGCATGTAATTGGAGCTTTACTGAAGCCATCTTAATTTATAAACAAACATTCCTTGAGGTTTCCTATATCAATTTAACTTGAGAAATGATTAGATATGATTTTATATAATTAGAACATACTGATATTGTTCGCCACTATTTCAAGCACTGATGAATACAATTAACTCCGAAGGAGAATATTTGTTCGCATAAATCATTGATACATCGTTTGCCAGTAAAGCCATGGAAAGAACAATATGCACGTCATTCTCAATATTAAATGTATTTGAAAACTTTAGATACAACATTTGAGTAGAAACCAATCAGAAAGTATGGCGACTCAAGTAAGATCTACATACAGTTCAACTATAGTGAAACATGTACTAATTATCATATCATTTATTTTCATGGTTCAGGATGCCGAAGTTTACTGTTCGTTCTGTAACGAAGGATTTGTATCGTCGAACGCTATGGGAACTCACTTGATGATATGCGGCAATAAAACAGATCAATGTCCTAAATGTAGACGATTCATTCGACGAGCTATATTCGCTTATCACTATGAAAATGACTGTGCTAATCCGGACGCACCCACAGAAGATAATGAAACAAATAAGAAAACACAAAAACTTGGTAAGTTCTAACTGGCATTCTGTTCTATTCAGTATCCCAATGGTTTTGTAGATACACCACCGGTGATTATCAAGTGCGAATTCTGCAATCGAAACTACAATCGAAATGAACGTACACTACATAAAGTAAAATGATACGAAAGCTAGATAGTTTCTTTATTATAATTGATTTTTTTCTGATCTGATATATTACAGGAGAAGTGCACTCCTTATCAAATATATCTTTCAGAGAACCCACTGCAACGCGGCGATAGCAATCAAAACTACAGTTCAGGTATATATTGTTTTGGTTATTCTGCTTAAATTTCTCAGTCACAAAATTCTTAGAATTGCAGGGGGAGGCGGATTTGGGATTTTGAAAATCCTAAAAATCCGCCTTTCCCCCTTGTCAAATTGTCTTGTTACCTTAACACTCCTTTTGATTACTATAGTAACATGGAAAATTATGAAATGAGTTTCGTTTACGAATAATTTCTACCGTTGTGTTTCACATTGTAATTTGTAGCTAGATCAAACAATTCTGAGTATGATGCACCCATTCCTTGTGAGTATTGCAATCAAGGAATTCCATGGCATCTTTACGATAATCATACGGTAAGCTAAGAAATCATATTTTATATTCTAATTCTTTTTTTGGACTAGAGAGCTTGCCGTAATGAATTCAATAAACGGCCAAACGAGCAGATACGGTTATTTTCTTTTCGAAGCGCTAGGACGCATTGTATTTTCTTTATTATTGAAACATAGTAGTCAACAGCCACTCCCCACTGTTAATGATTCTACTGCTAAGTGCAGCTTTTGTAAACTGCTATATTTTGTGGAAGGCCTTCGTTATCACCAGGTAAGGATTTTGCTTTAGTTCATACTTAACTTTATATTATTTCGACTTATAGTTGATTTGCAAGATGAATCCTCGTCGTACGGGAGGTCACTGATTGACTTCAAACCTGTTATTGTTTCCCTTAGATATTTTTATAGTCCAACAACATGATGAATTCAAGAAAGCGATTTATGGTACTGCTAATTATAATTTCAAATAATTACGCAAATCTTACCGTTCTAAGCTAGTAGACATATGAATATGTTAAGGTAGTAATTGATGTATAATTTTATTAATTATTATTTGGTATCGAACTTTCGATGGAAAAACATTTATTAACTGCTGATCAATGCGTTCTGATTTCAAAGAAGTCAATATCGTTTCATACTGAAGTAATCAGTATCAGTTTTAAACGTGTTTTAAGTTTGTGCTGAAATAAAAAAATTAATTTTGTCGTATTTGTTTCTTCTATATTCATATCACAGCTGGGTAGCCATTGTCTGATATCGAAAGTTCTCTAGTTGATACATCGCTTCTCTTTTCCTTGTCGATTTTCCTATCGCTAACATTAAGCGACTCGAAATGGAAGAACGAATTGCAAAGAAGTTCAACTAGATGAATAAGATAAACATGAAACTTTATTTTACATATTGTTTTTCTTATTTTTTCAGATTATAAATATGAACGACAACGTAGGTTGCTAGTCGGACATACTCTTCCTAATGTGTTATTATTTAATTTTACTTTAGCGACAAGTTAATGATACAGGACGATCTGTTTCATGTATGTTCTGCAATGAAAAATCTGCATCAACAGAGGAAATGAGAATACATTTGTTGGCCTGTGGTAATAAAACTGATCTGTGTCCCAAATGTAAAAAATTCATTCGACGAGCTGTGTTTGCTTATCATTATGAAAATAATTGTGCCAACCTCGATGAGATAGACAATGTTCGTGATCGTGCTGCTGGCACATATGTTGTTCCGTCAGCACAACAAGCTGCAAGTCGCGAAAGAAATATTACAATAATGGACGTTGATCTTCCAATGCAACCAAATAGAGAAAGTAACACAAACCAACGATCGAGTTCAGGTATGCTTTATATTTGTTCTCACTATTTATTGTGGTTTTTTAATAAGGAATAAAAACAACTATGTTGTGCGAATTGTGTAATGGTGAGTGTGAACCAGCTCAGATCGAAGCGCACCGGGTAATCATTTTGAGAAAAACTATAACTCTTGCATAACACATCAGATTGTTCTTGGCCGATATTTGCAGATATTTTGCCTTCAGAATCCAAATAGGATCGGAAAAAGAACCACAACATTGGCTGGTGGAAGCTCGAATCAGTATTCAGGTGTTATCACAAGTAAATTGCATTCTAATGAGTTGAATTTTATTTACAGATCGATTGCAACATGAACACCCATCAAGTGATGCTGCTCTGATTCCTTGTGAATATTGTCAAAAACACATTGAATGGCGTCTTTTTGAAAATCATACGGTAAGTTTGGTGGTAGCAGAATGCAACTATGATTATTTTTCTTCTAACAGAAGTATTGCGGCGTGCAAGCTCAAGAACAAAGACAACAGCAATCGAGGTTACTGCTTTGATGCTGAATTAATCACTAGAGTAACACCTGTCTTCTTGTAGATTCGTCCACGTCCAGCAAACCGACAATAATCGTATGGTTCGATGTAAATATTGTAATCAAGAGCGCCGGCAGGAGTATATGAGCGGTCATGAGGTTTGAGGAGTTTTGCGCTTTCACGTCATTTTTACAAATGGTTTCTATCTTAGAGAGTGTGTCTACAGTCATATAATTTTGCTGGTATGGTTTCCTACGCAGACGTATGTCGTCTGCCAGGGTTTCAATAATAATATGTTCAAATCAAACCAATGGAAAAAATCACCTCGAATTAATCACAATCGAAACACTTGATTTTTGGAATAAATAACCATTTTCTTTATAAAATAAACTTCCAGTGTGAAATAATTGCAGACCAAATTGCTATCAGCGTGAATCATATGTTGATATATAGAGTTTTTTCGTCATCCGTTTCTAATTTTTGCTTCGATCTCTCTTGAAAGCAATCTGTACAGTGATTTCATGAATGCAGCGTGACATGATTGCCTATGATGATACGACGTTAGAATAATAGTCCTGGATAAATAAGTAACAGTGAAGAGCAAGATGAAATTAGTTCTTGACAAAAATTTGTTTCCAAGCAGCTGTAAGGTTTATTACAAAAAGAAAGAAAAAGAACCAGGGAAACAAAGAGGATTTATGGAGCTATGTGGATTAAAGAGCACAAAAGAAAAAAAACTGGGAATGAGAGAAATAAATGTTTTTAATCTATTGCTACCAAGGACGTAATGGATCATGATTCAGCATTGGCAGCAGATAATGAATTCTATCTAAATAATCGAATTTGATCAATTTTTTTAAATGATAAAAATCTATTTGTCTTACCATTTATTTGCTGCTTTGTAAGGTTGCAATGGCTTGATCAAGTTCAGTTTCATATTCACTGAGCCATGCAGGGCGTTCGACACTCGCTGAAATCCGGAAGAAAACTTTTTAATTATTTTTTGAAAAAGAAATTCATAAACTTACCGAGACTTTTAAATACGCCTGATGCTTTCATACGGGCATAATCTCGTTCAGGATCATAATTACTAGAGAGAAAAACGATGATTCATATTTCAAATCGAGGGATTTCTACGCAGATTCAAGCTTGTTGAAAGCCTGATCTGACAACGAAAGAAAAAAGAAACTTAATAATTACTTGTAAAATGTACGCATATCATCTTTGTGTTTGTCGGATACGAAATGTTTTACTACAAGAGCGGCTGCAGCAGCGATACTGAAACCGATTAGACCAGCTTTGGGTACTCGTGCCCGAGTTAAATTTTTCAAGACGGGTCGTCCAGCAGCAGTCGCAGACATTATTATCTTTTTTTTTTTTATAGAAATCTAAATAATGTCGTAGAGAAGAATTATGTATTAATGATAATAATAAAAACAGAAAACAAATAATAAACACATGTGAAAATAGCGCTTGTATGCGTTTTAAATCAAAAAAAAATCGAGCCCAATCTGACAGACTGAGAAAAATTGCAATGTCACTCGGTACTAATTATGTATAAATAAATAAATAATGAAAAATAAAAGAAAAAAACAGCAACCCAAAAAAAATTAATTTAAAAAACTGAAATTATTGTTTTAATCGCTTGTTTAATTTATTTTCGTACGTCCATTTTAATTCGCCTGATTCGGTAAAATTCTAAAAACAAGAGAGATGAATTTCGAATTAAATTATATCCTGTTTTGTTTTTACTTTAGTTTGCCACTTAAGTGTTTTATCAGCACGGTCCTTGGCTTCTTCACGCTGCCGTTGTTCCAGGAATGATTTTGATGCAGTAGCTTTATTCATTTGTTTGGATTTTAGATAATAAGTGACATCTTTCCATAGACTAAATAAAACATAAAATCTCAAGTCATGCCTTTTTCACCCACCAACTGTTTCTTACCGGCGACTTTCATATTCACTTTGTTCAGCAATAGGCCGAACAATCTTTTTAATAACCGCCGTTTTTTTCGTGTCAAAAAAAACTTCTGATACTTTCGTATCGCTATATTTTGCATTCATCACACCATTCCATTCACCATCGATCTTACAAAATTCTTTCTTATCCGGTCCAAATAAAGTACCAATTATTTGATGTTTTTTTCCATTGTAAAATGGCTAAAAAAAGTAATTTTCAGCTCGCTGAAATACGACACATATTTTACAAGAAAACCTACTTTTGTTAAAAATTCTATATTAGCTGTATAGCCTGTTTTTTCACAATCAATGGTTACTTTACCACCCATTTCAAACCAAGGAACGCCGAGAATAGAGCTAAACATTACGAAAAACAAGTCGTATGAAAAATAATTCATTTTATTCTATCTACCGGCCATATGCACTTGGAAATGTGATCACATAACGTTCGTCATGATCAAGTAATGTTAATGTTGCATCGCCAATCATATGAACAGCAACTGAAAGACCAAGGAATTTCGATTTCGTCCATAGGCATCCATCAATCTGAATATGTTTTGCAGGACACTCAGCATAGAACGAAGCAACTATTTAAGAGTAGGGTTATTTTTATTTATTTGGATTTCAGTTTTGTTTTGGGGGGAAGAATTACTTGGAGGATGATGAGATGTTTGTTCGGCAATAAAAGTAACATTACTGTCAGATGCCCATGGAACAGGACCATCTTTAGCTACGGTTTCCTGTAGAAGAAAATTCTAAATTTACAAAATAAATAGCGTATTGGACTCACATTCGAAGATGACGATGAGCCAATATCGTATAAACATTGAAATGTTTCGCCAAGTATCGGATTATATGGTTTTTTTGGTACAGCACTTTTTCGACCAGCATGAAATGCAGATAAATACCATTTAACAACTTGAATAAAACGGTCACGCGGCGTCTGATGATCTGTAACACTAGAGAAACACAAATTTTCGATCCTTCCTTTCCCCTCCCATCGAAACTCACTTTACAAATTCTTCCGGATGCGCAAGAAAATCAGCAAGCATTTCAAGAAAAGAACGTCGTTCAAGGATAAACGTTGGTAATGTTATTTTTGTTAAATCCATTGATATACGAGCCTACAAAACGAACGTATCGAACATGCGAACGTTTTGCAAAATTAATTTTACTTGAGATATTAAATGTGAAATAATCGTTCCATCAATAGGCGCAACTAAAAATATAAAGCTATTTATTTTCTTCTCGCTTATTAAAACCACTTACGCTCTTCTTCGAGTCCTTCTTCATAAGCAGATTCATAAATTTCAAATGGAATTTGTATATCACTTAGAGGACTAAAAATCAGACTATAATACATTCATTATTAATAAATTCATTTTTACGTTGTTTCATTTATTGGATTATCATTCATGGTTACTTTATCATCTGCTTGTTCTTGGACTGTAGTGGGTGAAAAGACCGATCCGCTAAACAAACAAATCAATTCTTCAATAAGCAAAATCCTCGTAGAAAGGAAAAAATAAGTAGCCTACATAAAAATCTCTACTCTCTCACAATGCCAAACATTTCCTTTCTTTCTGTTAAGTGCTTATTGTTTTGGAAAATACTATGTAGAACAAAAACCAACAAACGTACTCGATTGATTCATCGGCATCGAAAAAATCTTTATCATCATCACTACTGGAATACGATGATATGGGAAATTTTTGTCGAACAGTTTTTACAGTCGCATGAAAATCCAAAGCTACAACTAAAATATTAATAAGCAAAATACGAATAAAAGTGTATCGTACATTCCATGTCATGATTTTGTTCATTTGATTTCTCATTCTTATCAGTACGATCGATGAATTGATCAGTAATTGGTGATATTTCATTATTATTACTAAGAATTTCATCTATTCGTAATAAATAATTTTATTTTTGAATGAAATTTACAAAAAAAAACAATTTTCCTACCTTTATTAATATTCATATTTACTAAAATAGTTCGAATATCGATATCAGTTTTCGTTTCACTATTGGAATCCATTTGAACCTATTCGAAAAATGACATTTTTTATACATTACAACTAGCATAACATTGGCCAAAACTCAAACCGGTTAAGCACAAGCCTACTGATTCAAAAGAAAATGCTTCATTCAGATTTTGTTTCTCAGGACTCTATCGCTTTGCTTCTAAAACAATCACTCGTGTATATATATATATACTAGCAGCAAAGCCCGCAATCGAAGTACAATAGTCTACAAGTACCTGTTCTTGAGACATTGTGATTAAAATATATCCTGTAAAGCAAAGCATTATTTCTCAAATGAACCCCGGAATCTTTATTTATTATCCGAAAAATAATATTTACTTTTGCTAATTGTAGTGACAAAATCGAATATTTAACAGCTTCAATGACTCTCTAGAAGAAAAAATAATGTATTTTACCCGATTAAAAATCACAATTAAGATTTACTTTTGCGGATAATACAACTCGATTATATGCCTCTTGTTCTTTGGTATCTTGAATTTGACTACTAATTTGTTCTAATTCCTAAATGTAAAAATTTCCAAAATAAAAAATCGAACCATTCCGCAAAAGGAAAATGTCACACCTTGACTTGATCAATTAATATCTGTAAATATCCGTCAGTTTCGGCTATTTTATGTTGAAAAACTGCTGTATTCGAAAGCGATAGATTGTCCTGGTGATAGTAGAAGAAAAAAAAAGAATCTATTGTTTTTTTTTCTATCAAAAACGAAAGCACAACATACCGTATTAACTGTATTGAGACAAATTGCGTCCTCAAGGTTAGATATCCACTTTTGTCTTTCTTCAGCATCACGAGCTATAAAAACGAAAAGAAACCTGACTTTCAAGATAAGATAAAGAATCAAAAAGTACTACCTTGGAAATGGAATGTTTTACCATTAGATCGAATAGTAAACTGACGAAAACAAAAATAAGTAAGACATAAAACGAAATATTTGCTTTCGGATTCTTACTGTACTATCATCTTCTGAATCGATACCTAAATGTGCATCCTAAGTAAATCGAATGGTTTATAAATAGAAACTTCAAAACAGTTATTCACTTTCAATAGAACAACGCCACGTTGTTCACCTTTGGCCATATTTTCTTTACTCTGAAAAACAAAAATGAATTCATTATTTAAAACGTGAATAATGGATTTCTTACTGTATAATACATAAGCATCCCTTGTGCGGGATCCAGAACAAAAAATCGGTACTGCCAACCGCGAATAACATTTGTCCACTTACTAAGTGAACCTTCGAATAACATCTAAAACTAGAAAAAATCAATATTAAGCGATTTCAATACAACGAACAGGTAATTATGGCATTTTTTCATGAGCATGAACACAATGTGTGTATTGTTTATTTACCACTATGCATCGGTTGGATTGTGGGTAAAACACAGCTAGATGTCGCTGATGTAGGTTCACACAAAAAAATCCGACGAATAATACGTTACTAAGCAATCAAACTGAGACGTTCAAGATGATTTTTTTTTTTGGTTTTAATATAATTTCATTCAAATGCAAAGGATACAACCTCACACGTTTACTCAATTAAATCATATTGCAATAAATAAATTGCACAAAGTATCATGAAGAGATCCATCTTGTGGTACACAGTAATCTGATTCATTTCGACGTTTCGGATCAGCTTCAATCAATTGCGCGTTACTTTGAAACAGATCCATGAGTGAAAATGCACCAAGAAATTTACTTTTTCCATGTTGAACTAATACTAAATCATAGTCATTCGATGCCGATGATGCTATTTCTTTTAAATAACCATGTACAAGTAGCCAATGAGCTCGATGACCTTTTTTAAGACATGGTTCATGGTTTGCATCCGAATCATATCTAATCAAAACGCAATGTCTAACGTGTCGACCATAAAAATGACAATTTTTCTCCTTACGGAACAAGACAAACATGACTTGATTTTAAGCATTCAACAAGATCAGTTATATTTGCCCATCGATGAAGTATTGCTTTGACATTAAACTGTTGACAAAGATTCGGTACTACTCGAGCTAAAAATGACCACATTGAAATCTTATTCAATAAATATCTGAATGCTTGTTTTCTTTACCATCGAATAATTCTCCTTGAATTGTATATAACAGTTCTTTAGCTTTTTCGAAGATATTTTGTACTGTTATATTATTACACGAATGAAGGTTCATAGCCATGGCAAGAGCAACAATTCCACATCTTATAAAAACCGATAGAAAACTTTTAAATTTATTATAATTTATTTTACATACTGTGGACCTTCTTGCAGAATCGATGGTATGGGCTTATAGACGACCAATTCATAATGTTTTGTTTCATCACGACTAAACTTCGATCTAATTTAAATTGTAAAATTTTCTCGAAAAAGATTTTTCGTTAGACAAACCTATTGAATGCTCTAACGACTTCTATCGGCCATGTCTCCATTCTGAAACAAAACAAAAACAGGAGAAGAATATTTTCTCAAAAATTTTCATAAAAAAAATCAAAATCGAATCATTTCCATAGAAAAACGTAATCACTCTTATTCAGTCTCTAAACATGAATTCATCTATAGTAAAAAAAATGAAATATACTGCTCACATTTTGTTTATTTTTCAAGTTAATATTCAACAATAAAAGTGAGAACAAAAAAAACTGTGTCATTCAATGAATACAAAACAGTAGTTAGTGGAGTATACTGTTCAATTAATAACAGTTAAGAAAACAGAAAAATCACAATTGTCAAAATGAGATCAGTTGCAATAAAAAAAAATCGGAAGTGAAATTATTTTGCGTGTTTTAATTGATTTGCTAGCCAATCAAGTCCTTCACATAGACCATCACCAGTGGTAGCACAGGCGGCTTGAATATACCAAGTTCGATTGCGTAACGAATGAAGACTTAATTTATCGGTTATTTCAGCAGCATTCATAGCATTTGGTAAATCCTATTGAAGTAAAAATCAAGAAATTGCTTTCGTTAAGTTTTTTTTCTACTTGTTTATTAGCAAAAATCAATATCGTCGCTTCTCGAAGTTCATCTTCAGAAATCATTCGTTGAAGTTCATCGCGTGCTTCACTAATACGTTCACGGTCATTACTATCAACAACGAAAATAAGACCTTGAGTATTTTGAAAATAATGACGCCATAATGGACGGATTTTATCCTAAAATTAAAAAAAAATAACAAATTGCCATTGGCTATCTAAAATCGGGCTTACTTGGCCGCCAACATCCCAAACAGTAAAATTAATATTTTTATATTCTAATGTTTCTACATTGAAACCTGATAAAAAAAAGTACGGATATTAGATTTACAATAAAGACAATAACCACTGACCAATAGTGGGAATTGTTGTAAAAATTTCTCCTAATTTAAGTTTATAAAGTACAGTTGTTTTACCTTTGAAAGAAAGAAAAAAAAAGAAGTCTGTCGAAGAAATTTTATTTCATTAAATAAAACAAACCAGCAGCATCAAGACCAACCATTAAAATTCTCATTTGTTTTTTACCAAACAGTTGCTGAAATACAGCCGAAAAAGTTAAACCCATTTTTACGTTCAATCTGAAATGTTTTCTATGAAAGTGAACCTCATGAATGACTAGCACAAATCAAGTTAAATAAGAAGAAAAAAAAAAGATAACAATTCTTTCATAATCAATTTTATCTTCTATCAAACTGTTCGCTGTTGCGAACAATAACCCATAAAATCTTGTATAAATTTTTCGAAATGTTCTCGTTGTTCATAATTGCCAACAAAAAATGAACGATTATTAGCTGAGCCTCGTATTAAAGCAGATAAACCTTAAGAAGAAAAAATTATATTGATTCCAATAAAAAAAACTAGAAATTCATCATACGTGTTCCACTTGAAGGTCGAAATAGACAAAGTACAGGCTTATTCAATGTTATAGCTCGTGCTATTTCAAAACCAACACCCAACGATGGTTGTGTGACTTCCGCAACGACAACTTGAGATTGCGCTAACCATTGCATATCACGTTCGAGGATTTCAGCATCATTCAAATTTTTCTCTACTATAGATTTCGAAGTAAAATATCGTTGCGAATAATTAGAGACAAATTCTTAAATTTCTTACGAATTTCCAATTCCGGGAACGCAACATGTTCAGTTAGAACTGGACCATATGATTTTAGACAAGCAACAATTTGTTGATAGATAGCAACATCTTGTCGACCACCTCGAATACTACCACAAAAGTAAATGTTCATCTGAAGAGTATCGAAATGAAAGAGAAGAAAAAAGACGTGGCAGCAGGAAGAAAAGACGAAATTGAATGAGTCATCGGCTCACAATGAATTCTTTTTTTCTTTCCAATTGAATTTTTTTACATAGAAACGAAATCTACTGTAAAAAATTCGTCGTCGTCTTCTTCTTCCTTCTTTCTTTTTTTTCTTACGTAGATTATACATGGTTGGATATACATATAGACAAATAGTAGAAGCCGTTCACATGTTAATAGTTCTATTGATGATAACAACAAACACGATATAGAGGTCTATGTATAACAGTGCTTCAATTCAATAGAATTTGTTTGATTAAGTATGATCGCAAAACAAAAATCGAATAAAATGCTTCTTTCCCCTTGACATTAATATTTCAATGCTTTTATCACATCGATCTAAATGCAAATCTTTCTCTTGGTCTCAAGAGATAGCGAATTGTAATTTTGTTAAGGAAACATTTTTCTTTGCTCTTCAAATGGTGGTATGCGGCTTAGAATGGACAATTAGATTTTCTAGATTATATTTTCATTAGGAATATTAAAAGCAAACTGAAGGATTAGTGACTTCGTCTTCATATATATGAATATTAACAGCTTATATTCTTTTCTTTCCTCATGAAATGATTGTCAATTCAGTACTGGTTCCATTTATTGTAGACGTTCACCATGAATATAGAAGAGTAATCTGAACAAATAGTTCATAGAAAATTTTTAAAGTAGGTTAATATAATTCGAAAACAATGTTAATTAGTCGTTTTGATTTATGTTTATTTTAAATGAATAATCTTATAGATCAGTACAATCATGCCGGTATCGATCACTCGAGGTGAAATCAAGGATTATGATTTACCGTGACCTAATAAGATGATTATCTCATTTGCAGATTATTTATGTTTTCCCTATTCAATGGAAGCTATCGCAGGCACTGAACATGAAAGAAACAGTGCTGGAGAGATAAAACAGAAATATACAAGGAGAAGAAAATCCATCATGCTTAATGATAGGAGATAATAGATCCAATACATAGCTATAATCTCTGATATTTATAAATTGTACAATTCAGCTAGATAAGGAACTTCTGTTTTGGCGAACTTATCATTTGCTCGATTATTTATGTGGCTATATGTATAAACACAAAATCTCTTTTAGCAGCAGATTTTGACCTCATTCCAAAGTCTATTGCCCTGAGTATGTACTACATTATATAGACTAAATTTTAGAAAAAACAAATTGCATCGTGTCAAACAGCTGCACTTACTTTATGAAGTTATCGATGATCAATTATCTTTCGTACTGAGAAAATCTCTCATAATTCATCCATGGAGACAAAGTCGCGTGAATTTCCAAGGTAATATCTATACTAGTAGATTACAGTCGTGCGCAACCTTGAAAATGGCTTCTATCACATGAGAATACTTTTTGTCACCTATGTATTACTTTATTGAGTACAAGGATAAAACTGAATTCATTCGCGTTTTTCCCTTATGAATATTACCGTTGGATAGTTTTCTAATATTCAAAAGATATTAAATTCGACTTTTTTGTATTTCGATCATTCTGTAAACTTCTCCGAGTACTTGAACATTTACTTGTGAGTCATGAATAACAGAATAAAGCTTCCGAGTCTCTTTCTCTTCTTTTGATCATTATTACATGGCGAAATTTCCAGAGACAAGTAGATTAATCATTTTCTATGTAAATAGAAATGAAATATGTGCTATACTGATTTATATATTGTTTCATTCCATTTTTATTTATAGATAAACATGAGATATCTATCAATATGTGTTCCATAAAACGCCACATTTTCAGATCAGGCTTATTATTTATTACCAATACGCTCGTAACAAAAAAAAACTATATATGCGTCATTTACATTACTAATGCTTTACTAGTGAATTGTTATATTCATGTTTTTTCTTTAAAAAACGTCCTACTAACCGATTAACTGCTCTCGTCTGGGCACATTCATTTGTATCATATCGCGAAGATGCTAGCTATTATTCTCATATTTTGTTTGTTATGCGAGTCTACGTTCGTGTATCAAATAGAAAGGTAAAACCTGTCATCCCCGACATTTCTATCTGTGCTTACTCACTAGTAAGTACTTTTGCATCTTGACAGAGAGTATACATAAAGAATATGAATGATAAATTAGTTACATTACTTCTATTCTTATCATTATGTTTTATTGATTATACAGATAAGGAAGACATATATCACTGCAGATATTTCAAATAAAATACAGCAGTATGGTTCTTTTTTTACTATAGGGTGCTTATCGAACGAAACGACGCCAATCCTCTAGTGTTGTTTTAAGTAGTAGGCAATATCATATATCGACTAGTTTTTGTGGTATTTAGGAGTGATATATCAATCGATCGTGTCCATAGTCGTGCAACATTTAATATAAAACATATGAAAAAGAAAACTTCGAACATCAGCAGGAGATGATGATGGTGTTGTGACAATCTTTTGCTAGAATATATTTGAGGGACGAGAGAGAGAGAGGGTGCCTATTTACTCATCCTGAATATATTCGAACTATGTCATTTTGTTACACTGATAGTGCCAATTAAGACATTCTTTATTCTACTGTAACATATATTTATGCAAATCTGGTTAGTATAGAGCTGTATGCGATTATCGATATCCTTCGACTAAAGATTGTACACGTTTTTGTGTGATACCAAATGTTGTGTTGACACAGCCAATCGAAACAATCATTTAACGCCATTAATAGATTATTCTATTTCTTGGTACAGCTAATAATGTATTAGTATTCAACATGTTTTTGTACAGAAAAAGTTCCTATTCTTCAACGAACTCACTCAATGTGCTGTATGGCTATGCAAATGTATAAATAATTTTTTTTTCTTTAGCGTTGAATTTGATAGAATTAGACGAGTCTATTTTCAAGGTGTATTTTATTTCTTTCTTAGTTTATTCCTATCTTACGACGCACAATATGACATATATCGAGGAAAAATAGTTATTTATGCTGAAAGATATGTTTCTTATACTATGTATAAGCGATCAATTCTAGAAGAAAAAATTAATTAATGGCAAATATGGACCGATTACATCAACAGCAAAGTAGATGTTCCTTTTTTTGCGATGTGTAGTTGAATTTATTTGGTTATTATGATAACGATGGTGTCGTTTGAGGTCGAATTAATTCTCAGAATTGCGTAAAATCCGGCGCGTGTTTATGCATTTAGTTGGTTGTCTACGTAATGACGAAGAAATGCACTTTGGAAATACGTATTGCATACTACTTGAAAGTCCTCCAACATATTTCTCTTCGATTCTTCCGTTCGTGTTTGGAATATACATTTGAGAAAAGCAAGGAGAACCACATCTTTTTTCGATTATATTGATCGTACAGAAAAAATAGCACGATATTTTTCTGTTTTTAACTATTCCCTATGTTTAGTCGACTTATAATTATATTAAGCGTGCTACTTAATACGATTTCCCGAATGTCTTAAATGTGAGTAAACGTGATAAGATTATCCTTTTAAACAAACGGGAAGAAAAAAGTATTCATTTTTGCTTTCTCTCTCTCTCTCTCTCTCTCTCTTTCGATAGCAACAATCGATTGAATACAATTTTTCGAGAAAGTCAGTATGTACGAAAATATTGAATATTCGAATAATTTCATTACTGAAATGGACAGTAAACAAAACAAACGGATAGAAATAGTACTCTGATTCAATAATAAATAATCAGGTTTCATAATTCAATTTATATGTGAAGCGATTCTTTTTATTTTTATTTGTAAACCATTAGAGAACGAATCGAAAAAGAAAGAGAAAAAAAGGCAAATTATATCTTATCGAATACCCCCTTCTTCTCTCATATCCTGTTCCTCGATTTGCTTAGACAGTCTTGGAGATAAATCGTAAAGAATAGTACTATAGTACACGATAAATATTTTCTAGTCGTCTTTATCTTTATCAATCTTAGTTTTAATATAGATATATGATTGATTTTATATGCACAGATAACTATTGTAGGCATTTCATTTAGTCAAAAATTAAGAACATTTAGATTGGCCGTAACTTTTTGGTGTTGCTGTCAGTATATTTAGTACGAATGGTAATTTCTTGTCTAGATGACAGATGTTGGGTTTCAGTAAATCTATTAGTGTCGACCGTTTTTGTCTTTGTCGATTAGTTTTTTTTAATCTATTTAATCGTCCATATTCTAGAAAACAAGAAAATCTTATCAATATTTACATTTGAACGTAAGTCATTGATACATATGGAACAAAAAATTCAACAGCCGCAACAAAAAAAAATAACTAAACGTCCGATCATTAATTTTTGTCAAGGTGTTGCAGTTACTTTATTTTTATTAGCTACTGCGCTTATTATTTGTTTAATAATTGCATATTGTACTAGTCGGAAACCATTGACTAGTTATGCCATTGTATTTGATGCTGGCAGTTCGCACACGGAAATGTTTGTTTACCATTGGCCAGCTGATAAATCCGAGGGTTTAGGTACAACATCAACCGTCAATGAATATTTTGTCTGTCCATTATCGAGCGTAACTTATATTGATCCCGAAAAACCGACTGAAATTACTAAACTTAAAGCAATTTCTGATTTCGAACAACATGTTAACTTATTAGCGGCTTATTTTCGACCTTGCTTAGAAAAAGCCATGTCAAGAATCCCATCTGATCGTCATAAATTTTCACCAGTTTTTCTCGGTGCAACAGCTGGCATGCGTCTATCATTACTACATAATGCGACACGCGCAAAAAATGTATTGGAAAGTATTCGTGAAGTTTTTTCAAATTCACCATTTCAATTTGTTGTTAATCGTCAAGTAAATAAACGCTTTTTTGTTAACATAATATTCATACTATAGATAAAATCTAATCATTTACATATGTTAGTGATAAAAAGGATAGTATCAATTGAGATGATTGAAACCTCATTGCACATACATGCGGTATATCACAGTAATCTTAATCGGCTAAATTTTCAAAAATAAATATCTTATTGGTATTTGCTGTTAATGGATTTTCCGTAGTTTATATGTCAAAACGTTTGTTTACCAACAGCTAATGACATATTGTTATTATTAGAGAATATTGACCTAATAAAATATGTTCTGATCTATTAATTTTAGGTACGAATATTAACGGGCATGGAAGAAGCTATTGATGGCTGGATAACAACAAATATTTTATTAGAAAAATTTACAAAGCTCCATGCAAAAAATAAACGGAAAAGATCACAAAATGAATTCGACTCCAATATGGTTGGCGTACTCGATTTAGGCGGTGCGTCAACACAAGTTACATTTACTCGTAAGATTTGACCAATTTTTTGTTTAGTCATTCAAAAGCAATGGAAAAAAAAGTATCAATTTTTATTCTTAGATCTGAATGATATCGATGATGAACCTATTCCGCCTGATTTTACAACTAACATTACGCTATTCGATACGGTTTATAGTCCCTATGCGCATAGTTATTTATGTTGGGGTAAAAATGAAGCACTAAAACGGTATCGTGCTCGTCTTCTCAATGCAGCATTGAATACCGGACGAAATTATTTCACAACTTCAAAAAATCTCCATATACGTGATCCATGTTTAGCCAATGGCACAAATGATACCGTAACAGTCAATAGTCTATTTCGTTCGCCTTGTACGGCAAACGAAAAACAACGTTATCTAACTTACACCAATAAAACATCGTTTAAATTTATTGGTTCAGGAAATGCAACACAATGTCGTCAAGCTATTCTTAATTTATTCGATGCAAAACGTAATGATCTAACAGTGAATTGTACATATAAACAAGACTATTGCACATTTGACGATACATTTCAACCAAAATTACCAGAAGATATTAAATTTATTGCCCTATCAGGATATTATTATGTATTCAATAATCTTGCTCATGGTAATTAGTCTATCGTAAAGAAACAGACAATAATATTTTTAATAATTTAGGCATGAAAAAACCTGACGGATTTACAGCTGAACGATATCATTATCGAGATTTCCCACAGGAAGAAATAGACCGACGTCTTATCAATGTTGTAAGTGTGATATTAATTACTGAGAATCACATTAATCATCAATGAGGAAAAGGTGCCGATTAAAAATAAGTTTTAGATAAAGATATCATCAAAAAGAATTCATCAAATCAATTACTAGAGCGCTTCTATCTGATTCCAATAGAATATATGTATGTTCTTCTTGCATATCAAGTATAGTAGCCGTTTATCATATTGAAACCCGAGAGAATTTCCCAGAGCTAGACCGAAACGTGCTCTACATATTTTCGCTAATCCTCGCCTAGGAAAATTTTTGTTTACCATGATCACACGCTATCATTAAGAATATTTTAGCCAACGCCAAGATTATGCTATTCGCTAATTATTTAATCTAATATCCTACGCAAAGATCGACCGCCTTAATAATAATAAGCAAAAGCTGATATGAATAACTCACGCTTGAATAAAGAACTGAATATTTTCAGTGTTGTACTGATTCAATTTTTGTTTTCTTTGATCTAGTGTGAAACTGATTACTCAACATTTTACACGCAAGAGTCAATGACACCATCTAATGAACCGCACAAACGAAGTTTATGCTTCGATGCCTGGTATATGTGGCTTTTATTAACCTATGCTATTGGTTTTACAGAAAGTGATTTAAAACGTTTAACTTTTGCTAATACATTTCCAACAGGAAAAGTCGGCTGGACACTTGGCTATATGATAAATCAAACAAATTACATTCCGGCTGAATTTCGGGAAAAGGCATTAACAAAAAATAGTTTTATTGGTTTATTATCAGGCTCATTAGTGCTTATCTTAATAACATTTCTTTTTCTGCTTCTTACATGTTATCTATGTTTGAAAAAACGATCAGCAAGAACAACGAAGAATAAAGATGGCTATACGGAAGCAACCGAACAAGCAAATGTTTAAAATATCGGTATTTATATTTGAAAGTGGCGGTGACGTTGCAAACAAAGTATCATCGAGTTCATCTAGCCACAGTGATTAGACAAACAAGAAAAATAATTTTCATATTGTATTTACAAATAGATATTTATTAATATATGCACGTATATTTCTTTTTCTCTCGTTTCATCGTATATTATATTGTCAAGTGTGTTTTCTGTTTTGTCACATCGCTTTAAATGATATTTAGAAAGAAAACAAAAACAGTGTCGTATTTTTATTTTACTTTTTTTTCTAGCATAATGCTCAGTAGTTATAATAAATATTGTTTAATCTTTTGGTCATAACTTACGTACAATTATTCTCGTAGTCAATGTGTGAACCGATGATTTGAGTAATTAACTGTATCTTTTTTTCATCTGGTTGTTTTTACCAGTAGCAGATTCATAATTGTCAAGAACGAAAACGCTATACTACACGATATTTCTTTGGATATTCAAAATCAAAACGAGTGCATCATGATAAGATTGTATAAGCTTCAATGCTGAAAAAGTTTCGCATATCAGCGATTGTTGATAAATTGTAACTTGATAGTCAAGAAAGAAAGAAACTCTCACTGATTTTCTGAATCTGACTGTCAAGACAGAAGAGGTCGCCACATCCTGGCAATGATACCAGAGTTATTGAAGAACCTCAACTGGTTATTATTGATCAGCTGTTCCATACCAATGATTTGACGGTGACACAAAGTGACCTCTATTGAGGCAATTCCGTAGGAAAATTTTGCTGAAATATAAATTGATACGTTTAAAAGAGGTGAAATAAATTTAAGAGTGTTCGAAATAGTATCATTTTTTAGTAGCTTTCATTGAGGTCTCACAAGAACCTCAACTATGAAGTTGTTTCGAATACAGATCAACCAACTCGTTGTGTTTTTTCTTTTTCACACAATTTCTAACAACAACAACAGCTGAAAATAATAAATCATGAAACGAGCTCTTGTGTCCTTAGTTCGTCAACGAGCACTTGCTCGTAGTGCTGAATCAGCAAAAGTAAATTACTTTTGAACGAGTTATTTTTAAGTACTATTTATTTATTGCAGTTTCTCGGATGTAATCATGTTTTTGCTGCATCATCATCTCGATTCATGTCAACAACATCAACACTCAATGCTGCCCATTCAGCACAATCAACACCAGAAGTTTCCTCCATTCTTGAACAAAAAATTCTTGGCTATCAATCAAAACAAGATCTCGAAGAAACGGGACGAGTCTTGACTATTGGTGATGGTATTGCTCGTGTTTATGGCTTAAAAAATATTCAAGCCGAAGAGATGGTGGAATTTTCTAGTGGCTTAAAGGTTTGTTGAAATATAATAGCAAAACTAACAGTGATATACTAAGATTTAGTTTTGATTTTTTTAGGGTATGGCACTTAACTTGGAAGCTGATAATGTTGGTGTTGTCGTTTTTGGTAACGATCGATTGATTAAAGAAGGTGATATTGTTAAACGAACAGGTGCCATCGTCGATGTACCCACTGGTGATGAATTACTTGGCCGAGTTGTTGATGCTCTTGGTAATCCAATTGACGGCAAGGTAAACATGAATATTTTTTGGGATATACTGATGTGTATTATAAATCTGCTTAATCATTTCTAGGGTCCATTGAATACAAAAAAACGAGCTCGTGTTGGTATTAAAGCACCCGGTATTATTCCACGTATTTCCGTACGTGAACCTATGCAAACGGGTATGAAAGCTGTCGACAGTTTAGTACCCATTGGTCGTGGTCAACGTGAGTTGATTATTGGCGATCGTCAAACTGGCAAAACAGCTGTTGCTATTGATACAATCATTAATCAAAAGCGTTTTAATGAGGCCGGAGATGAAAAGAAAAAACTTTACTGTATTTATGTTGCTATTGGACAAAAACGTTCGACTGTCGCTCAACTCGTCAAACGACTTACTGATGCCGGTAACTATTGATCTATCAATTATCTGGTTATAAGTAAAACTTGATATTTGCTTTTATTTAGACGCCATGAAATATTCAGTTATTGTTGCTGCTACGGCCTCTGATGCAGCTCCATTACAATATTTAGCACCCTATTCTGGTTGTGCTATGGGTGAACATTTTCGCGATACAGGTCGACATGCCTTAATCATTTATGATGATCTTTCCAAACAAGTAAATAAAACCATATTTTAAAACGATATTGATGTTTATATTAGAAAAAAAAACTCCAATTCTATTTTAGGCTGTTGCTTATCGTCAAATGTCTTTATTGTTACGTCGTCCACCAGGCCGTGAAGCTTATCCAGGTGATGTCTTCTATCTTCACAGTCGTTTACTTGAACGTGCTGCTAAAATGAATGACAGTCATGGCGGTGGTTCATTGACAGCTTTACCTATTATTGAAACACAAGCTGGTAAATAAAATAGATTTACTTATTGATTGTAACAAAACAAAACTATGCATCTCTATTATTTAGGTGATGTATCGGCTTATATCCCAACCAATGTCATTTCAATTACAGATGGTCAAATCTTTTTAGAAACTGAATTATTTTACAAAGGTATTCGACCAGCTATTAACGTAGGTCTATCAGTATCACGTGTCGGTAGTGCTGCCCAAACAAAAGCTATGAAACAAGTAAATTATTTCAAATAACTTTCTCAGTTTATATATGAAATCAATATTTATATATAGGTGTCAGGCAAAATGAAACTCGAATTAGCTCAGTACCGTGAAGTCGCTGCTTTTGCCCAATTTGGTTCAGATCTTGATGCAGCTACACAATCATTACTTAACCGTGGTGTTCGTCTCACTGAATTACTTAAACAAGGACAATATGGTTAGTTGCATAATTCTGGATTTTCTTTGTTTTCTTCATTTCTCATAGCAATTTTATTTTATTTATGTAGTACCAATGGCTATTGAAGAACAAGTCTGTGTAATCTATGCTGGTGTCCGTGGTCATTTGGATAAACTTGATCCATCGAAAATTACCAAATTCGAACAAGCCTTCTTACAACATTTGAAAGGACAACATAAAGATATTCTTGAATCAGTTCGTTCCAAGAATGAAATTACTGCTGAAACGGATGCTAAACTTAAAGAAATTGTTCAAAATTTTGTTGCTTCATTCAAGGCCTAAATTAATAAACAATCATATTGACTGTGTCACATTTTTAAAGAAATTTTAAGTAGCGGCTTGTTTTTTTTCCGGATATCGACGAAGATAAAAGTTCTATGTTAGACATGTAATCTGTCAAAACAATACACCCATTTCGTTTGTGCTACCTGTTGCTTCTTCTGTTTCTTTTTCTATAGTTTAATTTGGCACATTTTGTCTTTCTTTTTTTTCTCTCTTTCTCCATCCGTCGTATAAAATAGAATATAAAGAAACATTCAAATATCTATTTCGCTTAAAATAACCAGACAAAAGACAAGAATAGAATATGTGCGATTAATAATTTATTCAATCAATTAACTGCAACTGCTTTGCTGCGAGATGGGATAGCAAGTAGCTGGAGGTTGAAAGGAGTGCAGAAAAAGGTACAATGGTTTTTTTCAAGGTTTTAATTTTGTTTTTGTTCATCGAACAAATGCTTGATATTGGCAATTGGGTGGTCGTAGTGTAATACCAGGTTCGCCACGTAGGTTCTTTGGTCTCCAACCATCAACAAAGCGAAATTCAAATTTTTGAAATAAGCTGACCAATATTAAAAACAATTGTATTTTTGCAATTTGTTCACCTACAAAGAAGATTTTAAAAAATGACGACTTTAGTAACTGAATCAGATCTTACCCGTGCAAGCTCGTTTACCCACACTAAATGGCATCATTGCTGGATGATTGGCATCTTTTAAACTATTGTTTTCATCTAAAAATCTTTCGGGTCTAAATTCATCTGGTGCCGACCATTGTTCTTCATCTTTCATAGCTGACCACATATTGACTAATATAAATGTATCTTTTGGAATAAAGTAATTTCTAAATGTAATATCATGCGTTGTAGCTCGTGGCAATAATATAGGTCCAGCGCAATGACAACGCAATGACTCCAGTAAGACAGCTTCAATGTAAGGCATTTGATTGCGATCTTTTTCACATGGTGGTCGATCTTTACCAATGAGACGGTCGATTTCTTCATGAACTTTTTCTTGCACATCTGAATGTGCTACGATATAGAATATTGCCCAGTTCAATGTATTTGATATTGTTTCTGTTCCAGCAACAAAAAGATCTTGAACAAGTGAGTCGAGATTTTGTTTTGAAAAATATCGATGTTTTCCCATATCATTTATATAAGCATCGACGATACTGTTAACTAGTTCAGGATCAAAATTGGTTTCACGTTCATCAACTAATTTCTGGATAACACGATTGCAATCTTTAACATTTTCAAATATATTCTTTTTAAATCGTCGAGTAAATGGTAAGAAATTAAAGCATGCTATTGTTGCTGTTTGATTGAAATTTTCATTTATTTTCTCAAATAGATGTGCCATATTCATTGTTTCAAAATATCTACCGAATGTAAGGGTACATATATTGTTGCAAGCTATTTCACTTAACATATTGCCAATTCGGAATGGTGCAGGTTGTTTTTCTCGAAGTCTTTCAGCTATTAAACGTACTTCATTGAGACAACCATTTTCTAATGATGAACGCCGTCTGCGACCAAATCGATTGAAACTTTTGATCAAGAATTTTTTGTGTTCATTAAATTCGCGTCCATATGGAGCTGAAATAACGCCTTTACCATGTAATGTTTCATGAATCATATGTAAATATGGGCGACCAGCAAATGCTTCGCTATGATCATGTAATGCTTCACGAATAACTGATGTTGAATTGAGTACTACAACCATTTGTGAGCCAAGTTGAAGACGAAATATCGGCCCATACTTTAGCATTTTCGACCAACGAAAAATTGTTTCATATGGACGATAGCCTAATTGAAGAAGATTACCTATTATTGGCCAACGACGAGGACCCCAAGGAACTGTTGTTGTTGATGGAGTTAGAGTTTTAAATTGAGAACGCTAAAAAATAATTAGTTAGTTGCAAGTTAATTAGTAACGTAACTGAATAGACACTTACCTTTTGACGCATGATACTCATGGCCAGCATGATAACAACGGTGACCAGCACCAAATCTAGCATTACTATAGAAAATTCTATATCAAAATGCTAGTGTTTACCAGAATTGAATTCATTTTATACCTTATGTCTGGAAGGAATAACAGAATGTTAAACAATCAATCAATTTTTCCCAGAGTAACATGTGAATACATAATTAATATCTCAGATGTTATGAACAAAACAGCAATCTGTTTTGAAATCACACAGATCTCTCATTAATTATTGCTATTTTCATGACAAATCAATTTTTATCGCGACGACGCCAACACACATTGCTGGTTATTATCAACAAAAATAAGTTTATTTATGGAAACAGTCTATTTTTATATCTATAGAATTGCAAGATATTTGTTGTTGTTGTCAGATGGCGAACATAATAAATCAAAAGTATAACGTTTTATCTTATTATAGTCCTAGTAGAGAGGGGATCTGTTAAATTTAACTTTTTCAGTGACGCTTGCAAATATTCGCATTGCCTAGCGTAGGTAGATATAGAGATTGAAGTAGGAATGAGCGAATCTACGCTGCTACGAATTAATTAGGTCGGAGTGTAGATAGATGCTTTTAGTTAACACTAAAATAAAACACACCGTGTCTTCAGATCTGTAACAAAAGAAGAACCATGCGGATCAGATTCTAATACGGCTTTTGTTAGCGCTATCTCAAAAGTAGAAATCTGATGATAAAATTTTGGACTTTGATTGCACATCAACAAATTAGAGCTGTTTTAAATTCATTCTCCTCCACATACAGGTAGCGAGTGGACGAATTTTTAACTTCCTCTCATGTACCCTTTTTTTAGCGGTATATGCACTCATCGAATACAAAACAGTGTATCTATCTACCAAATTACAGAGAATCGTAGTGGCGGCACTACGGAGGGGAGGGAAGAGAGTTGAGCCCCTTGCAATCGTTTTTGTGCCTCCTCAGAATTGTTGAAAGTTTTCACACAGAATCTATAACATATTCTTATATTGCGATAAACCTATTACCAAGTTGTAGTTGGGGACTAAATCGTCGCCAGATCAAAACTCCTGGCACCACCGCTAGACTATCGGTTAAACGACTATGTTATATTCTTTTTATGAACATACGTCATCAGCGGAACAGGATGAATTAGCAGACGGAATTGAATTTCGAAAACTAAACGATGAATATTTACGTGAAAATCAACATTGAACAACGGATCATATTATAGCAACACCAAAAAGACGATAGTAAAATGATGATAATGCAGAAACAGAAGCGAACCTTTTCGAATCGTAAAAAAACAGAAATAAATAACAAACCACTTGTAATAATTAACCTCAACGATCCAAGTCTATAATCCATACTAAAAATCGCATATGATCCATTACGGTCAAGAGAAATGAAAAAATAATGGGGCTCAAAGTGCCACGAATACTCATGAGTAATCGTCAGTAGTATTTCAGCTAAAATCTGAGTACGACCCAGGCGAATGAATCCGATCGGATCTTATAGAATCTGGCGAGCCGACAAAGACCTAGGGGATTCCGGGTTAAGGAACTACTAACGGATCCCTAGTGTTAGAATCTGGTGAACATCCGACCAAATCCAACAGCCGAATTCGATAGGAATTTCAGGAGTCGGATTCCAACGAGGTTCCTAAAGAAACCTATCGGGTGTTGACTGGTTCCTGCAAGAATCGATCGGATTTCAACGCTAGCGATCCGTGAGTAGGTCCGCAACCTGGATTTGCTTAGGATTCTGCAGGAGCCAATCGAATCCAGTTGGATTCAGCTATCTGATTGTTCGTCCTGGGGACTGCCGAGTCCTCACCTTGTAAAATGAAGTGTTTTTGTCAGCACTCTGGTCAGACTTTCGTAAAAGGCTCGGACACATATTTTTACTAGATTCAATTTGTTTAGTTTAACGACTAACGACAGAACAGCGACGTGCATGATAAAAGTTTGCGAAACGAAGTGTTTCATCGTCTTAAAATGCTTTTAATTATGATATAGAGATAAAACGTTTATCCACAGAATGCAAGAAAAAGTGAATACAAACCTGTATTGAGAACAATAAAACATATGTAAGCATTAACGAGAAATAAATTATTGATCAAATTAAGCTATGCAATAACAATTCACATTCACTTCATATCTACTTCCGTGAAACACTTTTTTCAAACAAAAGATATTAGATGAAATTCTGCAAAAAAAACATTTAGTTCATTTAACTAATACAATCCTCTCCATTTAACTTTTTGATGAAACACAATCAATATAATTTCACTGTAATATCCTATTGAATGCAAGCAAATGGAGCCGACAGTGCCATTAAATAAAAAACACAATTTGTGCAAAATTCGAAATGTTATCTTTTGCTGTGAAAAATTGTTTAAATCAAGGGGACCACACAAGGGACACGAGAAAAAAAACAACTAATTATAATAGTAGCCTACATGGATAATTCAATGGTTCGATAGAAGAGTGAAATATGACTGGATATGGTGCAGCCATCGTTCAAACTCGGCCACTAGGGCAGAGGTCTCAATGGACGAAACATTTTTCGAACAGCAAACGATACGAACTTCTGGCGTATTGGAAATTCTAATCGACACCGATGAATTAAATTTTTATTAATATGTAAATTTGTTGCAAGATGATATTAATTTTTCCGAAACATTTATTTCAAAAATGATGTGCCATTCTGTGATTGGTCTACAATTTTCTACAATGAATAGCAAATGCCCTAAGCCAGACAAAGAAGACAAATGCTATTGTCTTCGACTTAAAAGGCTTTCTTTATATGCAACAAGCTATCCTTAAGCAGACCATCTCATTTGTTCTAAATTACACTGCCATCATCAATGCTCCTTTCTTGTCTATTTCCACTGACCCTTCTCAATCAGTAAGCTTTGGTACCGTTTTCCCCTGAAGCACAAGAGAATTATATCTGAGTCGAGCAAACTATTTTTGAAATAAAAACCAACGATATATATATTATTTGGCACTCAACGCTTCACAAGTCGCTAATAGACTGCATACCTAAAAAGTGGCTTCGGTTCCGCCATGATAACGATACCGGTATTTCTCTAACTATTCAGGCTGGTTCACATGTAGTTTCTCCTTATAAGCGTGTTACTATAAAAAGTGAACGATTCTTAGACAAACTAGAGCAACTTCTTGTTTAGATAATGCAATCTCTTCATCCTCAAAGTTAAGATTTGGTCAATCAATAGCAAGACTTATAATATTTAATTATTGACTGTTCAATTTAGATCATCCCATGTTCATAATGAGCAGATGATGCGCTTCTTGCACAAATTGTTTTATTTCTTTTTATACACCGTATCCATTTTTTTCGATGAAAACCGTAGCAAGTTGAAGTTCTGATCCCATCGGCAATGCACAAACCTACCGTTGGTTTAGTGGCGGTATATCGCCGGTATTTAAAAAATAACTAATGAAATACCATCGTTATAGCGCACATTATGCCAAACGGTCAATCCACGGTTTGTAGATGGCGTTTCTTTGGCTCTAGCAATATATTGCAAGCTAAAAATCGCATATGATCCATTACGGTCAAGAGAAATGAAAAAATAATGGGGCTCAAAGTGCCACGAATACTCATGAGTAATCGTCAGTAGTATTTCAGCTAAAATCTGAGTACGACCCAGGNTTTAAAAAATAACTAATGAAATACCATCGTTATAGCGCACATTATGCCAAACGGTCAATCCACGGTTTGTAGATGGCGTTTCTTTGGCTCTAGCAATATCTTGCAAGACATTAATATACTAAAGTGTATTATTCTTAATTTTACGTTATTATAGATGTTTATAGAGGTATGCTCTCTTTTTATTAACGACTCTGAACCGTTATGTAGCCTATTTTATTTATATATTCGAAGAATAAAAATCACAAATAATTTTCATTTTTTTCAGTAAAAGAATCAACGCCAACGGTACAATAGAAACAATGTGGCATCGTCAACTGATTCAAACACACCTGTATATGATTGATTCCTTGAAGACTATCAAGCTGAAGATTCATATTTAGTAGTGTGCTTGACAAAATGCGAACTTGTTTATGGAAGATGAAATGAGAATGATTACTGCTGCTCAGATATCATTGAACTTTCACCATCGATAGGATTTATTGTAGGCACTGCAGATAATTGCTGATTTCTATGTGCAATAGTCCAATCGTATTCGTAATCGTATTGGTCACCTTTTTGATAAAGTAAATGCCGAAATAAATGTCTTAAATAATTATAATCAGGTCGATTATCAAATACAAGCGTACGACAATATTCAAGAAATAAAATGCATTCCTTTGGATGATTTTTACATATTTGTTCCGATGTCATTTTCATTTTCAATTCAGCAATACGTTCAAATTTCGCTTTTTTTGCTGTTGCTTGTAAACCTTGCCATGGCAATGTACCCATAATAAAATACATGAAAACATAACTAATAGCTTCTAAATCATCACGACGTGATTGTTCAGCACCTTTATGAGCATTGATTGATGCGTATCTAGCAGTGCCTGAGAGTGCACAATTAATTAAACACAAGAACAAGAAAGAAAAACTATTTAGCAAGATCGTTTTTCGATACTTAGAATATTTTCCAGAAAATGAATCAGCAGCTATTTTGCACGGATGGCAAGTTCAAGTTTTTACAGCTATTAGCAAAACAATTCTAAGTACGTTTGCCGGTGTATAATTTCCGGCAGTATTGCTGGTCTGCCATACATTTGAGAAAAAGAAAATAAATTCTACTTCAGAGTGCCGTCTGTAAATTGAATAAGTGTAAATGTTTATCTCAAATTTTATTTAAGCTGCGAACAGGAAATAACTTTTCATATTGTTTATTTATTCCGGATTAAAACGCTCGAAGGGATCGGTGAGTATCTAAGTACGTTTTTCATTACCAAAAGATAAATATTATATTCAATTTCATTAAAATATCAATAATTTCACAGAAATAATTAATGGAATGATATTTCCTGAGGACCCTCAAAGTGTGAATAACTATGTCGATACCTGTAAGACTTTTATTGGTTTTCCAAGGAATATGCACCAGTGAATTTGGATCTCTGTATCGTTTTGCAAGTCCAAAATCAATTATATAAACGATGTTACCCGTCGATTTCACGCCCATTAGAAAATTATCTAAAAATACAATTTAATCGTATTGAAAGCAGAAAGAAAATGACTATGTATGAAGCTCTAGACCAGGTTTAATATCTCGATGAATCAGATGACACATATGAACATATTCAATTCGTGACACCATTTGATCGACAAGCATCACAGCTGTTTTTAATGTAAATTTTCTATGGCAATAATTAAATAAATCTTCTAATGATGGACCTAATAATTCAATAATAAGAACATCATATGTGCCTTCGCTACCAAAATAATCAATCTTAGGAAAGCCAATCGCACCTTGAAGTATTGTATAGATTTTATGCTATTCCATTTAAAATGAATAATTCAATAAAACAAAATTCTACTCTAATTACCTCAGTTGATAATTGAGGATTATTATTCATAGCATGTGATTCAATTTTCATTGCCCATTGCTCATGAGTTCGCTCATGTTCACACAGATAAACTTGTCCAAATGATCCGGCACCTAGTTTTGATTCAATTCGATAGTTATTAGCTATGACACGGCCAGTCATATCCAATTCATGAAATTCTTCTCCTTCGTCAACACCATGTGAATCTTCATTAATCTGTATTTGAGAGTCAGTCCCATTGGACTCAACTGTTTCTGTTGTTGTCGCCGACGTGATTTAAATAAATAAAAACATAAAAATACAATACATCAATATATACTCTCTCCCGCACTATTTATTATAAATATAAAGCACACTTTCAAAAGCAAACACAAATTTAAACTTTATTTCGTTTACGTTTGATTAGCGACGAAGTAAACGAGGATGCTGATGATGATGCCGATGAAAATGTAAGTAATTGTTGATAGGAGCGTTTTTTCAATAAGATCTTCTCTCTATTGGTTTCATCGCGTAATAAATCACTGAATGTTTGTGATACATTGATTGATTTATATCGTCGTATCCAAGCACCACTTCCGTATGTAGTAGCGCAGCGTGCATATAATTTAGTATCACTATTGTCATCGATTATAGCGGCACTTGGAAGACGTGTATTTCGTGTTGGGACATTTTTTTGTGGTAGTTCAGGTAAACTTGCAGCCTGCTTTCCTGTAGCCATTGACAGAGGAGAGGGCATTTTTTGTGCACGGACAGTTGATGGGTCTACTGGTAGTAAAGACATGTATGCACCACGTGCATTCTATAAAAGTGTATAAAAAGTCAAAAATTCATTTTAACTATGAACAAAATAATTACTATTTTCATGTCTGCTGAATTTATTGGTCTTTGTAGACTGCGTCCTTTCGGAAATAAATCTTTCACAATATTAGAACGATCAAATCGGCCGAATATTGTATTGCCATCGATATTTTTTGTTGACACAGCTCGTTTTAATGGTTTCCCCCACAAATTATAAGTTGATGATGTTGCGACTGAAGTAAAATCGATTATATCTTTTTGTGTCGTCGCTGAGTTCATTGGTACACGACGAAACGACGCTTCGTAAAGGTCCAGTTCACTTGCTGCCATTTGCATTATTAATATTTGAAATCCTTCGTTTTTTTTATATCCAGCAGCTGATCAAATTCTACAATTTTCAGACAGAAAATTTTAACAATGAACAAAAGGAAAAGAAGAAAAATTGGTAATAACAAAAAATACGAAGGGCAATCAACGAGAAAGAATGCGAAAAAAGTGTGAAATGGAATTTAAAGCTTTTCTAGTCTACCGCTGAACTACGTCAAAACTCAAGTGAGCATTTAAATGCCGCATGATTAATTGTTGACTATCTTAATTCGTATATAGAACAAACTAGAAAATAGAGACGAAGAAAATTATGTATTTTTATATATTTATTATTAAGAATAAATTGTACACATGAATTTATTTGACATCGACATCTACTAAAATGTACGCATATAGTTACTACGAATGAGGTAAGCTTTGACAATAAATAATCAAATAGTGATTGTTTCTTCTCAAAATTATTTGAATACGTAATTTTATGTAAATCGGATTCAAAAATTCAATGTACCATAAAAGAAAAATCATCGTCAGTCTATATTTGTCAAAACATTAAAAATTTATAGTTTATCAATAGTACGTATAAATAGACATCGTGATGATTGTTCTATCTCATATGGATAGAATATTATGTAATGTGCTTTCAGAGAAAATAGTGAATAATTCAATCGAAATGAAATATTTTTAAGTCCGACGGTTTATTTGAAGAGATCAGGTCTTTACTCTAGGTTAAAGTAACCATCGATGGTAGATTGACTACTTCCATTTGTTATTTTGATCTTAGCTAATTGAACATATAAATATTCGAAACCTATTATAATATTGATTTCTATAAAAATCTCCTATTCGAAAGATGAAATCGTTGTTTCAGTTCTACGTTTCGGCTGGAAAAAACATTTTATTATTTCAGTAGTAATTTCTTTAGTCTTGCGCATCGCTATTAAATCAACAAGTACTTTCTGTATAAAAATTAGCTTTCCAATCGTGTTTTTCAGTTTATGACGATGCCTTGCCGTACAACAAATTCTATTTTTGATAATTTCCACCATTGACATACCAATCGGTCTGTCAAACATAATGATGAATATTTTGTTAAAATAAGTTTTACCAAACAAATATATACAAGTATCAAAAATCAGTCTGTTAGTTAGCCAATCTTTTGGTTTTTTTCGCACGATATATACATCATGCAAATTAGTTCTATTTAAAAATAATAACAAATGCTCTTTTATTATCTGCAGGTACTTCGTCGGATTCTCATTTCAAACTTCCAATTGTCCGCTGACTGCTATTCGATAAACAAGTGCACGCTAACTCTTGAATTCTAATTCGTGGATACAATATATTATATTTTTAGCAATCAATGCCCTCTAGAAATATTTATCGTGGGAAATTATTCGAGAGACTGGATTACATTTTACAGTAAAATCTTAAATCGGATATGTAAAAGACTCTATTTGACCTGTTGATACTAAAAAAAAAGGAGTGAGGTAGTCATTTAGTATTCTATTCGGCGCAATTGAAAATCGAGTTTCTTTTTCTTTCAATTTAAAATCTAAAACGCCTAAAAACAATAAACTTGCCTACGTCTTGAGAATCAGAGGTTCGATCAACTAGTAGCCAATACTAAACAAACAATCGAGCCAACCGAACCTCTTCATCGCTGATCGACTTTTTTTCCGAAACTCTCTCTCGCACGATCGAACAAGAAAAAAACGAAAGAAGCATTTGACTAATTCAAATGCCATCGCTTTTCGTTAGATCAATCGGTGCTTAGACTTTCAAATAGCAAACGTTGGAGACATAAAAAATTCAAACAAATAAATTTACTTGCTGCCAGACTGTCTACTATTTCGAAGACGCAAAATGATCCCATTCAAAAGTTTATTTCTCCTTCTAAAAAAATCACCTTGAGCCGCCTATACTTGTCCAATACATGAAACATTTTTCTTCGTTTTGCCTCGCTGTTAACAAGGTTGACAATTAATTTTCTCTTACCGATTTAAAAGTTAAACAAATTGTACAAACAAAGGTGAGGGGGAGAAAGAGGAAAGTAAATGACTAAAAACATTTTAATCTACTTTTCTAGATGAAACAACGTCATTACATGCCTATCAAAACGACGTCATATTTTACGAGAACTATTCGTTTGAAAAACATAAGCCGATTTCTGTCCTCATTTTGTTTTGGTGCTTTTATGATTCTTAATGAGCTCCGATCGGTTTTCTAGGCACAAGTTCGATTACGTGTCAGATAATAAGATAGAAATCTAACATTGATCAAATTAGTTTCTTTTATTGCTGTAAAAATGTGACAAATTTTTCAAACAATTCGAAAAAGAAACAATTAGAATTTTTTCTTCAATGATAATAGTCTTGAATAAGCTTGTAAATTTTTATACATAGATAACCACAGGTTAATATGGATTAAAGCAAATCTGTATTTATTTTTAATATGAATATATTTTACATTTATTAATTTCTTTATCCGGACATTCGCGTAATTTATCAAAGTAATAGAAAAATCCATCTTTTCGACGTTGCAATTTTTTAACAAAACCACTATCTGGCCATGTATCGATCTATTAACGACAAGAAGAAAATCTACAATGTCTGAGAATGAATTTATTAAAATGACCTCAGCAACTTGTCGCACTCGTTTATATTCAAGTTCATCACGGTAGCCAGCTAACTGAAAGCGGTAAGCATTTTCCACTTCTTTAGACCAATGTGTCGGACGAATTAATGATTTTGGTTCGAGTGCTGCCAAAGTTGATGTCGCCATAGGAATCAAATTTCTTTTTTTCTGCTATACCGTTGTATTTAAAGAAACTTTCAAATTATTTTGAATCAGAAATTTATACGATAGGGCAAAACAAGGTGGCATAGATCATATTGTTAAGATAGAAATACCTCTTTCTTGTTCCGCTGAAAAATTTCTTCATTTCAAAATAGATGTCGTGCACTATAGGCTGATTCTTCTGTGAAATGACAATTAAATTTGTTTATCAAGGATTTCGAAGTAGATTTTGGTTGATATTTTGTTATAAGTAAAGAGACAACAAGTCCAAAAGTAAATCGCAATCGATGACAACAACAACAAAGATAATTCTGCTAAATTAAAATTTACTATTTTAGTAAGAATTTGGTATCTGTTAACATTTAAATGCAAAAGAGCACATGATCAACTTTTAAAAGATTAGTTTTTCATCTTTGATAACCTTTTCGTATGTCGCTAAACAAAAAATGACGAACTTGAAATCCAGTAAAGCTCAACTTTCAGTCCAAGCAAATGAAATAGAAGGATAGCTTGAAGTTTGATCTTCTATCAATAGTACGACTTTTTATTGTGCAACTGGTTTTCTACCGTTTAGAGCATCGTGTACTGAAAATCTCTCTCTCTCTCGCTCTGTTTTTGTTTTGCCACTTTTATATAAAACAGTAATTCTATAATTAGAGCGTTGCTTTGTTTTGTGAGTCTGTTCACGCAAAGTGAAGATTTAAATCAGAAAAATGAAATAAAAATAGGCAATGGGAGCAATTGCTTTTTGTTGAGTACTTCTGGAAAATGTCATAGGAAAACATTGGAAATTTCAACATAATCTGGAAGTTCTTAAACTATTATATTAATACAATATGTCGAATGCATGTTCAATCTCTTGGTGGTTCACCGAAGAGTTTTTGTCTGATTGAATTCATATTCGAAGAAAGAAAACAGTTCTGTCCTGATGCATTTGAAGCCTACTCTCTACGAACTGAAATCATTCTGGGAAAGGCCGTACAGTACGAAATAGAGTAAAATCATGTAGATTTTCATAAAAACAAACAGCAAAAATTCCTGTACGTCCATACGATAAAAAAATATCGTTTACTGAAATTAAGTCTTGAAAATTTCAAAGGTAAATTGTCTAGATCAGATGAAAATCTCTTTCAAAGATATTGATTGCGTTATGTCCATCATAGATTTCGATTGATGACTCTAACTATCATCACATACTCGAAAATTGTATTTATCTGTCATGAAGATTAACGAACCAAAACAAGAGATTATTTTATGAAGAATGACATTTGTCTCGTCAGACAGATGATTCAACTTATGTTAATTTAACCTATAAGTAAAATATATTAATCAGTTCATATCGTAGTAGACATCAAATGTAAGAGAAATAGTTGTTTATTTATTTTTTTTTTATAAAATTGAAGTTAGAGAAAAAAATTAGCAAAGTTTATTTCTTTATTTTATTGATACTTGGATTTTTTGTAACTGTGACATCAATAAAAATTGCTCCATGACTTCTGTAATCTGTATGTTTAGTTTCATGAAGAAAAATTTTACAATTTTTCTTTAATTCAATGTAATCTCGATACGTCCAATAGTGTCTAAGGATAATTTCTATTTAATATACTTGTTATTTGAACTGCTACTTGGTTAATCTTTAATCTAAACATGACCGACAGGATTAGCATCTCGATTAGGATTATTGCCAATGAATTCAGTATAACAACATGTATCAACATGAATAAGAGGTTGAGCTTAACGATGTAATCTCTCTATTTATATGCATTATTTTTGAATTGAAAATTGCCTTCGAGATCGATGTTGAACTTTTTTGAAAAACGTGCTATTACGAATATTAATAAATGTGAGGTCGAGAAAGCAGTTGTACTTAAAATTATCACGTCGTCTTGTATTATTAATAGAATAATATAGAAGTTATAATCAAAATTTTCACATAAGATAAAAAACGAGTGACAACAACTAGATTGCTGATTGTTAGAAAAAGAAAATTACCCATTCCTCCAGCGCAATTGTCAATATTTACTACTGAAGTTTCCTACGGCAAGTAATACCACTTCATCATGAATTTGAAAAAGAAAATTATGCTTTAATTTTTTTGTGATTCCCACAAGCAAATATGTCATTATTAAGGATTCAAAAAATGTTAATCTGTATAGTATATGAATAATAAAATTCAAGTTTCAGAGAAAAAAACGAAAAGCTTGATCATTGTTTTTTTACCTAATTTAAAAACAAAAAGAGTCCAGCGGGTGAAACTCATTCATCTTAAAAAAAACCTGGAGTGTCAACAAAAAAAATTGGAATGTATATATGAATGCACAATAATGTATCCAAATAGTACAAAAAGAGAAAGAAAGAAAGAGACAGCAGTGCAGAGCAATAATAGTAGCGCAAGAAACAAATAGTGGAAAATCACAAAAGACATGTGAACAAATACTGTCAATATAATATGAATAATAAGAATAATAACAATAAATAGCGAATAATACACACACACGCACACAGTACGCTACCAAGTTTTGATTTGTATAGCTTTCAGGGAATCAAGTATTTCACAACATATGATCGCATGTTGCATATTTCAATCAATTAATGATTGCTATATGTCAGAAGTAAAAGAGATAGAGACTTGCACAAATGAACAGTAACAATAAGAAAGAAAATCAAAAACATAGAGAGCAAGTAGTCACCGAGCGCACATACAAACGAACTAATACTACTACAACGAGAAAGAAAGGAAGAAAGAAAGAAGAAAGGAAGGAAGGAAGGAAGGAACAAGAAAATTAATAATAAGAATTAATATAAATTTTGATCAATGGAAGAATTATTTAAAAAAACTGTTCAATAATAGAAAAGAAAAATTCTCATGTATACATAACAAAATACAAAATAACAAGTTTGTTTGTTTTGAAGAAAACATTAACGTTCATTGATCGTCTTATTTATAAGTAAACAGCTTCCTGTTGAGCACGTCGACTGCTTACAGCTAAAAATTAGAAGAAAAAAAACAAATTGATATAGAAAACCGATACCCAAGGTTTAGTGATAAATATATGTGTACGATAATAAAAAAAACATGCAAAAATGTGAAAGGAGAATGTGCAATGGTTATGTGTACCCACGCACTCACTGAAATTAATAAAGACTGTGCTCAGTCAAGCCAAATCTGCTTGGATATTGTTGAAAATATTGCTCATAATTGACAACTGAGCAATGTGAGATAGGTAGATAGATAAATCAACATTCGATTAATGATTTATTGTTTTAAATCAGAAATAATATTTTACCTCGTCTTTGTCCTGGTTGAACGAATGGTAAAAGTGAATTAATCGGCACAGCATGTTTTATTGAAAATTCGAAACCAGCTGAATCAATAACTAGTATATCTAATTGTCGTCTTCGTTTACTTGTTTCAATTGTTTCAATAATTTGTTCCGATGATAGTGTTGCTGTATCGTGACCATTCAATTCGATTATTTTATCATTTGCTCGTAGGCCAAATTCGTATGCCGGTGAACCTGGATGAACATCTTTAATATTTACTGGATTACCACGTTGTAATGTAAAACCAAAGTCTTGCTCATGATTATATAAAATAATTCGACATAAGCGAGGTGCTAATTCGCGTATGTAGGGCATTTGATAATCGAAAGGTTCCGGCTGTAAATAGCCGCCTTTACGTTTTAATACTTGATAACCCGGAGCTGTTAATGTAACAAGTGTAACTTGTCCTGTTTCTTCAAATGTTCGTTGAATTAAAAGAGTCATTTCATCAAACGATCGTATGGCTTGAACATTACGATTCTCAATATAAATTATATGATCACCTTCAGTTAAACCACTGAATTTTAGAAAGACGAAAAAAGAAAATCATTTTTTTTTATCAACTAAAACTTAAGTTTATACCTTCGTTTAGCTGGACTATTTTGGCGTACTTCAATAACTATGGGTGTATCATAGTTCTCTTTTTCAATCATTCGAAAGCCACAACCATGAAAGCCTGGATCACGTATAAGAATACATTTGCCTAGAAGAAGAAAAAAAAACCATCGATTGCAATTTTTCAATATGAACTGGTGTTTGTTATTCTTTTGAAGTTCATCATGATTGTATAAATCAAACTGTATTTTTTGCCTCGAGTGTTATTGAAAGAATTGAAAAAAGTAAACAGAAACGAATTGTTCTTTGTAATCTTGGTTTATCGCGAAGAGATTGACTGATGACTTACAAGATTATTTTTTCTTCTTTTTTTTTGGGGAGCAATGAAAATCTGTAGAACTGTACAAAGGTCACGCACATAACTTCAGATCGTGCCATAGGCAATGAAATACTTACGAGGCCATGGCTCAGTAGGTAAATATGATTGACTAGCAAAGAATGTTGATCGAAATGGTTGTCTTTGATACGTATCGAAACCGTTCGCACTGTATGGTCGATCGGAGTGCATGCCTGGCGATGTGCCAACATGATCTAGACGTGATGTTGATAAATACTTCACCATGTTTGGTGGTTGTTGCGGCCCGCCAAATGAGACATCATATGGTGACCAAGCTCCATATTGATCAAAGTTTCTACCATCGTTGTAGATACGTTCATCGTTTAATGATGGTAAAGATTTTGTTTTAGCTGATTTTGACGAAGGTTTATTTAATGGTTTTATGTTACTTGGTGAAATAAGTAAACGTGCAACACCATTATTACTTGCAGTTTTTATTAAAGCAACAACATCTATGGAGAAACAAAAGCTCAGCAAACAAAAAAATCGAAAATTAGTTTTTTTTTTTTACCTCGGTGTGTTTTACGAGTAACATTTTCATCATTGACTTCAATTAAGCGGTCTTCATTATGTAGACCAGCTCGAGCTAAATTTAAAAACAAAATAAACCATATTGAATATAGGCATAAAGATGAAATTAAAATATTTTGCCTGCAGGAGAATCAGGTTTGACATTACGAATAACATGTTTATCATCTTCTTGTGCTAATTCAAAACCAAACGTTTGGCCGGGTTCGGTATTTAAACGACAGAAACGTAACATGGACTTTTCATCGACAACATCAACAGCAGCTCGTGATAATGGCATACGTGGACGACTTAAAGATGATGTGACACTTGGCGCTACTACCGGCCGATTGTACGGGTCACGTGCTGGTGATACATAGCCGCCATCTGTTGAAAGAAAAGAAACACACCGTAAGAAATGATTATTTTCTTTTAAATCTTACTTGTATATGGATATGGTCGAGTCGATGGTCCGACTGATGGTGGTCGACTTATTGGTATAGGTGCTGGCGGAATATGCGTCTCTCTATGATCGGGCATCGCCTCAACAGGTGCATAATGCATCGGCGGTGATATAACACTTGAATCAGTTGATGTATATACAGCTTGATGTTCAGGTGTGATATGACTAACAATGGAAAGAAAAATATGAAAGCTGTTCGATCAATCTCGATAGGATTAAAATTAGACACGCGCGCTGCAACTGCTTTTACTAATCATAGAAAGATTGGTTTATTCGAGATCTATTTTTCAACATTATTTTTACTTAATCCTCTATAAATGAAATAAAGAAGTAGTACACACTATATACATATTGGAACGAAATGCTGTTGATATAAGATCTGTAATATTATATATTAATAACATTTCTCACGATTAGTGGTTAACTCTGGTTACACTGAAGGGTGATATGAATAAGATATTTTTGTCTCCTGCAGCCGTTTCAAATCGACTCAAATATTTACCGTGAAACATTAGCTCGTTGAGATAATGGATCGATACGATAATGATTTCGTTTGTACCATTGATAGCCAATATCATCAATAACAAGTAAACTAACTTCGCCATCTCGACGATAGGAATCATTGATAAGTTGGTAAACATATTGATAATCAGTTGTTTCAACATTAATATTATTTACTTGAACTAAATGATCACCATTACGGATATGTGTATGTGCAGCTGGTGAGTCTAATCGAAGTTGTTGTATTTGATAACCTCCGCCAGTTGTATTCTGTGCTGGGACAATAGCAAAGCCAAGATCTCGATAGTTTGGCCATGGCTAAATTGACAACAATAGAATAGAAATCAAAACAAAAACGACTCTCATACTCGAATGAAACATTGCCGCATTTTAGGATAGACATCATCGCCCAGTGTTGATGGTTGATAAACATCATAAGTTGTACGAGTTGGTGTTCGGCGGTCACTTGCTAATGTTTCCAGAGCTGGTTGATATTGATGTAATGATGGCGGCGATAAACTATTCAATGATCGATATGTTTCTTCGTCCATAACTTCTAATAGAAGAGCTCCATCTCGAGTCGTATCATTCCTTACTAAAGTTTGCATTAGAGACGTGAATTCCGCTGGACTCATATGTTCAACTGTTTGATTATTAACACGTAAAATATAATCTCCAACTCGAAGACCTTGCACATCGGCTGGCGAATATGGTTCAACCGAAACAATTTGACGTGGCGTTGCATCCGCGGTTTGATTTGACCGTACACGAAAACCGTAACCTTCAAAATCGGGATTTCGTTGAAGACGATATTGTCGCCGACTTTGTTGCAAATTTGCGTTTGGTGTTAATTTTGGTTGTTCAACAAGATCATATTTTGGTTTTAAATTTTGTGAAGTCTGTTTATAAGCACGATAGACAGATCCATCGGCAACTAAGAAACGTACGGTTTCACTGTTGTTTATCCGACGTAATTTATCTTCGAGTTGTTCATGATTCAAATATTCAACATTTTCATCGTTGATCGATAATATGAAATCATTGACACGAAGACCTTGTGTCCCAATCGAATTTGTACCATCAACCGATGTCACAATATGACTGTAAGGTGTACTGGATGATGATGAATCATTTGGCACAGTACGAAAATTAAAGCCGACACCATTCGATAGTTGTGCATCTTTACGTATAGGAATATGACGCGGTTGTGATGATGATACTGATGGCGGAGGTAAAGATGAATTAACATTATTAGTTAAATCGCCGAGAACAGATGTTGTTGGAGTTCGACCGAATGAATTTAACGGTGGTGGTACAGTTTGAATATTCGGTGGATCACGTTGAGCTATCGACGGTGTTCTTGGACCGGGAGCTAAACGAAACAATAGTTTAAGGTTTAGAAAGAAATAGAATCGATTTCCTATGAGTACATACAATGATGTATTGAGCTAGCTGGTGAAGCTGATGGAGTTCGTCGATTTGATGGCATAATTTTAACATTTGGTAAACCACGATGAATAAGTTTTTGTTGCTGTTTGTAATGTTCGAATGTGGGAACATCCGATACTAAAACTACTAATGGATCTGGATGTTTAACAGCACGGATGCGTTGTGTTATTTGATCGTGACTGAGATTTTGAATATTTTGACCGTTGATTTCAATTAAACGATCATCAGTTTTTATTCCAGCTTGCTCAGCATCTAGAGAAACATTAAAAGATTAAATGTGTTCAACGCAAATATTCATTTGATATCATTGTTCGATTTTGTACGGACACTTTTAACCTTTCTAACTGATAAGCATTGACTTATTCTTTCACACGAACATATACCTTTAACCGTTCGCTCTTTTTCTTTTTAAGTAAAACACAACAAAAAAAAAAGAAACGAATCTTACTTGATCGTTCATTGTTTCGACCCGGTACAATGCTTAATGAATGAAATTGTTCTCGACGATGATAGTTGAGTTCAATACCAAACGTATCTGAAGGATCAGCTCGATAAATAGTACATAAACGGATATCTTCATTCGGCAAGCCCACGGATGGTGGAATAGTTAACGGTGGTATTTTTGATCTCGTCGATGGAGTTAGGTCGGGTACACTTGGAGTTCTAGTTTTTGGCATTTCACCGCGCAGAGTTGATGGATTCGATGGAGTTAGTTGATTCCCGTCATTGTTACTTAGAGCTGAAGACAAAAATTTCAACATAAAATGTTATTATTCGTTTTAAGGCCAAACAAGAAAAAAACGAAAACCAGGACTCTTCAAACAGTTTCTCATTTTCCCCCACCATAATATATATATATATATATATATTTGTAAGCGACTGAAAAGTAACACAAAACTTCTCGGTTTTCAACTGTTTAGCAAATATAATCTCAAGGACGATTGGATTAGTAATGAATATAGATATATATATGTTGTGTTTTTTTTTTGATTATTTGATACTTACACGAACGATCATCTGTATTATATCGGCTTGTCGATTGTCTGTCTTCTGATTGGCTCTTTCGTTTTCCTTTTGAAGTTAATGGTAATTTGTGTAGTTGAGCATTTTTATATGTGTCTGTATCAACAACAAACAATTTCACAGAACCTTTTTGTTTTGCTTTAGCTAATTTTTCTAATATAGATTTGCTAACATCTTTATCGACGTTTTTATCGTCGATTTCAATAATACGATCGCATTTACGTAATGGTGTATTACTAGCTGGCGTATTTGGAAATACTTCTTGAATATATGCGCCAATATCATTTTCACCATTGATAACTTCAAAACCAAATGTATCTGATTGGCCTAAACGTAGATTACAAGTACGTGGTATACGTTTAGGAAAATTTATATAATCAGCTGGCATAGATTCTGGTGTTTGAATAACATTGGTTGCTAATTGAGGAGTAACTTTAATATTTTTCTTCTTTAATAATTGATAAAAACGTTGTTCGACGACAATTAATTCAATCGGACGATTGCTATCGCGAGCTGTTTTAATAGCACCTCGTACAGTGTTATAATCTGCTTCGGAGACATCTTCTTGGTTAACATACAAAATAACATCAAGAATTTTTAGACCACCAGCCGATGCTGGACTATTGGATTCAACAAGTCGAATTAAATGTGGCGGTCGCTGAGCTGCTTCAAGATTAAAACCAAGTCCGTCGAATTCGCGCCAAACACGCAATTTACATAAACGAATATTAGCATTACGCAAAACTTCGGCGTCACTTGAAGAGGGCATGATCAGATTTCTATTCGTGTTGTGGTTTTTCTTTCTACTTAAATCTTTTTTTTAATCAATTGAATACAAATAGTAACATCTAGAATAAAAACTGTCTAAAAGATCATATATCATGTGAATATATATATATAGATATCATTTCAATTAGGAGAATAGACGCATATATATATATATATATATATACATACATACATCAATGCTCGCAATTCGAGACTAGACATGAGACGGCAGTATTCGAATTGATATATGTGGTTTTCTCTCTCCCTCTCTACTCACACACGCACAGGCTTGTTCACTGGCACTTCGTATACCTGTCGTATATGTATGGCAACGATCGACAATGAAACAATATGTCCTTCTTCGTATTGCTAATCTTTTTGTAACCACAACGTCTTTCTTTCTCTCTCTCTTTCTTGCTCCCTTTCCCTCTCGCTCTCTCTCTCTCTCTCTGTCTATCAAGTAAACGAACCAACTTGATAAGCACTACACATACGTACACACACGTATTGAAGATGACATATAAAAAAACGAAAAGAGAGAGAGAGAGAGAGAGAGACCATCTCTGCACATATTTACCTTTTGAAATCGAAGAAGAACGAAATGTTTCATCATCTTTTCGGGTAGAATTTACGGATGTAATGTCGTTTATAAATGGAAACATATGAAGTAGAAATATACTTCTTTATGTACTCAAATATCCCGAATGATGACAGAAATGTATGTAATCATGGAGTTGAAATCTACCTTGATCATCTTATACACATTTGTGTATAAATATATATCCGCATACAATGGATATATATATATATATATATATATATATGTCGCCTACTCATTCATTCTTTCTCATATACAAAAGGTCGTCGACATCTTTACCCATTTCATCTTACTATCTCCACGTAAACAAAATGCAAATTGAAAAAATACGATAAAGAATGAATAAATTCGATGAGCAAGTATATAAAGACAAAAACAAATTGACACTCGACAACGTGCTAATTTTACATCCTAATCCTACATGTGTCTGGCTATGTCTGGCTGTTTTTCTTTTAAGCTTGTCCAGTATTCAAGGCCTGTCGACCTTCACTATTCACAAGAATTTATCCAGATAAGATAATAAAATTTAAAAAAAAATTAATGAAGAAAGATGAAAATGAATAAAAAAAAAGAAAGAAAGCTGCACTAACGACTCACTTTTTTCTATTGAAAACGGCAAGTAGAAGCGATTTTTAAACGAAAGAACGAGACAGAAAAAAAAGAAAGAACGATGCTGATTTGAATGAGTAAATATTGACGCACATAAGTGGAGTGCAGCATAGTGCGTGGTACGCTTCGGTAAGTTATTGACTGATCCTCTTCTCGTCATACGGCTTGAGGGAGAAAAGAAGTGAAGCTAGTATCGTCAGTGGTGGTATTGACCATATTTTAAATGACTATAACGGCCAACAGAGAGTAATAGTTGATGAGTGAAAAGAAGAAAAATATTTACGACACTATACAATTGCACACGTATTGAGGACAATAAATTGACGATGATTTGAACGAGAAGGAGAGAGAGAGAGAGAAATCAAGCAAATCGTAAAATACCTCTTGTGACACAACTTGCATAAAAAAAGAGAAGGAGAGATGAAGAGAGAGAGAGAGAGAGAGAGAGAGATTTGCGGTTTCAAATGTTCCGATTGTGTCATCGAATGTATTCGTGCGCCCCAAGATGTATTGAATTCGTTCGCCGCCATGGTCTTACATCATCTGCAGTCTGATTAACTCGCTCTCTCTCTCCTTCTCCTTTTCTTATTCTTTGTCCCTCTTTTTTTTCTCATTTGACTTGGCACAAAGCGTGTATATTACGAAACTCTAAGGAATAAAAATAAATGTTTGATTTGTGTTGATTCAATTTGGAAGAAAAAAATTTGTATAAAAATAGCGAACAGAAGAAGGTTGGAAAACTGATTATGAATAAGAAAATGTACACTCAACAATTTTTGTTGCTTTGTTTTTCAACAGTATTTTTTCGTTTCGTTTACTCATACTTGCTTGCTTTTCTCACGACAACAACCGCTGCTGTTTAAGTAGGTTATTTGTTGTCAAGATAAGCTTGCCGAGTACTGTAATAATCACTTGTGGTGTTTGTTTGAATGCAAATGTAATTCAATCAGGGCTTTTCTTCTTCTTCATAGTTCTATTTCAATTTAAGAAATAATGCGCATTTGTTTAAGATATACGAATGTCTGATACTGATTTTGAGACATAGATGCTGCTACCATTGAAAAATGTCCAGAATTGTAAATTTTCTCTCGTTCTCTGTATTACCTTATAAATTGACTATAAAATTTGAAACTCAAATGATTGTCAACAGTGCAATAAAATAAGTATTGTTATTGCTACAAAAATATATACTCATTCTCTTTCTGCGTACACAGTCTTAGTTTCAACCGTTAAATATAATGTATGCGTATACGAATATATATTATACAGCCTATAGCCATAGTATTGGAAGTCTGTCTATATGCCAACCGGTAAACGATACAATACATTGCTCTTTTTATCCATGTGAATGGTCAGCAAGTAATCGTAATAACGACAAGAGAAAAAAATAATAAACGTCCCGCGGACATTCTTTCTTACCGGTATCGTCGTCATCGCAGCTCACGTTCTTTCATCGGTTCTTTCTTTTTTTCCTATATGCGCGTGTATGTTTTAACGTTGACGGGTGCTCTAGTTGCAGCGTCGGCAGTCAGCCAACTTAAAAAAAATCTTTTCAAAAAGAACACACACATATAAAGAGCAAAAAAGAAGGAGAAGAAATAAAATCGTACGTTGTGTTATTTGCAGTAAGATGTATGTTCTTTCTTTTTCTGTTTTCCGCATGTCTTTAACATCGTTATCATCATTTTTTTTTCTTTAATAACACTATGTGGGTTTTATTCTGTTGAAAAAAAAGAAGAAAAAAGAAAGAAGGAACACTAAATATGTGTGTCATAACCGAAGCACATAGTTCTTGTATGTCTTTCTTTCTTTATTAGTACAAAAAAAAACGAGATGCTTTAAAAGAACACAAATATGTCAAGGATAGTTTCAACACTTAAACAAGCTGCTGGTCATTACATCTACTTTTTTGTAGATAACACTTTGTCTATATCCTTGAAGGATACATTGGCTGAGCCACGCTTAGCTGGACCTTTCTATAAATAACAACAAAACATTTTAAAATTTTCATTCTCTACTGTGAAAATCTCAATAATTTCTTACTTGACTAGGGTCGGGCTTCCAACCAATGAAGTACAATATACGATAGGTAGCTGGAATCGACCCATCTTTATTACCATACATATCTGTGAAAATAAAACAAATGGTTTTTTTCTGATTTATGCACATATTTGAAATTTTTATGACATTGCGATATGCAATAAATGCGAATACTTAAACGGCAAAGAAAGATAAAAGTCTTTTCTTTTCTACTTACTTTGATAAATAGCTTGAGCTGCTAGAAGTGTCTCGCGTTTCAATGTTAATCGTCTATTCCAACTACAATTATTTTCACCCATGCCTTAATTGAAAATGAAATTTAATTTGTCAATAAATATTTGTTTTACCTTTAAGATCAAACATTAATTCAAACATTGAAGGATAATCAATATGAATCTCATCAAGATCCTACTAGAATAAGAAGATAATTTACTTAGTTCTACTCTTAAAATAGAAAAAAACGCACCAATGTTACTATATTATAGCCAATACGTTGTAGAAGACCACCTATATCTGGTGGTTCAACAAATGGCGATATATGAGCAGCAAAACCCTTTAAAATAAATTAAAATTTTATCTCCCATTTTTCTTAAAAATCTTTTTTCTTATTACTCCTTCACGTTCGTTTTCGGCTAATTGAAGTGCAACACGAAGTTCATATAGAGTATCCGAAGCAAACATTGCACCTAAAAATAAAAACCTAGGTTACCATGCTCAAATTCTCTAAATCAATATGTAGTATAGAAGACTTCACTCAGTTGATTATGTAACCACACTCTTAGATTACATAGAAAGACAACAATCAAATAATTCACGAGTCAGATATTTCATGCATAACTAATATTAATTATATAATTATCTCCTATATTTAATTATATCATTATTGAAACTAAATTCTAAGTAACAAAATGCATTTTAAAAAAATTATTTTTACCGATGAAAGGTGCATCGTTTTTTAATGCATGTAAAACTTTCCGTAACACACCAGGAAGATCATTAATCCAATGAAGACTCAAACAACTGTACGCAAGATCATATGATGATTCATCGCCGGAGAATTGTTCTTCGTCTATATGCTTTTTAATGATCTCTATTCCGTCATGTCCATTTTCTTCAACAGGTGGACGTATTTGATCAAGCATCAATGATGAACTATCGATCATAGTGATACGTTTAACAACATCTTTAGTTAATTCACTTGCAGTTAAACCTCGACCGCAACCAAAGTCAAGTGCCGATTCAAATGTTCTAAAGCAATCTTGTGAGTTATAGAGCAAATGGCAATGATTCATTCTACCGTTTTATATCGAATATTCTATCAACAAGACTTTGAGCAACACGTTCATGTACATAGGAATAAATCTTATAGTCCGGATCGAGACAAGTTCGTTCGCGTTGTTTTAATTTAGTTTTTCGATCGAATACATTCGGCAATGTTTCTGGTCGTTGAAAATATTTATGACTGATTGATAATTGACGATTAAAATTGATCGAATATAGCCGAACTACTTTTAAGCAATTCAAGTAAAATTTCATCTGAAAGAAAAACAAATATTCAATAGCTGTGTCGAGGTCACGTCAAACAAAAGCAAAAGGCTTCGCATACACATGATCGGATAATCGATTATTCTTTGCTTCATACGAAGTTTTAACAATGCAATATCCTGTATTTAAATATTCTTTTTCAATGGATGATTGAAGTTAACATTGAACGCACATCATAACTGTGAAAACTTTTCTTTCTTTTTGTTTTACGTAACATGAGAATCTACTCTAGGTAAGATGACATTGAATAATATCGCTAGAAGATTTATAAATTTTGCCCTACAAATCATTCCAATCGAGCAAGCAAGTTCATAAAGTAAACATCAAAAGATTGTTTATCGATAAGTAAATTTTTTTTTATTCATTATCAAACCTACAATTTTTATTTTCAACATATTACGAATAATCGCAAAGCACTCAATAAAAAAATCATGCCTAAATTTCTACTGACTATTTTAAGATCGTTATGAATCATCCTATTTCACAGTGAATCAAATTTTGAATAAAATTAAAAAAGTTCCTCTCGTGAGAAAAAAGGAACAAAAATTGCGTGACGCAAATCCCTCAACGCCTTACTTCCCTCCAATCAGAAAGTAAAAACCTCCTTCGGTTATAATCTTCTATTTTTTTTAATATGTAGCAGGATTTCCGGAACATTATTGAGTTTCACTATGAAGTCAATATCTGATGTTAGAACAAAATCAATTCTCTGAAAAAGTCATGCGCTTTTTAGAAATGATTAAAGAACTCGATGAACCTATATCCATGCACTAAGAATGGAATCTAAGTCAATAATAAATAATTATATCTACACAAAGCACCGGTAAACCAATAAAAAAAGAACAAACTTTGTTTTCTTCATGTTACCTGTTCATGATTGAATTATATTCTATTTTTGGGCTCTATGTTTACAACAAATGAATTCAAGGTTTTCTATTACTGTTTTTAAAAATATATATATCTATTTAAACGAGAACAACAAAATGCTTTATTTTTCAAGGAGATCACACAAAACCACCAATTTCGTTATATTTAATAGATCTATGAAAAAAAAGCAAGAAAACGTATCGTCTGCATTATATTTACATATAGAGAAGCAGAAATCAAAAATATAAAGATACAAAAAAGATTCGAAAAGCAGAAATAACTTAGTCCATTGGTGTTTATGAATATTAAATCGCATATATGTATATATATATAGAGAGAGAGAGAGACACGGAGAGGGAGGGAGAAAGCACCATTATCGCTCATCATCAATCGATTTTTCTGGAAGTTCATTGATTGTATTTATTGAGTATTGTGTTAATTTAGTATAATTAGTACGTATTTTTTTATCATTGCCATATGTACCATTATTATTATCAACCGATTCAACATGAAAACGGTTTGTAGATACTATTAGAGACAAAATCAATATTTAGATGTTTATCTATATTAATCAATAACTAACCATCTGAAAATAGAAATGGCAATTCAGTAGACGTATCATTATTTGATAACAATTTCAATGTTGAATCAGTCATTTTGCCAACAAAATCATCAAGGATTTTGTAATTTAAATTTGTATTCAAAGTTTCTAATGGTGCAACAACAGCAGTGTCAGAATAAACGACTATAAAAGAAACCGCAAACTATTAATCGTACAGGATAAAGTAATGTTACGTTTCAACTTGTTATGTTTTCAATCTTATCTTATCTCGTACGATAGATGTGTAGAAATTACAACTAAATAATGTTGTAATCGCAAAAATGCTCGGTTCTCTCTTGCAGGTCACTCTACACGCATTACTAGGGACGTTTAGTGCTCTTTACAACTTGTGATTCACTACTATCTATAGATAGCAATAGCTTTTATCTAAAGAATGTGAATTAAATACCCACAAAACTCATCTATCCTGTGGTTGAAATCTAGTTAATTTGCTTATTTAAAAACTATGTTCCAGGCGAAAACGATGTGTCACGTTTGTAATTGGATACGAATGTTTTCTAGCTTGGAGACAATTTCAATTGTTGCCTTATATAAATATACATACGTCCTGCTTGTTTTCGTTCGAGTAATTTATTAAGATCCGGTGTTGATTTTGCCCCAGTGATAACTCGTGTGCTGAATATACTAGTTAACGGTACATAATGAACTGAAAAATATAAGAAATATTTAAAATTTATGTTTTATTTGATACGCTAAACCTACGTTTTCTTTTATCGGGCGAATCGCCGTGAATTGTATTATAATAATTATGTGTTAAAGTTGTTTCTAAACAAAATACAACTTTACATTGAGATATTCATAAGTCAGAATTTTTAATGTTAGCATTTAGTAAGGAAGGAAAATAAGAAGATGGCTTATCTAATGGCACAGTTACAACACAGTTATATACATATTAAATCACAAGGCACATTCCTAATACGACACAGGTAGATAATCGGTTGCATCAAACATTTCTAATGAATTTCAAATCTACGGTTTATACCAGAATTTCGACGTAAAAGGTCATTACTACGTAATACGCAAAATCGAGGATTCATTTTCGAAGAACAGAGACCAAGTGGTGCACTTGATTTGCGACGCATTTCAGTAGGAAATACAGTAGATGATTCAGACTGTTGCGATGTTAATTCTAGAAGTATGAATATGAAGCAAGATACTCAGATGTTTAAAAAAAACGCATAGTGTTTATTTAGAGGATATGATATGATAGTTGTTCAAGCGCGAATCTCGTCAATTTTAGTAGCAGCGCCAATCAGAAGATAGATTTAGTCACATGGTGACTTTCTCAAAGACAAGATGTGTTATTTCCTACCTAATGAATCCTAAGTGAAAAAAATCTTTCTTTCGTGAAACAAAAAACATAAACATAAATTTTCGTAAAAGTATTAAAACTTACGTTGTAATTTTGATTCATGGTTTTCAAGAGATTTCGGTTTTAAAAGATAATTATCATAGTGACTTGAGCCTAGAACCAAAAAAAAAGGAATTTTTTTGTAATTCAAATTAAAATAGAATTAATCAGTCTACGTGGAGCAGAAGTTGAATATACTTCATCGTTGTCCGCAGGCTCCAATATCATATTTGTAATTACTCCATCACTATTCCTATGAAACTTTTTCATTGATACTGGTTCTGTTGTTGTTTTCAATTTTGATTTTTCGCTGGAGGTAGCCGGAGGCGTGAAGTCGCCTGTAGCAATAGTAGGTATCGGATTGATTGGGCTATGCATCAATGCAGGACTTGTTTCTGGTAGTGAATCCAATATCGATAGTTTCGAGTCACCGCGCGGTGGACTGTGAGCCACTTCTCGAGTACTCTTCGGTAAAACGGTACGAATCGCAGTTACATCCGATGTAACACGATCAGCCTAAAGAGGAATATTTTCTCTTTTTATTTTAGTTGTTTTATTAATTTTACTTCAGGTGGCACATCAAAACAACCGTAAGCACCCGGCGAAAAATGCAGTTCAACATGAAAACGCTTTTCGGAATTTTCTTCTTCACTTGCATCTTCATACAACATAATAACAATTTGTGTTAGATAATTCAATTCAGAAACAGTATCAAGATAGTCCATTGAACGCTTCCATTGTTCATCGACGAATGCCTGCGAATAGATAATTTAATTCGAGTTGTTTTAAATACAAAATATTTCTCATTACATCTAATAGTCCACCGTAGCGTATTATAGTGAGAAAAGAATGTACATGAGATTCGCTAGTGAAATATAACCGTGTACGAACATGTCGACCTGGCGATTGGATACCCTTTGAGTAGCTAAATTTACATAATTTGCGTTTAAAAGCGAAAGAACATTTGATTTTCTAACCTCGGATCTAGTTTATTCACATGTTCATCATGAGTTAAAACACCGGTTAGATTACATTGAAGATCTAGAAAGAAATTCTTATAGTAAAATTTTCAAATTTATTGAAAAATATGCGAGAAATTCTTTCGAGACGAAACAGAAAATCGAATTTGTTTTCAATAATAATTGACTGCAGGGAGAAATCAATAAATTTTAGAATAATTTTATTTGGCCCCACGTATCTAATCATCATACGGCCCCGCTGATTTCAGCATATGTTTCTATTGTTCTTCTTCTTCTAGTTAATATTGTGTTTCAACCTACTGGGCTGTCACAATTATCATAGACCCAGTGCACCAACTGTTAAAGTCCCAGTATATTTGTTTACTATGTAAAAATATTCGCATCGCTTAACATATTTCAAAAAAGAATAACAAATCTTTATGAGCCCGACCGAGAATGGTTATCGCCAATCTGATTTTAGGAAATTCAAGAGTTCTTATCGATTAGGACGATTCAATATTTTCCTTGGAAACTGTATCCACTGAGAACGAGTCTGCTGCTTCTACAATGCAATCATTAATTGATATTGGCTTTCAGAACAATCATTTCTATCTGTCATAAAAAAAATGTGACCACAGATGTTTATCAATCGTTATTTTCTTCCATAAAATAAATTACCCTATTATTCAGTAGACCTATTTTCTTACCAGCTCGAATTTTTCTTAATAGTGGTGTAACAATTCCACGCGCAATACTTAGTTTTTCTTCAATTGTCATTCCATATTCCTAAAAAATGAATTGAAATTTATTTTTCAAGCCAAAAACACATTTCTCACCTGTGGTACAACAATATCGCCTAATGCTTTTGAACACACATATAGATCTTCGGCATGCGGAAATTCCAGGCTATTTTTATTATGTAGTAAATCGTATTTTATCGAATCATATATATCAGGAACTTTTGATATGTTGAATTTATCTTTTTGTACATTATAAAAATCTTTTTCTAATTTTAACCCTGAAAGGAAAAAGTTCAATATATATTAATCTTAATAAAAAAAAAAGATCAATCACATCGTCGTAAACATAAATCCCATGTTTCCGTATGATAAAGTGTGTCTACAATAGAGAATTCGATTTTTATTTGTTCGACGAATTTCTACAATATACCGGTTTCGCCTTTGAGTAAATGTGTTCGAATGAGCACAGTCATTTCGTGAATGTATTCAAAAATCTTCCGACATATTACAACTGGATTTTTAATAAAATCCATAGATGTAACTATGGCACGAGAACGTGTTGGTGCGATCTATGGAAAACAGAAATGAATGATTTTCTTAGTTATATTTTTCAGCGAACTGTGTCATAATCTTCTTGTGTAAATTGACGATCTTTTGCTAGAAGTTCATGTAAGGTTTGTTTGAGTTTTTCTTGTTCCTTAGTTGAATCAGCATCATTATCAAGTAAACCGTTTGTATTAGCACTTTTAACCATTTGAACGAGTATAGGCGCTAATTCACCATCCAGTGCTAATAGACCTTTTGCAAACGCAGCAGCAGTCATTTGTACGCGACCTTCATCGGATGCATAGATTTTTAGATCATGCCGAAACGTAGAATGTAAACGCAGAAGACCAACATCAGGACGGTCGCCACTAGCATTTTGACCACCTGGATACATTTTACGAAATGCCTAAGATAATTAAATTAGAATACTGATAAAATACTAATTAAATGTGCTTTTACTTTTCCAAGTGCTTCAGCTTGATTTTTGCCTGTTTGAGTTAATTGTCCACCCCATTTGACGACTAAGAGTAGAGATGGTTGACTTGGTATGTCTTCATCTTCTGAATAAAGAATGAAAATTTCATTTTTTTTAATACCTGAAGATAGTTAGTCTTGGACAATTCAGTGCTTCACTTTTCCGACATGTATGATACGTAGTGAATTGTATCAAACGGAGTCGAAATGATTGAAAGAAATTATTTTTTAGGAGTTAACTTTTGAGTTTAAAACTAATTTATTTATAAAATATTGTATAAAACAATTTTTCTTGTTGAAAAGCCATATAAAGAAATAAATCCTATGAGAATGTAAATTGTCCAATTCTTAGTGATTCATTGACTATTCTTTATCTCGTCAAGATTTTGTTTCGGGTTCCTGCAGTCCAAATATTCCAATAAAAAGTCCATCGATCAATTTGAAGTATGTTTTCATGACTAACCTTTATTACGGGGATCAACCAGTGCACACTATTACGTTCCTACTTAATGTCACTCAATCGCTCCTAAATGTATTTTTTTTTGTTCTCTATCGCCAAATGCAATAAGTGGTAAAATCGTGATGTCGGGTGTGCTTTTGAGAAAAACAATCAAAAGCTTTACTGCACATCATTTCGATGAATTCTTACCATCTTCACTACTAGATTTTTTCGCTGGACCTTTTGATAAATATTTTAATTGAATTTTACGATTAATGCCAGAAAAATGACCATACAATTCGAGTACTTGTTTCAGTTGAAGTAATTTGCCTTTCGTTTCTGATGAATTCGGAAATTTCTACGAACATACCAAAATATAAATATCCATTTAAAAAAAGCAAAATCTTAATCTACAGTTATTCGGTTGTCGTCTAGTTCTTTGAGCAACGTTCGAGCAATATCAAGAACTTCCTGGAAGAAGAACAAAAATGAAAATCTAAAATAAAATAACGAACGAACTTGAAGTTGACCGGGATGTTTGAGTTTGAGATGACCATTTTTCGGACCATTATATTTTTCGAACAGTTGAAAAAATCTTTCAAATATACAACATTTCTTAGCCAATAAAACAACATTTTCCTAGCGAACTTACAAAGGATGTAAAACGATCATTTTCATTTTTTGTTTGGGTGTTCGATCACCGTGACGGATCACAGCAATAACACATCGAAGTTCCATTCTTGTTCCAAAAGCAGTCGGTACAAAAGGTGGATCTTCCGGTTGATAAGCTAATGGATACGGGATTGAAAGCGTCGGCGCAAGTTCACGCATAATCATATGTCTTTAAAACAAAAGACACTCGATAGTACACATTTTAAGGATTCAAAAAACAATATCTACCCAAGAATAGAAGCACAATCATCATAATACTTCGTACTATTTTTAACAAAACTAAAACCGTTGACATCGCACACAAATGATTTTCCTTCTACACGAAGTAAATCAAAACCACAAACCGTTTGCTAAAGGTCGATAAAAAATAGAAGCCAATCGTACTATTTCAAAAGCAATTTACTTACTTTAAATGCCAAACAAATTTTCATAGCAATCAATTTTTCATCTGCACGCAATATAACTGGATAACGTACTTCTTTACCAAACTCATCACGTTCAACTTTACCATCAAGTCCCGGTGATTTTCTCGCTTCAGCATGAGCATATTCAGCACCTACAGTATACACCTACAAATGATCATTAGAAAACACCGTTAAAAACAGTACGTACTTTAACATCGGTACCATCAGTCGGCATAAATTCTTCGTAGATATATGAATCATCTTTACGAATACAATTCTCCGATGTATATACACTACTTCGACTACCGATCTAAATAAATACGGGCAATCAACTGCCTGGAATAAAGAATGTTTATCTCAGGCGCGGGGCGTTTCCTACCTTGCGAAATAATCTCTGCGACCCACCGCCAGCGGACGATGGAAAATAAATGTAAACATCATGATTTTCAGCTGATACAGGCTTCTCTACGAACGGTTTATGAAAAATTTCACCGTCAATTTCAATATGATCATCTTGTTCTACAACATGCGACAATGTTGCCCATACTCCATCTAGAAATAATAACGAGAGTTCGATTATGTTTCATTGGCTGTTACAGACCAGCATTCAGTTTTCGTCGTAGGACACCATATCGAGGTTGTGCAATGCCTGCATCTTCAAGTATTTCGTGTACTTTAATACGATCCATAATATACCATTGTTTTTCAAGATCATTGATAAGAAACGGTTGATAAAGACGCGCATACTCTTGTGTTTTAGCGAGTGGAAAACCTTTACTATGAAAACTAATTAGAACATGACAAAATGGCCATTCTTGAATTGGTTTTTCGTGTATTGTTGCTTCAGAGAAGACAATAATACGAAGAAATTCAAATTGTTCTAAACGATTTAGAATTTCTTCCATTGGCTTTGCTTTTATCTTTTTCCATTGAGCACACACACCAACAGTAATAAAACGACGATCTTCCTATTCCGATTCGAAAGAAACAAACAATCAATAAATAGATAGATATTCAATACTACACACAAAAATGTTCAATACTTCAGATTCATTCATAGTGTTTAAATCATCGAACAGATCTTCATTATCATCATCTTTCATTGATTCATCACAGTCACCATCAGCTTGAATTTCAGCATTATGCTCACTCATCTTTTTATTACCATTGATTTACTGCCATTTATTGTTTTTATTTTTGGATTAGGTATCAGGCTTTTTTTTCTATCGAACACAAGAAGTTGAGTAATTGGTCTGGTTTGACACTTATCGGCATCATTGATTAGCGCCCTCTGTCAGCGAGTCACTAGGCGATGGATATTCTATAGGAAAACATAGTAAAGATGCTTTCAATAGTAAAGCCTTTCAGATCTCTCTTTGGATCACAACCAGCTTCCTATAAGTAAACAATCGGAAGAAAGCGTACGTGATTCTGCGTAGTAAATAAATATCACTGAACTATGAGCACGCCGATTAACGTCGGATGTCAAAATGCATTTTGACATGACTTGAATAGTGTAAAACATTGGAGAAAAAAAAACAAACTGCTAATGATAGCTAGAAGTCTTTTTTTCCATATGAAAAAAATAATCATACGGAGAAATTTGAAATTTCGTCGTTTATAAAACAAAATCCATGTGCTCTTTAATATTGAATATTTTGTCTAAAAGAAAATTCGTACGAGAGACTATCGATGTTAGCGCGGGCGAAATTATTTCTAATTAATGGAAAAGTATTTGCCGCATCGACTTATCGTATTTTTTACACTCCTGTTTGTATCGTTTGTTTTTTTATTTTTCGTTTTTAACTGTTGAGAATCATGAAATACTAATTCAAGGCTAAACCATAATCCTATTTTTTACAAACATTAAATGAATACGCCTTTACATGCAAAATAAATGACGATGACTAGTTTTCCTGTTGAATATATGAATCGTCAAATATTTTTATATAGATCATTTTTTTTCCACATAGATAGTGACTCACATTTCCTCAATCAGGAATCAACCAGTTGTAACTTGATGACAAAATGAATGCTGATTATACGTCGTTTGCATACTCGTTGACTGTTGTCTCTGCACTGCCAGTCTCAGTAGAAACTCTGGAATCTCAAAGAAAACTGCCAGTCGTGCCCCTCGGACCGAATACAATAAATAACATCATTGAAGCCAATTTATTATTTCATTGAAACAAAATCATGCAGTATATACACAAAAAAAAAGTTCAGTTTTCAGTGTCTATTGAAAATAATTTAATCCCGAAGTGACCATTGATATCGTAAGTTTTTCTTCGATCTTAATCGTGCAAAACAACATAAGGTTTCAATAACTGCTTGACGAAAATTACGTGAACTATATACATAGAGAAATGGATTGAGTAACGAATTAACATAACCAAACCAGAATATAATACTTTCGAGTTGCGGAGGAAATCCATTGTGATAGAATATCATAGCCGGATAAGATATTGTAAACGGAAGCCAACAAATAAGAAAGACAGCAAGTAAAATGCCTGGAACAAAAAAAAAACGAATGCAAATTGTCCCTTTATAAATACCTGCGTATAATTATAGTCTTTCTTCTTTTTTTATATTTATAGATTCTACTCTGTATACTCTCGAAGAAAATATATCCAATCAAAAAAAACTAATCACTATGTTAGATGAAAATGATATTTGTTACGGATCGGTTATTCATATAATCATAGAAATGATGTACATAGGAATTCAGCTTACCAAGCATTCGACTTGCTTTTTGATTTCGTCTTAATCTTGCTTTATTTCTTTCGTGCATAAATTTTGCTACAGCTCGTTGACTAAAACGGCTTGAATTATACGATGTGGATAAAATTGCTGGTTGATGACGTCGATTTAATCGTCGATGCTCGTCATCGAGACCATTTTCAAATGACGAACTATGATCGGATGCATCTAGTGCTGCGAGACCACCATTGCCATTGCCTTGACTAGACGAATGTGACTGAGATCGACTTCGTTCGTTTGCTAAAGAATTTAATCGTGAATGATGTTGATCATCAATCATTCGTGTTTGCACCGGTATTGGATTTTGATAATTATAGTAAGATATACATCGAGCTGCTGGTAGCGATGATGTACGACTACTGAGACGAGGACGATAAAATTGATCATCATCTTGACCAATTAATAAATCAGGTTTCGAACGATTATCTTCAGCAAGATCGTTTAAACAACGTTTTTGTCCGGTAAATGTTGCTGTTGTTGTTTGCCGATTGGGACGTTGACCAATACCCGGCAATGTAGTATTTGTTATCATTCCTTGATTAACGAGAGTTACACGTCGAATTTGACAATTCACTGGAATGTTTTGTGTAAAATATAAACCTTCGCTTCTCGGTGTTGCCGAATTTTGACTTGATTCTTTTGAAGAATTTCGTTGAAAATATCGTAAGACGTACGAACATAATGTTGAGTTCGATTGCGCCGATAATAGTGATGCTGTTATGGTGTTATTATTTTTATCGTGAGATCCGATACGACCATAATCTTTAGAAGCTGTTGTTGCAGATTTACAATCTTCGTCGATAGAATCGAATTTATATGTACACCAAGTATTTTTGATCTACGGAAAATATGCCGAACTTTCTGTACACTTCTCATTAGAAATTTTAAAATAAGTCATGTCCCACTACGCGACATTCCCTCGTTTGGGCTAATACATAAGTCTGTATGTCCCTCGTAATAGAATTATAGAAGGAAAATTTTGAAGAACTAGTTTTCATTCAAATTATTATTTTGACTAGATGTTTAAATCAAGAAAAAATCTACTGTTCATATTTCAATAAATTTTCCCGAAATTCTCAGCGTGAACAATAATAATTTATTTGATAGAGTATTTAGATTAAGATCGGTTCTTCTTCATTGTAGAACTAGATTTCTTTCAATTATTGGCGACAGCTTTCTTATCTATTTTGACAATCATAATAGAGAGCTAAACATATATTAATCATCAAGAAGTATTTTTAATACTTTGACATAGACGCGTCAGATTAACACATCAGAATTTATGAATATTAATTCTTAGTGTATACCCATGTAAAATAAAATCGTAAAAAATCTGATTACAATTGATTTTTATGCGACTAGAAATCTATTTTAATGACGCTACTTTAATCTGATTTTTCAATCTTAAGAGGCAGATTATTTTTGATTTTATTTTAATCAATTTTAATTGATTACCTACAAAACTATTATAATCGATTAAAATAAAATCAAAATGAAAAATAATCTGCCTTTTAAGATTGAAAAATCTGATTAAAATCAGATTAACATTGTGTTATAATTATAGATTTTTAATCTGATTATTAATCCAATTTGTTTTACATGGGTAACTCTACACGCATACCATACGCGATATACTGATTGTGTCATACTCAGAAAAATGCCCGTATGTTCTTGCCACGAAGTGAAAAGAAAACAAAAGTTCATAGGCAAATTCTTATTGTTTGATTTTGTGAAACACGATCTGAAAGGAGGGTTGAAGGATATAGGGTAGAAATTTGGAGCTATCCCTCCTCCTCCCCCCTCCCAGACCCGGACAGAGAAATTAATTAGTTAGCTAATTGATTAATTAATTCATTTCTCTGTCACGATCTGCGATGGTTTGTGAATTCTCTGTCGAGATTTCTGATGGTCTCAACCGACTCCATATATCAAAATGCAGACTGTGACCAAAAGGCTGCATATATGATTACAGGCAGTGGCAGAAAAGCTACAAAGACTCACAGATCGTAGTAGACAGGTTTCAGCAAAGGAGTCCCACCGTTTCTTACGTTTTAATCCCGCAGGGATTGTGCTAACAGCTTTTTCTGTTACTATAAATAGATGTGTTTCATAATCAAAAGAATAGCTCATGGTTTTCAATAGAATCATTTAGTATTGTCATTAAATAGATAATAAAAAACTGCGCAATAGCAGTGGTTTACTTACCATGGACTCAATATTTTTTATATTAGCTATAATTCTTGAATAACAACCCAACATGAATAGAAGTGGAATATAGTAAAAACATATGCATAGTACAACAATAATAAGTGGATTTGCCGGATGAACGCACGCCGGTTTTGTTGAACTAAATTGATGTGCAAGAAATATTGAACATGGCCATATGGCAAATGGTATTGCCCAGGAGCTTATAATAAAAATTAATACAGATGAGTAGGATCGATTACGTAAATGAAAATATGGTGCTACAAATGATAGGGAAAAAGCATTAACATAATTAAGCAAATATTATTAATAAAAAGCAAAAGAAAATTACTTGTCAATGCATAATATCGATCTAATGCCATTGATGCAAGTGTTAGAAAAGATGCTGTTGAACAAGTAAAATCAATTGACATCCATATGTAACAAAGGCGATAATGAAATGGCCAACGTGAATGTATGGAATGCATTGTCATAAATGGCATGACAAATAGACCAACAAAAAAATCCGCTAAACATAAGCTGACAATGAAATAATCCGAATAGGATCGAGCGTGAAAACGAAGTTTAACTGATATTAATACTAGACCGTTTCCTAACGAAAATTTAACAAAAACAAAAACAAAATATTTTTCTAATAATAAATTTCAACGAACCTAATATTGTCAATATAGTGATCGTACCACATATTGTCAGTACAATAATTGATCTTAATGGCCATGCCCATTGGCTGATGGGTAAATGATCAGTTGGAGTCGAGGTTGTATTGATGAAATTCATTCATAGACAATTGATTTTATTGCTTCGATGCATTTGTTATTATTCGAATGCTTATTGCATAATAAGATTATAGTACACGTGATGTTGCATGCATATTCTAGAAGAACTATATTTTTTGTCTACTAATAAAAAAACAATAATATGAAGAAAATTTCGAATCTATTCGAAGATAAAATACAATATTTTTTTTGTCATACGCCTATCCTATTGCACTTTATGCGCAAGTCGAATTTTAACTTCATTAAAATCGTATATCCAGAAGAAGTCTAGCGGCTTAATGAGCAATATTAAGTAGTCACAAGGACACATAAGAGGTAAAAATGAGCTTTATTCAGTGATATAAAAAGGATTGAAATTTGCGTCATGTCTATCTTTCTTTTTGTACGCTCATCGTTATGCAAGAAATGTTCTTAAACTACCGTTACTATTAAATAAAATAGTCAAGAAGAGAAAAAATATGCCATACTTTTTCCTCTTAATAAAATACGAAATAAAAACTGCTGAGAAAAAGATAAAAACAATACATCGCATATTACTGTTTTGTTCTATTTTATTAATTGATAAAAAATTACCTTATGTGTCTATCTTTCAATTTTTATGAGTAAATGGTGTATTCGACAGAGTCTGTAAAATAATCATGCTTTTCTGTCACATCTGAAAGCAACCGGTGCACACCAGTGATGAACAGAAACTTAATCATTTTCTATTCAATGTAAAAAAAATTACCTGTAATGATTCATTAGAGAAATGTGTTTCGACATTCATTCAACCGAGATGAAAAACAAATGGATCACGAGACCAATATCCTTATATATTCTTCCTGTATACTGCTCTAAAAACAAGAGACGTAGTAGACTGGACACTTTCATATAAACTATCAACATGAAATTGAGTACTTCTAGGAAATAGTCCTAGATTTTTGTTTTTATTAATGTTTCGTCTATTGTTTTATTGTAGACATTTTTGTTTCTATTAGAAAAAAGAAATGCAGTTCAATTATTATTGCTGTTTATATAAAGACAAGGAAATGAGATAGATGGTCTTTGATTATAGAAACAAAGAATCTTCTTCATTCAAAGTGTCAATATCCGCTATAACTTATTTTTAGGATGTTAGCAGACAAGTTTCATAAGATTGATTAAACAATAGCACAATCAATAATAAGATCTATTACGCAGTTCGATAAATGACTATGATGCGTATGGAAAAAAGCGAAGAATATTTTGTGCATTGTCAAAAGAGTAACGATCGAAAGAAAAAACATAATAGCTAATTGATTTTACTCGTCGGAAAATGGACATTGTTGCTTCAAATTGATTATATGAAATCTGCATTATCTATTCAATGAACCCTGTTGCATCTTGAATAATCATCATCGAATTATTCAATCGCAAACTGAAGCTTTATAAGTAAAATATGGATAGAAATGGCTTCAGATATTTCAAACTGTGAAGAAATAGGCAAAAACATTTTGGCAAAAGGAAATATATTTTCAGAAGCAAAACAAAAACTAACGACTTTCAAGTTTTCAGTACAAATGGAGTACACATTAAGACAGAGAGATGCACACCGACTGTAACAATAAAACAGAAAACGCGACAAGCAGAACAGCGATGAATAGAAATGTACTTGGATGGATCGATATTATAGGAAAAATCACATTCTTCCTTTTTTGCACAAGAGACTTAGAGCCAAGGCTTTTTTATTGCTCTTGATGATATTATTCATCTTTTTCGATTTCTCAAGCTTAGCTTCATATCTGACTCAGAAAAACGCAAGCTGCCAGTTGAAAGACAGGCGGTGTTATTGCTATTTTACCATTGGCTAAATATCTCTGAATATAACGTATGTAAAAAAAGATTAATTATACGTTGTGCAATTTCCAATACTTCATGAAGTAGAAGTTTGTTATGGGTGGATCAAAGGATTCTGTTTTTAAATGCTATTTCGCACAAAAAAAGATCAGCCTATTTTTCTTATGAGTTTAATCTCGAACATGTCAATTATCAAATAAAGATAAGGTCCGTCTAATATAAAGTACATTATAATTTGCTCTTCAAACTCAAGGCAAAAATTTTCTTATTATTAACTATAATTATACAAGTTCCTTCTTTTTTATTAAAATATATTTTCATCTACGATTTTTGTTCTTCTAGAAACAAGAAAGTCTAATTAAATTACATTCTAAGGAACAAAATCTTTAATACAATTTTCACTAATTGAAGGGTGAAACATGAAAAATCCACCAGATTTATAATTCATGTGGGAGTATGTTGAATAGTTATGATCATGAAAAAGCTATGTTGAATCAAATTTATTCATTTCAGTGCAAACATTATGATGAATAGTCGGAAACTGATTTTCCTAACTGTAATTAAGCGTCTATGACTCGAAGAAATATAATTATAAACAGTGTGCATGTTTAACTAGACAGCCATAAGATTCTGTACGACGCTAAACTGCAATGGTTGATTCACGATAATCTTAATCAATATTTTGCAATTATTCGGTAATAAAATTGTTTTATAGATAAAAATATATTCTTACCAACGAAAATTTTCTTTACTAACTAAATAAATGAACGTGTGCTGGATAATAGAGTAAATAAATTATTATGCGTTTCAGTAATTACGAAATGCATCGCTAAATTAAATTATTAATCATTGACATGTGGTATACGAGTTCTATTGTTATTTAAAAAAAAAAGAAAGAATTCTAGTAGGTACATTCAATTTGAAGTTTTACATGTAAAATAACTGAAATTATCGGTCACCTAATACGTCACTTTTGTTCATCAATAGAATACGTTTAAATAGTAGAAAACATCTTTCAAATTACTTTTTTTCTTATGCATTAGTATAAAATGAAATATTAAATACGCGTAAAAAGGATATGCATCTGCTCCAATTATTTAGTCATATGTAGGCTGCAAATGGGTTAATAGAGTAGATCTTATACTTCTCTCACACACAACAACAATATAAAAGGGAGGAGAAGAAGAAATCAGAGGATCTGATAAAAAGAAGTATGGCTCATGAAGATCAATCTACGTCATTAACTTCCGTTGCCTAAGGTAGCTGTTACTTCTTGACTTTCTCATTCGGTGTATTTCCTGTTTGCTTTCGATAATACACTTGTGCTCATGGTGAGCATTTATTATTCATGATGAACGCCAACGTATTTTCTCAATTAAAAAACCATACCGTGCGAGAAAATGAAGCAAAAAACTCATCGCATTTTTTAGCAACATCAACAGACTATAAATAATTTATTATACTATATTTTGCCCATCAATCGTGTAGTTGAAAGATACGAATTCGTTCATCGGCTATAATCAAACAATCGTTGTATCAATGTACATGTTGTCTTTAATGATACAAGAAATAAATGAAGTTATTTTACAAAATAGAATCTTTTCACTCTGTCGATGACAGTTGTCTACTCATGGAAAAGCAAGAAAACAAATATTTTTTTTTGTCATATGTCATTGTGAGTAATATGATAAGTGACAGTTCGAAGACTTTCTTGAATGACATACGCATTAGTTTGTTTGAAATCAGTAAGCATGAAAATGAAATCATATTGATCTATAATGAATCCCGTTAAAAGGTTTCTACTGAATGAAGATAATGATTTTATTTTAATTTTTTTTCACAATATTTCAGAATCTATTTGATAAGAAAAAAAAGAAAATAATAATTATCGACAATTGAAATTAAGTTTAGTTGGATATGAATGTGTGCGTGTCATCTCAAGCTTTTTCTTTCGTTGTACATCAACAGGAAAGCAATTCCAAAATCGAATTGTCTCATCGGCTGATAAACTCACTATTGGATTGCCTTTTGGACCCATAATTAGTGAAAGAATGCGTGACGTATGACCTTGAAAATAAAATTGAAAAAAAAACAACAACAAATGAAATTAACTGCGATTTACCTTGTAATGTATGACATTTGACCATCGATGGGTAATGCCAAATATGAATATAATTATTTGGATGACCTTGACCAGTTACAATTTGTTTATAATCCGTTGACCAAAGTATTGACGAAATCTACATAAAGAGATTGACGACAAGAAAATACTACGCTATTTAATCGTACCTGCGAATCTGTTTTAATTGCTTGTTGACATGTACCGTTACTATTATTCCAAAATCGTAAATAACCATCTGAATGGCCACCACCGGTTGCTAATACTTTCGATCCTTCCCATGGACACCATGCTATAGCCTTAATTCAAACAATATTTAATAGTTGCCATAGGAATATATATTACGTATATTTACTTTAACTGCTGCTTTATGCTCTTTAAAATGCCATAATGGTTTTGTTGGAATATTTGATTTATTTTTTTCGCCATCAGCAGGCGGTAATAATGACGATAGGCTGCCACATGTGCCACCATTTGAATACCATTGATGAAAGTCCCAAACGCATACTGTATTATCATTACTGCCACTCGCTAAATATCGTCCGTTTGGACACCATTTAAGACCACAAATTTCTTGACCGTGTGATTGAAATTTAATGATACAATCTTTTTGACGGACATCATATACAAGAATATCACCTGAATTACGTGTTCCACTAGAAAAAACAAATGTATAGGCGAGTGTCGTATTCCCAATGAAGTTAAAGGCGAGAGAGGTGAAATATAAAAAACAGAAATATGACGGATAGGTCGCAAGTTTTGAGACAAAATATTTAGTCATTTTTCATCTCGATAAAAGTAATTCGGAAGAGTGAAACCCGATCAGTTAGCATGAGCTCAGATATTTTTTGCCTCCTTGGAAATATTAATTTCTCTCATGATATTCTGCTTTTTTCAAACATGTGTACGGAAATAATACGCATTTTATTAGAAACTATTTCGACATAGATCAGATTTTAGTCAAAAAATTTCTCTCAGAACGTTAGACCGACTCGTAACCTTAAAATGTGGTCTTACTGAAAAGTCTTCTCAATAAAAGTCAGAAAATTTCGAAGCCTCCAATCTTCAACTTGAAATTCTCCCTCCGCGCAAACTGCCACTGAATATCATCTATAATAATTACCATGCGATAACATTTTGATTCCACGCTAGACATGGTATTCGATCGTCATCATCAAGCATCGTATCGCTAATTAATTTTCTTTTACATGTTTGTTGATTAACATCATAAATATGAACTTGCTGATAGGATGTTCCAATAGCGAGATATGGTGATTTACTATGCCACGCAACACTCGATACATAATGTACATGTTCATCATCTTCTTCATAATCGTCGTTTGTATTTGTTGGTTGTTTAAGTTCAAGTAATTTTGTAACATTACCCGAATTATCATCCCAAAGAAAAACACAGTTCATTAAAGCAACAGCGATCATATTTGTTGGTTTGCCCCAATCAATTAAATTTAAATCTATTTATAAATAATTGAATTCGAATTTGTTTGTTTTTAGTTTACTTACAAAAATCATCGATTAAATCCGGTGCATCAAGAATACGTTCCGGCGTAGAACTGATATAGCGTTCCTTTGATGTGATTGTTAGTGCTTCTATTTGTCGTGCGAGATCACTCGGATCTTTGAAATAAAATAAAATTTAATTTATTATTTTATAATAAACTAAGATTCCTACCTATCGGTCTTGGTTTGAGTGTTTTAACACCGAAATTATAAATTCTTCGATTTTGTGGCATAAAGTGTTCGAGTAATTCGAGTGTTTTTCTCGATGAATTTGATTGTACTTGTTGATTTGAACGTTTTGGAAGACGGCGTTGTTGACGAAGTAATTGTTGTTGATGTTCAATTGATACGGTTTCTCCATTATGAGTCGATATGGAACGCGATGTGATGTGAAGATTTTGAGATACAAGTGTATCAAGTGCATAATCACAATCAAGATCAATTCGACGTGGGATAAATCTATTAAATTGAGCGATTAATTAAAATCCCTAAACATACATTTTACTATCCGTATTTCTAACTTATGACCCTCAAGACCGTGAGATTTATATCGGAACGAAACGTTTGACCTTTGTATAAAAAAAACTTCGAGTGTAAAATATTACTATTTTAAAGCCCTGGAAGAAAAATATATATCCAATTACATTTTCTCTCGAGGGATTATGCGCTCACAACTTCTTTTTCTATTCCATACGAGTAACCCACAATTTTATACTTTCGAATAGCCTGAAAATCTTCAACTAATATGCAATTACTCTTACTATTCAGTAGAAGTCTATCAAAGAAAATAATGCACTATGATTTATTCTTACCTATCTCCACGTAAAAGATTCGGTTCGTCTCGTCGTGCACGTACTGACCATGCTTTGGGTTTTTTTTTCGTTGACGATGTTGCGTCATCACATGGACCAAATCGATTCGAAAATGGTGAATCTTTATTATCATCATCGTCAATGTCGAGCGGATTTAGAAACAAACGCCTTGGAAAATCGAATAAACTATGACCTATGAAAAAAAGAGAAGTTTATTTTCAATCATCTTTTGCGTAGGTAAAGTTTACTTCGTTCCATATGGAACCGATCCGGCGTTAACATCCCGATATTCGTCATGACTATCTAGATATTGTTTGATTTTATAAATCGAATGGCTACAGACGATATTGTGTTTGTGTTCATCAAACGAACCGTTAAACAAAGAATTTAAAATGAATGAATCATTGAAACGTTCGTCGATTGGATGAATTCATTTGGTGTTAAAGGAGGAGCGATACAAACGAACGAGTCCTATGTCATGTTTATTCAACTCAACATAGTTTGAAATTGATCTCATTATTTGCCGATTATCAAGTAAATAAATATGAAAAAAAAAAATGAACCTATATCATTTGAACTACTTTATTCGAAAAAGAATGCACTAACGTCCCGGTGGACTACTCGCGATAGTTTATTCGCGTCTCAATTATAGTAATACGTGATTATAAATGATGCTTTCTATATAGAAAAAAAGGAACGAATGAGTTCAATAAGATATTTTAATAATGATCGAGAAAATATTTCTTTCATAAAATTCTATTGGGTTAATCAGAAGCTTTTTTAAGGCATACTGATTCAAGTAAAAAAAAAAAGAAACTCGCACAGGATCTGTTTGTTAAGTATAGGTCGAATCTGAGACCAGCTGAGTTTAGAAACAAGCGCCAAGATTCATAACAAAGCTCGAAATTATTGGAAAATGACGACATCCAAAGAGTTCCACGATCGATCGACACTGGGTATAGCAGCTTTCAGTTCCCGTCGAACTATTTTATATATTAACTTTTCAAGGATATAAGTAGAGATTTCATGATGCGAATTCGATTTATGCAATATTACTTCATTTTAGGAAAAAAAGGAATGAAGTCGATTGCCATGTGACTTGTAAATAGCAAATCTAATTTAATATATTTTCAGTTAGAACAGTATTGAAGAAAATTGTATTCTTCTTTTACCGACATTGAAAGTGTCAACATGTGATTTTGTTATTCTATTTGTTTCGTTTTTATGATTGTTTCATTTCTTTCTAAGCGACAAATAATCTATTCGCAGCAAGGACTATTGCGAATCATACTTTTTACTTGTGAAAACTAAAAGGAAGTACTACGATTGGTTAACCTGATAAGCAAAGAATAATAATTAGTACAGTTGCATATCAGTATGTACTTTTCATCGCCCCGTTTGAATAGAAAATATATTAGTTTTGACGTCATCGTTACTATCAATAGATATAAACATCAGTTTCGTACATGACAGTATCGTTGACATACGGAATACTAACCAATCATTTTCTTTGATATAAAGCGCTAAGCATCGGTATCTTCGGTTCCCAGTTTTCATTTCTTTTACACAGAGAAAAAACAATGTACGTATTTTTATTACGTTTCTTATTAGCATGTATGCATACTTTGCATAGATTCGAATGTGCTTCCAGCATACGAAAAAAAAATTCTCGCAGGAAATTATCAGTATTTTAATCGTGTAGCAGTCGGAGAGTAGAAACAGTGTACTCTCCGCGTCCCAATAATAAATCGGTTTCAATTTTCCCTAAATTTTACATTTATCGTTTAATGTTTTCTTGAAAACTGCCTTCACTTTCCCTCCAACCTGTCCGATGTTCTGCTTTTCTCCTTTTGATTCAAAGCATGCATCAACTTATTTAGAAAACAAAGCGTTGTATTGCTTTTGTTTTCTTGTAACCAGACATCAAGCCTGAAGAATCATAAGATCAAAACACATACCACAAAAACGTATTGATGACTGAATGTCATAGACGAGCATAACAAGAAGAAATGCACATGGAAGAAAAGAAAAAACATGATCTAATATTGCCACTGCATATCATCACCAATGGCTCAATTATTAAAATTGGCGACATGACAAATATTGTTTTACTATTAGGTACTCGTGACAGAGAGAGAAATATTTAAAACAATTGATTTCAGAAAAAGTCCGATGAATCATGTAAAGTAAATATTATGCAGTAAGTTTATTCAAGAATAAAAATATAAATAAAAACCATAATCTATAGAAAAACATTGAAAGAAAAAAAAGGAGAAATACTTCTTCATCTAAATTCACCAGTTTATGCACCAACGAAAAAATTCTTTGAAGTAATTTAAATTTGATGTTTTGTTTGAGAGAGAGAGAGGAAGCACCCGGTTCACTTTTGATCACCAATTTGTATTTTTATATTCACACTTACGAGAGTTTCATTAGTTATTTATCATCGCATACTAACAACTTACCACCTTGTGTTAGCGTTGAATTCCGTCATTAAAACAAATAAACATAAATTAGATCATCATTCTTTCGTTAAAAGTATTAAGAAATAAAACAAGATTTTGCTTAGAACAAATAAATTACTAATCGTATTTGTTCTCGATTTTTTTTCTTCGAATATATATAAAAGTATTAAAATAATACATATGAAAGCTTATTCTTGATTCACCAATGTGCTTTATGCAAAAGAGTAACACGTTTGACAAAATCCGCATGACTTGCAAACAGACGAAGTTGAGAATCGAGATCTTGCCAAAAAGCTTTCGCTGCATCATCACCGGCGTGAACATTAATCAATGCAAGATGTTCATTATCTTCATCATGGAAGTTGTATACTAAATAAACAAGAGTAACAGTGACGATCTTGATTTAATTCGTAGGCCTATTCAATATTCTTACCGGTAGTTTCCATCCAACAGTTATCGGTATTTCTAAATAAAATTTATAGTTAACTTTACTTGATCGATATCGTTTCCCGTCTTTCTATTACCTTGGATCATCAACGTAGCCACAATAAATTCGTGTTCCACCATTTTCAAAGATATTTTTAATTGTGTTTATCAATGTTTCTTTATCATGTTGATCCAAATCAGGAAAATTGAGCGCCTCTTCATGAAATTCACGTTGTAACGTATCAGTAACTTTCTCTTTTTTATCAGCCATACCACCTGGTATAGCATATTCGTCTGTATCTTTTCGAATTATGCAAACAAACTGTAGTATTGGTTTTCTAGAACGTCGATGTAGAACTTTGATACCGTTTTTATCACGTTTCCATCTAGTCACGATGGGATCAGCAGCATGATTTGGGCCGAAATGACCTAAGAAATTTCAAAATTTAGTATTTCTTTCTCTATTTTTTAAAATTTACCCAGATGTCCTCGTCCGGTGATTCCTGTTCGCCCGCATGGATTTTGTGGGACACGTCCAATGATTTTATACGGTCCATAGTAAGACCGTCGATCGCATAAACGATCATCGGAATTCCATGGTATGTCTACCGTAAGATCATGACGTGGATCACGATCGACATATTCTTTAGTTGATGTTCGAACTTTTTCTGATGTAAATTCAACTGGTTCATAATCAAACGATGTCGACCATCGTACTTTATCATTTGGTACAATCGTTCGAATAATCGCTGGCTGATCTCTGGTACCTGTACGCGTATATTTTGCATTAATACACGTATCTGAATATGTGGATTGGTCACATCCTGTGCCACAATTACGACATTTATGATGAATTGGAATTTCAGTTGATTCCGGTTCTGCTATTCGAGTTCCTAAACGAATACCCGCACACGAAAGAAGATGACCCATAAAGAAATTAAATTAGCTCTAAAAATAATTGTGAAGCTATTTTTATGTGTTTAACACAACACCAAGCATAATTCGCTTATCATCTAAAATTATTAAATAAATATATACACGTGTCGCGTTGCATAGCATCAAGCTGTATGAGGTGGGCAAAAATATTTTCGTCCTTACACTGTCTATCAAATTTCTCGCGTAAGAATTTCGTCATTTTTTGTCTCTGAAGTACTCTTGTTGCTATACGATGAATCTGATTTCTTATCGTTTAGCGACACCAAGAGTGACACTAATTACGTGGTAATACGATTTAAAGTTATTCATAGACACCATCTAAACAACAAAATGAAAAGAACAGGGCTGTTCTTCCGTACGTTGACGTCAATTCAACGCAAAGACATCATTGAATTTGGTTTCTTTGCCAAACATCTATGTGTTGCTCAGCAATTGAAGAACAGAAAAGTAGTCCGAAAACAAGACGACAATAATGGACGAAAAATCTGAAGAAAAAATTATGATCGAATTCATTAGAACAATGCAGTTAGTTTCATTAATTTATTTTTTATACATCGTGTGCATGCATATCACAGGAGTAAGAAGGCATAGATATATAGAATAGTAAACCTGCGCATACAAAAACACGTAAACGAAAAAAAAAACAGAAGAAAAACAAAATTTGTTTGCCGTGTTAAACAAAACGAAAAATGAGAGTTATCATGTGTACAACGTGTTAGAAATAATCCATTTCTCACCCGAAACACAAAATCAGTTTAATTTAAAACGAGAATAAGAATGAATATTTGTATTTATATGCTTTATTTGAAAAAAAAGATGAAAATAGCAACCAGAACAAAAGAAAAAAAATAGTATTAATAAGACGTCAGTCCTCCGCGTGCGTGATCGACGACAGTACTGCCCAGTAATATATTATTGGAATATCGCAATAAAAGAAAAAGAAAGAGAAAGCGAGATATAATTGAACAAACAATCGAAATTATTTTTTTTATTTTCTCTATTTATTGAACGCTGATACAACGGCCCACATCGTTTCCATTTTCGATTCGTATTTGCTCGATTCTTGATCAGGATCAAGATCGAGTAATTCACGTACATGTTTCATAGCTACTTCATAATCTTCATCCGATAGCGAGGTGAAAGCATTTTCAAGAACATCTTTACGAAAAGAATAGAGAATATTTCAAAATTAAACTTTTTTTCCGATGACTCACCACTTGAATGTGCCAAATAGATCAATCCAAGTATTCGTTTATCCATACGACGCGGATCATTGGGCCAGCGTGATAAAACGCTATCTTGAATTTTTTTTATTAACTTTATTTTATGTACGTTATCATTAAGTGGATGTGTTGTCATATCAAATAGAAAAAAGTTTTGCTTCTCAGTACTACATATACCCTTATCGACGAGATTCTTTGCCAAACGTTCACGAACATTACGTAATTGATATTTTAATTTTAATGGATTCCAACATTCACCTAGTAAAAACAAAATTAATAACAATTAACGATTTCTGTTACGTTGTAAAAATAAGATACAGATAGTAGTCAAATCGCTAAACTCGTGTAATCTCAAACAATGAAATTATCTCCTAATTATTGGAGACGAGTATAATTTATTGATCAGAGGGCACAATTATTTTTATTCATACGAGTGATTTTTCTTTTTTTGTGCGAGTTTCATCAAACTGATTGAATCCAAAACTTACCGCTAAGATATTCGATCCAACTTTGTACTGTTTCTTGTGGTTGTGTTTCTTTAATATGTCGTAGAGCTTCATCGAGTAAGACATCGCCCGTAGCTGTATCATCGAGTAACATAACTTTTCGATTTGATAAAGCTTTACGACGTGCACCAGTTTTTTCTAATTCAACACGACCACGAAAACCTAATTCAGTTAGGATGCATCCACGTAAGCCTGATGAAATACAATCATTCCAAAATGATGTATAGCCCTGAGAAAAATGAAAGTTTATATTTCAGAAAATAATCATTAACAAACTTCTCGATCTTTGAGTCCAAGTAATAGGACTTCTTCCATCAGAGTAAGACGTGTTTCTTTATCATCATCATTTTCACGTTCATCATCTTTATCACGATCATCTTGATTCGATTGGGATGTACTATTGCCAGCCGATTCACTATATGTTCCACTACTACCGGTCGTTGACGATAATTGCGGTTTACGTCTTGTTATCGTTGCCATAGTCTTTCAGTTAATTGTTTTGTTCTAAAAGTGTAATAAATAGATGATCAAGGTCAGTCACTCAACTATAATATGAAGAAATAGTAGAAAGAGATTATTGTTCTGGAAATGAATTGTTGCATAATCGATGTTCAAACAGGAAAAATGAAACTCGTGTGTTTACAATCTTCTTGGATTTATCTTTTCCCCTATGACATGTGTATGATGAAAAGAAATGTATGGAATAGATATGTTTGTTTTCTTCGTCCAGTGATGATTCATAAATCGAATGTTAACTTATCATTTTCATGTTTGTTCAAAAAAAAGATTAAAAAAAAAGATTTTCTAGAAAAAATGATATTTTTTTTTAAATAAAAAGGTTTCTATTCAAAAACGAATAAATCCGATTATGATCGATAGGCAGCGCCATCTGTAAATTAAACCAGTTTGAAATTTCAACAAAAAAATAAATTGTGCAAGAAATGTTCTGTAGATTTTTTTTGGAAGTAAAGGCCATTTCTTCTCATAGTACGTACGAATACTCGCTGAAAGAAAAGATACAATATGCCTTTCGTTCTTGTCGCTTTATCTATTATCAATGCGTTACAATTACAACTCTCTGTATTATTTACAGATTGCAAACAATTCAACTCAAACTAGTTGTTTTTACTGTTTGAAAATAAGACGATAAACTATTTAGGAAAGTCAAAAAGCAGGGTAGTAACAATAATATCAGCAAATCAAGTGTACATACTTGTTTTTGTTCTCTTTTTCTCTCCAATAGTCTTTAGTATTCATTGAGCTATATTAATAACAACGAATAAGATGAGTTTATCTCATTAGTGACTGAGCATAATTATTCACATCGTATTATAATTTCTATTTGAATGGACGATGCGAACTGAAGAAAATAGAAATAATTTTTTTATTGATTTTCCTTTATTACAGTCATTTTTTCGTCGGCAAACGTTAACCATTTCAAAAGGGTGTGGGTTTGGAAGTATTTTCCATTTACCTTCACTCACTCACACACACACACACACCCTCAAGATATATGTCAGTATTCTGATGTGGTACATGTGCATTCTCTGTTTCTAGAAATGCCGAATTTCGTTTATCTAACAAATTCAAAGTTTTTTCTTGACTTGTCTCATGAAAATCGCCGCTAGGAATCACATCTAAGATAGAAAAACATAATTACTATATTCTTGTTATGAATAGGAAACCCTCATTTGGTAGAGTTTTCGTCGAAGTTTAAATTCATATTCGTTTAAATATTTATTTAGATAAAACATTTTGACGACATTCAAGGGGTGTAGGTGTGGGTGTCGATGCTTAAGGAAGTAGTTGCATGTATGGATGGAGAGAAGATCTGAATTTACACCTCATTAAAAAGCTCATGCAGAAAAAGATGTAATGCAAACCTTCATCTTTTGTACAAAGCTGTCGTTGACACAGTTGTAACAGTTCAAAACGCGCAAACACATCACAGTTGATTGAATGATGTTGGTCAAACATGTGGCCATGTATACTAGTAAAAACTTCGAACAAATTGTCTTAAATTTGTGTCAACGATATGGTGTCCATTGAGCGAAAATAAAAATAGCGAAATGTATTTTCAGCGAAAAAAAAGCGCGGAAATTATAACAGCGAACAACATTTTCAGCGAATATCTCTTCGCTCAAACTTTTTTCGCTGTTTTGCATTCGCTAAAATGTTTTTCGCTGATTTACCCCCATATCGTCTCTCTCGGTGGCTATATTCGATTACCTATTTTCGCTGCTGTTCAGATTAAAAAGAATTTTAGTAACATATTTATCTCTCATGTTTTGTGTTACCAACATGACTTGTTCCAAACAGAATTTTTGAAAGACAAAAAAGTAAGTAGCGAAAAAATCTAAGTTTAATCATTATTTAACACAGAAACGTATCAATTCCATTTGACAATAATATAACATATCATGAAAGAACACCATCATGTTATAGTTCTCCATAGGAAGTATCTTCTCGACTCGCTTCAAACAGTGCTCTGAAGGTTAAACAAAATTTTCACGATTATTTGGAATTATATCGATTGATTATCTTAATTTCTAAGTGTATTTTTTCCCTACTTTTCGAGTGAAAAGAGATAGTGTTGTAATTTGAGTGTTCTGCGTTTTGTTGTAGAGAAGTCTAACGAGAGATAAAGCAACGCCTGATAATTCAACAAATAAAGGAGCAAGGTTTTAGCAAATATACGAGTACATACACGTTTCATCTTTACGGTCTTCAAACATTTTCTTCTTTAAAAATGCGAGATGCAGCAGTCAACATACGAGAAAATTTGTTACCGTCTGATTGAGTAGAGATATCATATAAATACTATGGTACTTTGTTATCAAGACTAAGTAAATAGTACAGTCATCGTTTTCCTCATGTATAACAGAGTTTTACAAGTCTCTCACCTTATGTTTATTAGTACTTGGGTGAACATTATTCTCTAGATTGAAAGAATAGGGCCTAGAAGCGGACACTCGTCTGTGTCTATAACATACATATCACTTAAAATATATGGTGTGGGTATTGCTACGGATTCTTCATATTCTACTACTTTCAGGGTGTGGGTGTTAGTTTGACTGCAGAAAAAACCACAACCACCCTATTTTTCTATTTTAGTTTCACAGTGCTTCGTTCATATAAGTGCCCATCTTACATACAAAAAGTTAAAAATTAGCACGACGGTAGTTTTGGAGTTTAGCAATAACATTTCGAAGTGTATTGTAATGATCACTGTCGCAAGTAGTGCAACGAGTATTTTGGAAGGAGAAGTTACTGATCTTCTTCACGCTTATATTTTTGGTTGTCACTACTTGTACTCCATGACAAAGAGGGTTGCAATTATGTTGGTACTTTTCTGTATGTTTCTTGCCCTAAACTGGTGATCATAGAAGTTTTGATATGCTTTATTAGTATTTGAAAATGAAATCTGCTTCTTGCAGAGCGTTTCTACTTGACCTAGTGGGACTTGAAGCGTTTCTGCTTTAAATGAAACGATTTCTCGATTTTGGGGATGTTGTCCAGCGCTTATATAATCGATAGTGCGCATAGAAGCAAGTTTTATTTTCTTCTCGTAGTATGAAATATAGCATAAAACATCTAAGTACATGGACGAAAGCATTATAGAGTTGCAAATAAAATCAAACTACATATAAGAATTGTTCTTTTAGTATAATTAATCTTGAACTAATCTTCTGATTGTTCAAGCAACTTCCCCGATGCCTGCAGCCAACGCGATCGAAAGGCCAAATGCGATTAGAATATGAAGGGCAAGAAGGATATATTTTAATCGCTCCTTGAGGATATTTGTTCCAGGTGATTGTTCATCGATCGGCAATGCTTCGTTGCTATCATTGATGACACCCATTTGCACAGATACGGTTTGGTTGTTTGCTTTAAATGGTGGCCAATTCTTGCGAGAGAAAAGCTCAATACATTCAAAAGTAATCACTATAAAAAACACCGACAACAACCATGCCACAACAACTCCATAATAATTATTGAGTACAGAATTAAAACTGATAAAAAATGTAGAAAGCATAATAGCAGTGGTTGCAAGGATTAATGCAATGGTGCCAAGCAAAGCATGTGCATAGTTAAAAATAAATCGATGTCGATCATCAGATTCACATCGAAATAAAGCCATTGCAGGTTGAATGGCAGCAGCTATGCAAACAATTATACCGATGATCGAATGGGCAAATTCATGTGATAGACTTCGAGAAGTCCATTCACCATTTTTATAGATAAGAATGAGTAAGAATCCCATCGCTGTCATTAGCGCAGAACAAATCATAACGAATCGATGAATAGCAAACCATATTGCTTTACCACAGAGTTTATGCGTTGGCCATGACTGTTTAAAATATCGAGCGATGATAATGCCTGTTGAAACCAATAGCATCCAAGTAAACAACATAATAATACCATGTGCTCGCAATAAATTTGCTGATCCTCCAATAGTGGCCAGCGAAATTGTTCCCGATTGATCTAATTGCATAGTTTGACTTAGTACAGTTGTCCAGGAATGTTGTACTAATGAATCTAGTATGTTAAAATAAAAAAGTCGAACGTATTTTTTCGTGATAAAAACATCTTACTTGGGCCAGCTAGAGGTCCTATGGCCACAATAATCTGATATTGAGTACTTTGAGAAAGTAACGTAACGCTCCGCTTTCTACGACGGCTTGTTGTTGCGGTAAAATTTGACAAACTGAATTCACAATAGATTATGCCATTGTTAAACGACACAGAATTCACTTGAAATATACCACCAAGATTTGAGCCAGCAGTAACTATGGTTGTAGTCGCGTGACCGTCGGGATTGATAAAACGTTGAAGTAGAATAGTATCGTCACTCAAGCGTTGACATACAAATACATGATCATTACCCTATGTAAAAAGAAAATCGTTGAACGAAATCAGAATTCCTAATGTCCTATACCATTCTATTATCAAGTGACAAACCAATGGCGACCCATTGAGAACGTAGAAGATTGTTGGTCAGTATTGCAACAGTTGTTGTACCATTGGCATATGCCCAATTAAGAGTTAATGCTGAACTAGTAGTATTCATTGATGGCACGGAAGTCTAATTGACAATGATAAATGTAAAGAGCGTAAAATTTATATTTGACCTCCTACATTAGCGACCTTTGAAGTTGCAGCAACATCTCTAACTAAGCGATCAAGTGGATTTGTTAAAGAATCCATTGGTCCTGGATTCTAAATAATATATCATAAATCAAATAGGAGAGAAGAATTTTCAGTCAATAGAATGCGTTACATTTTGAGGAGTCAGTGTAATATTGAAGCAGTTCACATAGAATGTGCCGTAGGATTGAACGATGGTTGCCCTAAATAGTCATTGTGTAGTTAAAAAAACGTTTTCTTTTCTCAGTAATTCATCACTCAATGACAAGAGCATCTTGACTTCTACTCTCAAAACGATTAGCCAACTTTGACAACTCAAGTTTTCGTTACATGATAATCAACACTAGGTTTCACTATATTGTAATGAGTTGCATAGTCGTCACCGTTGAAAACTTAACTTATACAATGATTCTATCAAAGATTGTGTTTCGAAAAAAAGCAGATATTAATGATTTTTCTATTGGTTCGCATGATTTTCAGTAGTTTATCACTTTATTGTCATCGATTTAAATGAACATGGGCCAATTATCACCAACAGCAAGTGACTTGATTGTAGCGTTCAACTTCAGAAATTTCAAGTTGAACGTCCGAATGAAGATTTTCATCGTTGATAATCGCTGCAGGCTTTGTTATGTCCACGTTTCTTGATTACTAGAAGCGCAATCTTCGATAGAATCTTCAATATTCGATCAAGGAAAGATTTCAACACTTCGGTTTTTGTTTGTTCCGATTACGGATGATTTCTGTTATCGTCTGTTTCTTTCAGAAAAAATGGAAAGTATACTTTTGGTCACATCACTCAATATTCTTTATGGACCGTCATTCTCTATATTTATTTTTTTCTTCTTTGAAAGTGTTGAGATGTCGAACATGGCAGATTCTCCTTTTTTCTTCTAATTAAGCAGCGTTACTATTATATGAAGCAACACTTTTATAATTAGAGCGTCACTATTCTTCACTTTTTTTTGTGTTATTGTGCTTGTGACGTCTTTTCTGTGCTTGTAGAGCAAGAATTTACAAAAGTGCTTTGCACTCTGATATACTTTCTTTTAAACATCATGTTATAGAAATAAAAACTTGAACATAAACTCTTGCCTCCTATAGTTCCAACATATTCTTATGTAGCGTAGTTCAAAAGCAAACTGAAAATAAAATAATGGAGCCTCGAGCATTCAAGATTTGTTTGAATATTCTACGTAGGAATAGAACTCAATATGTTTCGGAGTGATGATAAATAAAGTGGATAATACTACACTCATAAATTTATTTCGATTTTATTGGCGAATGCTGTTCATAAAAAGAACCTGAAAGAGAGAAAAACTTACTTGATCACAATATTTCCTTGAGCTGCCGTCGATGGTGAATGCCAAGTCGCTTGAATTTGAGACTTATAGTCTGATGATGTAAGGGTAATGCCGTTTGAAAGTGTATCATTACAAGAAACAATAGAAACGGATGTATCAGTCGATGACCAATGGCCTAAAATGTTTGTATCACTTGAATCTTTGGCAACTAAAAGAACGCTTTTGAAGCGATTGAAACTTGTTTCACCCCGAACCGTAACTGAAAAAGAAAAACAAGCGAATTAAGAAAATAATATTTAGCTTCATTATTTACTTTGAATATTGTCATTGCTACTGTATTGATATTTGTTCGCTTCAATTACATAATTTGATTGACATGGTATGGAATTGGCCCCATTTGATGGCATCATTGAGTCACAGGTACTGGATGGTGCATCATCGGGGTAGCTTTGAGTGGTTCTTGTACATTCAAATGCAAGGAGAATCAACGAACAAGCAAACACTCGCATAAGCAAGTGCATATACATATAATTTTAGGATTTTACTATAACTTGCGAATTGTTTTGTTCAAAAATCAAGCTACCAAATATTTTTCTGTCGTATTTAAACAGAAAACAGCTTCTAAAGAATAATATATTTATAATCTTTTTTTAAATTGAACAAACCTTTTTTTATAAAGAACAAAAGAGCATAAAGCATAGGCGTGGAAATTCATTAACTAATATTCTCACAAACATCACAGAAAAAAGAACTGTGTCTGTAAAAGTTATTTTTATTTTCTTCCTTTTATGATACCGGTATAGCGTTTACAAGCATCTCTTCGTCACCACTAGACATTCTGTTTTATTAATGAATCTGTAGATGCGACTATATATTTTGTTGTGTACCGAACATTGCTTTCCTCTATAGATTTTAATAGCAAAGAAACAAGAAAGAAAACAACTCAGGTTAATTCTATTATTTCTACAATCAATGACAAATGCTTATAATACTCCATGCTGGACTACTTTAATGCGATGTCTTGGTAAACGCATCCTTACAAGAGAGATGAATGAAGAATTTATATTAGCACTCGACATAAGCTATTCTAAATTTTAGTGTATCAAATTCTAAAATGTCTACTCTTATTTGAAACCTTGACAGATTTCTTGTAAAATATTTCACGTACTTTTGATTTGTGTTCGAAAATAATTTTAAAAATAGGTTCATTTTACTGAATAAAGCCTTATCTAGGAAGTCTAAGATCAATACTAAAAGTTTGATCATTACAAAATAGTAGTACTTTCTTCTTTTCTTAGCTGAAATAAAAGTTACTGTCAACGTTAAAGTATCAACGTCCTTATCTGATGCATTCAACCACAAAAAAGTTTTATGCATGCATATCGTCTTGCGCATTCATGCCGATATTCTACTATGATTCACTTTCATTTCCTTTCATTATCAACGCCTTGCGACCATCCAATGAGTCAAACGAGAAAAAAAAACAATTTCTCCTATCAATAAAAGGATTTGATTTATTATGTGTGACCTCAAAACTATAGTTAAATCACATGAAAACATCAACCATCGGAAATGGACGTGTTTACGAAACATACCAGTATTTCATTTACCTAGAATGACTAATGTTTAGAGTTATTTTCGGACAGAAACTATAGCAAATGGTTTCTACTCAAGAAAATGTTCAGTGTGCTTAATATTTAACATTTTTAATAATACTTTTCTACGTATTGTCAGAAATATTCAGTATTTAGTTCTTGTTGTAGAAAAAAACTGCATGGTATAGCCGGGAAGCCAGAGAGAGGAATGCATAATGATAATAATTTAGCTTTGAAGTAGCTCGAAACGAATAGGATAGATGATCAGGCAATATATAATTGTATGTGACTCATCTCTGGTGAGCGATACAACTCGCATGATTGAAAATAAGAAATGATTGTATCAAATGTATTCTGGACGAAAGCAATAACATAACTTGGGATTGAATTTGTCATTGAAAAGCTTGTTAGCGCAGCCCCTTTGGGGCTAAAATGTGGAACTCACATATATCCCTTCGGTTTACTAAAATAATTCAAAATAATTCATCTGAAAAATCTACCCTGATTTCCAAAACCCATAATTAGATCATTGCCTATTTGCACTTATGTCTGTAATTGAGTATTAATTGTTAGCTCGTATATTTAATAATGGCAGAGACTAGTTACTATGGTCTGTAATGGGCAAGTATAGCTTTTTCGTGTAGTCTGCAATTAAAAAGGGAAGAAATAGCAGCCTAATTAGTCAAGCTTCTAATTAGCACAATTTTAAACTCATTAATGTCTGTAATGGGGAGGGGGGNTAGTCGACCCCCCCGCCCCCCCCCCCCCCCCCCCCCGCCGCAAAAATCTCGCCTTTAAACTTACACTCACCATTTTCTTCGAAAATATATGTGAGTTCCACAAAACAAAAAAAGATGAATGTGAAGATAGGCGCACAGTTAGGAAGTGAACAATATTCCTAACCAATATTATTTAGTTTTAGGGAGCGATGCTCTGCATTTGATGACTTATCAGATTAATGATACAAACAGGTTAAAGTGCTCATTACTACCCATGTGATTCAATTCGAGAAAAAACTGGCGGTATACCGACGGTTCACCGTTCGTTTTTCACGAAAGTGATGCATCCTTTTATATAGTATAGAAACGACTGAATATTTTTTAAGTCTGTTAAAACTGGCAGAATCGTGCTGAATTCGGCGCAGTCTGATAATATCGATGTGCCTGAGCCACCTGTAGTAGCCACAGATCTCAAATCAGTCCCATTTATGAGATAAATATTTGATTAAAGATGTCGCTATAGAAATAATAATTCGCAAAATATATTCTAAAATAGTTTTATTTTCGATTAATTCGAATTCTTTTTCCGAAATAAATAGGGATTTGACAAAAAACGGTTTCTGGAAGCCTTGCTAACTGGGACCGGAGCTTATAAGCTCTACCGCCGGTTATAATGAATACCGCGGTATACCGGCGGTAGTGACAAAAAATGTGCGACATGGGTAGGCTATCATTAGATGATGATGGTGTAATGTCGACTCATGTTCCTTGAAAACTTGGATTTTGATAATATTTTATTTTTTAAGTCCCAATCAAAATGATCTGTAGAAATGGAACAGATCTCTCAACACAAACAGAGTCCGCTCATGGATGAAGCCAAGATTGTTCTATAGATTTAGACGGTTAAGTCTCTGCTGATGTGAATAGCTTATTTCTTTCACTCTTACTTGACACGTGCATTACACTATTTTCTCTCAAATAAAAGTTGTACATACTCTCGTAATTAGAACATCATATCTTACGTTTTCTTTTGCTCATATATGAGAACTTTAATGTTTCTTCAAATTGTGGAACTCCGTTGACAGATAGAAGGAAAGCCTGGAATTGTTTCTAAAATGTCTTTTTTCGGTTTCTCGACGCTGTTGCCAGATGTTTTGCATATTTTAAAGAAACATAATTTATTGCAAATGATTTCTTTATCGTCTGAAGTACAGCATATTTTAATATTCATCAAAATATGATATTGTGTTCAGAGTGTGTGGGTTTGAATCACATATAATAGATATCCACACCCACAGATAAATCTTTCTTTTTTTTTATATAACTTATACTATTTCATTTCAATTCATCCAAACTTCAAAACATGTTTCATTACATAAGTGACTGTACACTAACACGCTAAGTCTAAATGAATTATTTCAGTAAAAACGAAAGATTGAGATTTTGATTAAATCTTGCTCATACGAATTCCTTCCTGGATCTGAGTATTGGTGACATCTTTTCTGCATCTATATCAGCATGAATACACACCGTGAGCTAAATTTAATACAAGTATGTTGATAATCAAATAATTTTAGCTGTCAACGTGATCAAGAAAACAACAGGTAAATATTTTCAGTTATGTGCTGCTCTGTGATTGGTTTTTAGTTGTATACTATCAGAATATTTTGTACGTTACACGTTTATTTCGGTTTGAATTGGACGTTTACAATTTGATGCCTATGGCAAACGTTTATTTTTCTTTTCTTTGCCTACTTGAATTTTGTAAAATAAAAAAACAACAATAGAATTTGGCAGTTAAATATTACTTGTGTTTTAATGTAGGGGGAAGGTTGGCATAGGATTCGAATATTTGCAGTTCAGATTCGCTTGCAGATTTATATTGGGTTTCAAACTGGTTGTGTTCGACTTACAATTTCGTTCTGTATAGAAAATGATGTGTTGTCATCTGAGGTTTCACGTTCAGATGTACGATCAGCCCGAATATTTCTATCTAACACAATTGGTAAGAGAATTCGCATAGGCTATGAAGCGAATTTGCACTGGAAACACTCTACCCGGTGCTAACTTTATCTATACGGTGTTTTTAAACAATAGGTTTTTGTTTCGCGTGTGAATAGCGGTGGTATAGTTCTCAAATAATTAAAAATCCGTAAAATGACAAGTGAAACTGCATCGAAAAAGGATAATACTATAGAATTATTTACAAAGATATTTGAGAATAAGCTGGGCAATGCCGATGGTTTGATTAGCAATGAACAATTACAACAGATGGCAGGTCGTGTTACTCGAGGTTCGAACGAAGAAGATTTTGAATATCTACAAATATATGGACCTACTGTCAGGAAATTTGCTTGGGTAATGGGTGGCGATGGTTTATCTGTTTTTCTGGAGGAATCGAACTTGGATGCGCTCCGTTCAATTGGCTATGAAGATAGATCGACCCGAAGAATATTGGAAAACGGCCAACACTATCGATTGGGTGTATTTTACAAATCTACTGAATGCGTTTCAGCTACATGGGAAGGAGTACTATCGCTAATCGATACATACTATCCAAAGCCTATTTCGATCAAGATTCGTCGACATTCAGATGCATTAAAACGAATGAGTTTCGATGACATTGAAGCTCGCGCTAGACTATCATATCTTCGTGGAGCGTCCTATTTTGATGTCCATGGATTTGCTGTGGGAGGCCATGCAACTGATCCTCGTTTCATGAGTGAAGAGAGATTTTTAGAATGTGAAGGCACACTTGAAGAGACACGAGGTTTTCTCTATCATCGAGTAGGTGTGTCTAGATTGTTTGATGGAAGTGGCTTTACCAAGGATTCAAATGGGCGACTGTGTGTATCAGAATATTTGCAACTGAACATACCTGTTCGAGACATACCTGAATTTCGTTATCTTGACTTATCGATCGATACGGCTGATCTCATGCCTGACGCTTAATTTGTGGGTGTGGGTGTATTTGGATGTAGGTTGATATATGAAGAAAACACACATTTCAACTCCAACCAATACTCCCTCAATGCTGACGGAAAAGAAGTCGTAGGTATTTTGAATTTTTTTCTTATCACTGTTTTGAATTCTTCGTTATATGTTTTCGAAGTTGAAATGAAAATAAAAAAATGTAATGATCGAAGGAATGAATGAAACAAAGTATCCATTGATAATAAGCATCTGTTTTCAGATGTACATTGAAAACGATATTTATCATTTAGCGAACATGAGTTTGCGGCAATCGATTCATCGAAAGCTTCGTAGCAATCTGGAATTTCATCCATGATGTAACACTTGGGAATACTTTTGTTCGTTCCGAAACAGCATACCATCGAAGATTGTGGACTAGTATCATTATTGGAAATTCGAGAGAAATGAGAGTATGAGAAATAGTTCAGTTTATAACTGTGTAGACAAGTATGATTGGCGACTTCAAAAAGTAGGAATAATAAATGGACATTTATGTTTATTGTAGCAGACAAAATGTGGTATTATCTTATTACATTCGCGGGCCATGGCCTGATTGTAAAAGAAGCCGAATCTTACATGCCCATCCGACACAGGAAAATCAGGTGCGAAAAAATACGCTGGGCAAAAATCAAGATCCATTGTACATTTTTGAACAGTTTCACATAAATTCTTATAATAAATGTAGAAATTCTGTGTAGAAAAAATATTCGATGTGCAAATTGCAATTTTAAAACAACGAGGAAATCTAGTATCTGATCTATTATGCCAGTGAAATTTGTAGTTGAAAGCTTGATCTCAACGATTATCGCAACCACCAACGTCTTTCGGCAGAGGCCAGAGCACACGATAACCATCACCGCAGCTAAAAAAACGGTGAATATGAGATAGCAGTATCTTCACAAGCAAAGATTGGAGCCTTCATGCAATGGCTGCCAATTATGAAACTACTAATCTTGCCTGATCCATCTGCGCCACCATCGATTTTTCCATCGCATATTTCACGCCAATTGAGACGCATAAGAGAAGAACCACCATCACATCTCATGTGAATATAACAAGTAAAGCTACCATCAGAATAGCGTTCGTTGCTTTTATCGAATAAAATGTGAACAATATTCGAAAAGCTTTGGTTCAAAAGAAATTTATATTGACAGCGTGGTCCACGCTAAGGTACGGTGCAACTATGGAAGCGCTCCACTGAAGAGGAATTCTTCGTGTGTAAAAACTTTTGATAGCGTTCAATAAGATCAATAGGACTTGACCATTTTGTTACACTTTCAGCAGCTAAATTTTCGTTTCTCAGCTGATCAAAGGTTAATTTATCGATGATATTTGCCTTTTGGCAACGTCATATTTCTCTTTTGACGATAATCTAATGCAATATTCCAACAGTAGACGGGTTTTCAAACTTTTTACCATCCCGGCGTTGTCGTGTCGTTAATATATGATAAACACAATCGTGTGAAAAATCATGATTGGCTATTTCCGTATGATAGTGATTGTAATGATATTCCCATGCATTTGTGTCAGAAAGCGCCACAATGAGTATACAGAAGATTTTCATTAATGCCATTGTATTCTGACAGAATTCTATTTCTGAAATGATATTACATTATTAACAAATATTATCTCTATTTTCAGTATTAGCGCACAGTATGAACAGAAAATGATTCTTGATATCAGAATATCTCAAAATGAAGCGATCCAGGCACAACCGGGGAAAAATTCACAGTTTCCGATTCATTTCGTACTATCATTATTAAATATATAACTATTAGGTGCGTATTATTATTAAGCCAGTAAAATGTTTCTTTTCTAGGCTATAAGCTGTCGATGGGGAAATGTGAATGATAACGCCGCTATTTTTATTCACTTTTAGTACTGCCAAAATGCTAGTAAAATAATCACTTGCATCGAGTAAATCTTAGCAAAGTGTGTACAAAAAAAAGAATATCACATTTCATACTGATGAACTAGAAGTATTAGTTGCTTTGCATTTCTTTTTGCTGTTGATATTTCCCTATGTTGGAGGATATTTTCTTTTCATCATCGGTTCAACAGATATAATTATCTTCCAATTGGACACGCAACGATAGATTTTATCTGAACAGATGAATCAGGACTCAACTGTTTATACCGCAAACATCATCTCAATGATGGAAAACGACATTCAAGATAAATGCAGATGAATATATTTTTAATTAGGTCTTTCTACATCGTATGTTGAATGATAGCCAATTTACGTATGCTTGATATTTTAGGGCAAATGTCACCTTCGACGTGTATCATAGAAGACAGTTAAATCTCTAATTGAAAAACATATGTTAAAGACTCCACTGAAGCCTGTGTTATATTTTTAGTATAACACTTGCCTGATATTAAAGAAATCTTCGCAATAATAAGAACAATTGTATGATGTTGCTCATGATTTTTTCAATATTATTTAGTCTACAAAGTTGAAAACTTATCCGTGACATAGTTATTAGCACATTCGAAAATAGATCTGTGTGGGTACTCACGAGAATAAAAATTAAAGCTCCTTTGCTGGATGAGCATTCATAATAAGATATATATATATATATATAGGTGAATGGAGAGAATATTGGCTTTTTATCATGCTTTTTTTTCTTTGAGGAGAAATGAAAGATATTGGTATTACTTGCGACCCATAAAAACCTTTACTAGCGAACGACTACGCATTATATCGCTGATATATTATTTGAACATGTTATCCATTTGAATCAAATGTCTAATATGAAATAAATACCGTATCAATCGTCACTAGATTGAGAAATGGTGTAATATTATGTTCCAGATTAGTCACAAGTGTAATTGTTCTTTTTCTCACAATCTTTAATTAGGAATATTTTAATTCTCTAAGAACGCCGCACACCGTCATTGGTTTTATTTATGACAATTACAATCAAAGAAAATAATCATCTATCGCAATTTTTTTGAGTAAAGGATAAATATGTCCCAACCTCAACTGCTTTATAGAATTTTATTTGTATGTAATCAAATACTCAGCAAATGCTTGTGCATCGTGATATGTAACAAAAATATGTTTCTCATCAGTAGTTGAATCGAACCCAAGTGGTCGAGTTTTCATCTTATTATTTCCTTTCGTAGTTTTTCCTACTAGAACTCGTGATAGGAACATGCATCGCTCACCATTTGCATTTGGTTTAGTGTACCCATGACTATAGGTTGCATCAGAAGAAAAATAAACGCCAACACCATAGACAGTACCTACACGTAGAAATGTATAAGGAATCAAAGCTCACAAATAAATAGACTGAACTCACCATTTACTCCAGCATAACTTCTGTTGAAACAATCTTCGATAATGGTATTCGCAGCTTGTTCAGGACAGCCGTGATACAAACGTTTTTCTGTATCCATATTAAGTCGCTTTCGGAAATCTTTAGTGTGTGCTAAGTATTGCATATACCATCGTTCGTTTTGAATCCGTTCGATTTTTATAACCTCTGTGTACTTTCCTTTCATAGCTGAGTCGAAATTAGACGCGATAGTTTGGTATTCATGTACCTTTGTAGACAATGTAAAACGAGTTTTATGTTCTGCCGATTTCTCCCATGTTACAGGCAATTGATAGGTTGTTGCTTCATGGAAACCTAGACAAATAATTCGTTGGAAAGTTTTTGTGTGTTGCATAAAGGAAGGAGTTTTGATTCTACACGTTTTCATGATATTATTCATCTTGTTTAGGGATTTAATGTGGCTCTCACAGTCGTTCACTATTCTTTAACTCAACCGACTGAAAAGTGATCTTACTAAAATCTTTTTATGTAAAATTAAATTCGATTTCATCGCTATTTTATGTTATAAATTCCAAAAAATTAATTAGTATCTTTTTCAAAGGGCATCAGAAAAATCAAGAAAGTTAACAATTCGTGTTTATGCTTCAAATCAGAGAGAAGCGCTTAGTGATGGTAGCAACAGTTGATTTTGCTATATGAGTACTCCTCATGTCTATATCAGCACTTAAGTTTGCGTGCAACGCCTGAACTATGAATAATCTCCAGGTATAGTTGAGCTTCTCGAATTTAATTTAAGGAGTCGAATCCTCCGTTTCACAGTAGGTGAAATCTGAATGAAGATATAAAACAATACAAACGAGTATCAATATTTGTCTGAGATTCATTTCAGGTGAGAAAATAACTTCACTGTGAAAATACATGAGATTGCAAGAAATGACTTAGCCTAACCTGACCCAATCTACGACAAAAATTTGTCATCGTTTATTATAGTCACTATATTTGAAAGTCGCGGAAGTAGGAATTCACTATTGTATAAAAACATTTCAGTGAAATTTAATTACTAATCTCACATTGTTTAGTACAATGAGCGATAAGAAGTTTACGTCTTCACTATTTTAGATATAACATTATGCATTTAATATACAATGCCCCAGAAAAAGTTCATAGTTATAAAAGTCTTTAAGAAGAAATGACTTTACAGTCAAGTATCTAGTTGTCTGTTCTACTTCTAGCTATATCTTCACATTGTAGTAATGACTAAGAACTATAAATATGATTTAGATACTTAGTTTTCTCTGATTAAAAACGTTTTGCTTTACTCTTTATATAGCACGATGGGTTTTCAGTAGTAAACAGAAAATATTCATTTTACCATCTTCTGTTGTGAGTACTTGTTTACAAAATTCATCATAAACATTTTCTTGGTTGTCGTTGACTACAAATTTTACTGTCCAAGATAGTTTCCTTTGAATCAGATGCTTTTTCATTTCGTGAACCATCATTTTAACCACAATATCTACTGAGCAGGCATGTTTACCGCATCCAATGGCAGGCAGTGCGACCGATGTAAAGTTATGTGAAATTACATTTTGTACAACAGTAGATATAAGATCACTAAGAGATTGTTGAAGTATTTCTTCATTATCATTAGGCTCCCACTTAACAAAAAATATTCGTTTGCAGGGTAAAGATCCTGATGGTATTGCAATTAGTACAGAATTCGGATGACTTTTTAGTTCAATATCGTATGACATTCGACTTTCTTTTCCAGCGGCGTTTATTATTATTTCTCTTAAGATTCCCGATGATGAGCTACCAACAATAACGTCTACCTATCAGATGAATATTAAAATAATGAAGTTTCAAATGAATATTTATTTCCTTTTAAATACTTTCTGTTTTGTTATATCCCCCATTTCAACTTCGATCGTTCCTTTGCCCAACTTTGCGGCTATGGCTTTCAATATAATGGATGATGGGGGTGGTTGTAATTCGTCAATATGCTTTTTAAATTCATCATAGATATCTTTCTTGTCTGGTTGTATTACAAATGAAACGGACATTGGATTCGTTTTTAATTTGCTATAAACTGTTGCAACCATACTACGTGAAATGAGCTGGATCGAACATTTGAATCCACCGCAACCCATAGCGGGAAATGCGATACTTCGATACTTGTGTTCTATTGCTTTTTCTAATGCAAGTGAAACAAAATCTTCGATTGATTTGCAAAGTATAGATTGATCAGGATTTATTTCCCATGGAAGAAAGTAAATCATTTTTGATGCAATTTTCCCAGCTGACTCAACAATAATTATGGGTGCATTGGGACTTGCACTAATTTGTTGACTGTATGAAGTGGACACAGAATCGCCACCAGCTTGGCAAATGCTTTTAAATAAATACTTAGATGAAGAACAAACAACAATAACATCTGTCTAATAAATGAAATGAAAAAACTTTCGAAGACAGGCGTAAATATGCCAAAACTGAAATCACCTCTTGTGCTATCAGATCACCATGACACACAATAATTGATGACCTTTGACTTCTAACATCGGGCGTCTATACAAGAGAGAATTCGTATAGAACTTCTATTCAACGTGACCGGAAAATATGAGACATAGCAAAGGTTATCGGTTGTCGAATTCGTTTTTCTGATTAACCTAATTTAAAATATTCATGGTCTAAAATTCCGTAGTTTGCAAATTTTCGCATTTATAGAATATAGTTTAACCAATCTTTAACAGTAATCACAGTTCTGTACTAACGCAGACAACTGTTTTATATATAAAAACCGGTTTTTGTTATCGCGGACCTTTATAGAACACTAAAAGGCTGCTTCGAGATAGATATATAGTCATCCACAATGAGCAATAAGATTATAGTTTGACCTTAAAAGCCTTTAACTGAACCAATGATGGATACAAGTACAAGCGGATTTTGAATTTGGGTTGAAAAAGACCAAAATCATATTCTCATCGTGAGTGTTACATGGCACATCCTTATTGGATATAAAATTTTCTAATACTAACATGAATAAAAATAGCAATAGAGTTTTAAAAAAAACTATTTATAGAAGGTACTCACTAGTGGAGGAATTTCATCTTCAACGTGTAATGCATCCATATCGATTGCGGATTCTGAAATATATCCATAAAATATGATAAATACAGTGTTGTATCAAGAAGATCATAGAATACATCCTAGTTCGAAGTGAATGAAGAAAAAGATTCACGCGAAAAAAAGTCAGGCAATTCATATAGAATCATTTTTAGTCGGCGTCAATGAGTGATGAATTGTGACTGTGGTTGTCTACACTTGTATTTGTAGATTCGGACTGGAGCTATATTTTGATAGCCTCATTCTTACTCTCCCAGATCAATGCAATATACTCTCACTGCAAAAGCACAGGATTGGGTGCGGGTGTGGTTGTGGATTGAATCACTACTGACCCACACACTCATCGACACCCGCATCCACATCCACACCCACACCCTCAGCAAATTCATAAGCTCGATCTAAGTTTTTAATATGATCAATAAGGACTTGAATGGCTGATGTAGCAACTTCAAACTCTTTATAAATCGAAAAAGCTTCTTCAAATAATTGATTACTAATTGCAATATTAGCTATATCTGGTGCATCATAATTCTCTAAACGATTGATATAATCCATGACACGTGAACGATCAGCTTTGATGTCCGCTAAAATAAGTGAATTTTGTAAATTTCTAAAAGCAAAATCAATTTAATTATAATTAAAAAATAGCAAAACTTAAAATGACAAACTTACCGATGTCCACTAAATACTGAATTATCAATAACAATTTTTTCTAATAACTCAATTAAACTGTTTGGTAAATCAGCATCCATAAATGCTTTAACTGCAACTGATATTTCTTCTGGATCTTGAGTTTCAGGTAAAGCTGTTTGAATAACTTGATCGATTAATGGTCGACGATATTGATTATCTTCACGTAGAACCTGTTTCCATAAAGCTGGATCTTTACGACGCACCAAATAACGTGCTTCACTTTTAAATAAAGAGTTTTCCTTGCAAACCTAAAATTGAATCATATCGATGTCAAACTTACCAGCTAACTGTAAATCGTATCCATAAGAATTATCCGTACTATTTAGTGTTAGCTATGAAATCAGCGTTCAAAATTGAGTCAATAAATAAAAGCTTTAAAGAATTTCCGCTACTTTTATTTTTTCCCAATAGTATCCCTCTGCCCTCCCCCCCTCCTCCCAGGGATGAGTACAAATATCAATTTCATCAAACACATCCTGAAACTTATGCAATATGCTTTTCAGTGCGTAAAAAGGTAACCGGACTCAAATCAATAGAAAATAAAACGATGGAACTTGCATTTTGAGACCATTGACTTTTTCAATTATCTCTGAGAAGGGACCAGAGGGATAATATTGGGAAAAAATAAAAGTAGCGGAAATTCTTTAAAACGTTTATGTATTGACTCAGTTTTGAACGCTGATTTTGAATGACATATTACTTTTACTGAGTACTTGGATTTTTCGAACGGCATCTTCAAAACAATAATGAAAAATAGTCTGTAATTACGTAGGTTGATATCTGTACAATTGTTCTCTTATGGCCAATGTTTTTTATTTCAATATTTTGGTATCAGTTTTTAGCGCGTGAAAAGTACTATCAAGTCATGTTAATACTAGATCGACCAGCTACCTCTTTGTACGAGAAAAGTTCTGATTGCCAATAACAGTTAGAATCAATGTACATGCAGCATTCATGGACTGATTCCAACAGCTTTGTCAGTGCAAAATGAATGTTTTAAGGGATAAATGTACTAGAAACGATGCCCTGACACTAACGAGACAGATGAGCGCGTATTTTACGAGGGGGCCGATTTCTGTTGAAAACGACCCTCACCTTTGAAAAAAACCTTACCCGTGGAGCTGTAGCAGCAACTTTAGCTGCTGCATCATAATTTCCACTTTGAAACAATTGTGAAAAACGTGCAAGAAATAGTTGATCAGCGCCCGGTAAATTGCATCTTGCTGCCATTTTGTAAGCTAGTTCAGCGTTGCCTAGTGTATTTTGAATATATGAAACAACAATTTCTTCATCCATACTAACTGAAAGAACCTGTCGACGAAAGAAAACGCGATGTAAGATAATAATTCTTCAAAAAACATTTATTTTATTTACTTGTCCTTTACGATTAACAGCAATAATGCCTGATGTTGGTTCATAGGGTGCTGTGACAAACATTGTCTCAGCACTAATACGATTCATGCAAATCAGCGTTCCACTTTCAATATCAAACATGTGTACATAACCATATTTTGTAACTAAAAAAATGACACCATGTTTAGCTGATGTTTGCATAGCAACAGGAAAATCATTTGGTGCTTCAGGTGGAAATTGAACATCGATGACTTTCTTTTGAAATCCTTCATTATCTGGTGGTGTTCCAACTTCAACAATATAAAGCTAAGATATAAAAAGAAGGAAAAGATGGAAGAAGATAAAGCGAATGTTTCTATTTACTTTCCCTCCTTGCGGACCCCGAACAGCAAATGAAAAAAGCGTTGATGTTTTTTTATTTGCTTCAAGTTTAAATTGTGTAAATGCAGCTGCATGCCCTTCAATTGGCTGGGAAACTTTACGTTCAACTGAATAAAGTTGCATACGACCAACAACACGACCTTCTTGAGCTTTGATACCTGAAAACAAAAAAATAATAATAATAAAAGAAGAAAATAAATGTATATAAAATCGTTCTATTACCATTGACAAGAAGCCATTGCAAAGATTCATCAGTACGATAGTTAATTATTTGACAACCAAGTAAACTTTGATGCCGATCAAACATTTTAACGGGTTGACTATCACCTTCCGTAGTCCAATGATAAACTGATGTTTCTGTAACAACACCAATGGTATTAACACTAGCCCATTTCCAAAATATGCAATCTTCTGTCATAACATATGCTTTCATTCGACTACGTAATTCAATATTGAAAATTTGTAATATTTTACCAGCTAAAGAAAATTTATTTCATGCTTATTATTTTATTTTCCACTAAATTATTTACTTTACCTTTTAACGCAATGACTTTACTTGTTAGATTCATGATGGCTGAGTCCGCTGTAATAGGTCGCTTAATTGGATTAGTTGGATCAGCCATATCAATAATAATAACAAACGCTCTTTCATTAACTTTCTCACGAACGCATATATATTTATCGGATTCCATCGTAAGGGAACTGAAACCAATATTTGTAACATTGATACCGACATTTTGTAACTAAAACAAAAACAAGAATTCAGTCGAATTATTTATGAAACCAGCGTTTTACTTGTAGATGCTCTTGAAATTTTATAGGCAATTGTTCTGTCATGTTTACGATTTTCAAGATAAGAAACGTGCAGTGAAAAAGCTTTTTTTTACTCTTCTTATAAAGGATGGGTATAAAATTAAAAAAGACATACACTCGCACCCTCGCGACGGTTGAAAAATGACGTATAACAAAAGAAGAGAGACAAAGGAATGCTGCTTGTGTGGTGGTTGTCGATATCAGCTATATCTATATAATTTTCTCAATGTCTCTCATTGCTTTTTTTACAGTTTATGATTAGAACGTACAAGTAACTCATTCGCACGTGCAACCAAACTATATCATAGAGAAAGATAAGACAAAAATAAATATATTGAGAGTGTGGGTATTCGTATAACCTATGTTCACAGCCACATCCCACTCTATATTTGAAAATAATACTTGTATGTTTTAAACACGTCGTTAAGGATCTAAAGTAAGCGCAAACTATCATTTATTGATAATGTATAGAAAGAAACCAAAGATAATATCAGACTATTTTTAGATATGAAATATTATTCCTGTCACTTGAATTCGGAAAATCAATTAAAGCAAAGATAGTTATTTTGCTGCACGACGTATTTAGATGTGGTAATTACTCTCGTTTTTATTCGGACCGAATGATAGATCGTGTTCATTGTTTTTCGGCGGTCCTTTACATTTAAAATGACGATACTATTTCTTGATCGCATCCTGAGCACAGATAATAGTCTGTCCAATGATTTCTATCTAATTCAAGATGATAGCTGTGATAAACGAAGTCCTATTTTATGTGTTCAATCACAGCTCATGAACCAATGATCATGGTGAGCTTTGAATGAAGCGGAAATTCTTTTATAAGTTTAGTTATTCGTATTAAGATCAGTAGTTCATTAAAAGAAAAACAAAGAATGAAACACATGCGTTGACAACAAAACAGTTTTAACAAATAGAAAACATGGAACTTAAAAAGAATGACATTTCGAAAGACGTAAATTTGGGCTAACTTGAAGATGGATGGATGTGGGTGTGACTATGAAGATCTATACAATCACTCCTAGTTCTTTTTGTCTATACATATTTATGAAAAGTAGATCCGTTCTTATAAAAAAACAAAAAAAAAGGCAAACACTATTTATTGATCATTTTCGGCATATAAAGCAAATCTTAATTAATAGAAATTACAATTACACATATTTGTACGCAAATTTCCGCAGCGCATGTGCAAGTGAGATATCTATTTCAGTGACACGACCGCCTGCGCTCATGGTCGCACTGCAAATCGTTTACTTCTCTAGTCCATTTTAATCGTTAATATTTTTGATAGTACGGTGTTAATGCATAACTCGATGTGTTCTGCAAATAAAAATGACCTGGCGAATTCCTACACACTTCTATATAAGGAATACTATAACAGCTACGAGTGTGCTATAATAAAATAGTACACGATGCATAGTTCGAAATTCATAATTACATACGCTATTCAATCTATACAACTAGAGGTGTCAGCCGTATGGCTGAGCCACCAAATTACTGATAATTTTAAGAATTTTTGTCGAGCCGCCGCTGCAAGAGATAAACATTTTTGATAGCGCCATCCGTCGCCGCTGACATCAATTCATATGCGATCGAATCGAATATTTTTCTTTTAATCCTCATCAGTGAATTTTTTACTCCGCCGCCGCCGCCGCCGCTGAAGACATTACTCATTCAAATAAGGAGCCGCTGGAAATCTTCAAAAATTGAAAATTATTGCCCACCGCCACCGTTCAATCCTTCGGCTGACACCTCTATATACAACCATTGGCCTGGTGCTAGAATAAGACAACAAATTGTTTTAATATGAGAATCTATACATAATTCTGTTACGATTACGGTTGTGTATGCGGAATGTGGACATAATAGAAATATTTAGTTGAGTTTTGTGAAATAATCTTTTATGTGCATGATGCAGAGATATCAATTACATTCAAATTTGCGGACGTTAATTTTGTCAACTTGCATTAGAACAAAAAGTTGGTGAAAACAATACAGATTTTCTAATAAATCGATTTCAAAATTGGTCGTCTTGGTTAATATCTATCCAAAATATTCATAAAATTATATCGATTTTACTCATTCTAGAATGCATACCGTGTAGAGACATTATATATATAAAAAGAATTTGACTAGAATTTTTATTCAAAATGTTTTGTCCCGTCTACAGTGGTCTACTAGTGAATGGCATTCTCTAATATTTCAAATATATTATCTTAAATAAAAAATAGTAAATTCATTTCTGCTGGTTCGCTCAGGTTATGATGAAGCGATTTGAATAAGTTAACATGTTTTTTTTGCACCCAGAATTTGAGTTATGATGACATATTTATATCCGTTGCCTTCGGAACATTCAAGAAAGTCACAATGCGATGCGCCACGTGAAATAAAAATAGGTGTTACTTTTTTTCGGTAATAAAATGATTCATTGTGACTAATTCATAACATAAGTCATGTTGGGAATAATAATCTCTTCCTAATACTCCCACAGAAATATACCGTTAGTAATACATTTATCTAGAAAAAAGCGATACACACTTCAGATTTTGCGTGCATCCTCCATCAGTTGATCTGAAGATAAAGTAAGAAATGATGGATGCATATTATTATTCAACAAGATTTTTCATAATAGACTCACAGTTTGACTGCAAATAGTGTAACTGAAGTTTTCAGTTAACTTTTACACAGAGAAGCTATCTTTAGCCATCCTATGATGGACGCTTTCGAAGGTATTTATTATGTTATTATTCGCGGTACAAAAGTATTTGATGCATTAAAATCATTTGTTCATAATGATATACGAATGCATGCTGAAAAATCTGACTGGTCAAAAACCCAGAATAAAGTACTATTCAAAGCTGACGAAAGGCCTATAAGATCCTTTTTTTGTCAAGGTTTTAAAGATTATCATGCCGATAGAGCTCATAGGGATAAATTCAAAGAAATTGAAATTAGATTTAATAATGGGAATTTCTATGAAAGCTTTCTATCACGATATTACAACAGAAATCCTGTACAACAACAAGATATTATTGATTATTTGAAATTTGTTTCTGAAAAATTTCATTCAAAATATAATATATCAATGGTTACAAGATGTTTACAAAAAAAGACACTGCAACTGGAAGATAGTGAGTACATGGGATTTCATCAAACTGAACAAGAAGTCATGGAGTTAAAATTAATATTCACCGTTGATTAAGATGCGTCGATATTCCATAAATTATTATTCAAGACTTTCCAAAATGAATCTAAGCAAGAAGTTTGTACTAGAAAACTCATTTTTTTTAGCAAAAATCGATGTAAAAATGTGTCTAATTGAAAAAAGTGAATAAATTTTATTATTGCAAATAAATGCATATGAATGAAATTAGAACTTGCTGGCATGATTACTACTTATCATTTGTGCACTTGCATGCCAAAGATATTATTTTTTAATTTTCTTCATCTACCTAACATTTTCAGATTATGTAGATATTCAAAAAAATATCGTTTTGCGGATAATAACTGCATAGAATTATTTCTGATCGACTTTCTGTCCTCCGAAAACACTGATATATTTTTAAAGGTTCGATTTTTTTAATCACTTTGTATTGACAACATCGAAGTCAAACAAAAAATAGAGGTTTTAACTATATTGAGAAAAATAAAATATGTGCAGATGGCAGCATAAATCATCAATCCGACAAGTATAGTATATGGATGTGGTTTTTAATTATCTCAACATCCACATCCACCTGTTCAATTCTGTATTTAAATCTGTGCGAATTCTTTCACTGAAACAAAGCAGAAGCAACGATTATATAATTTACAGTCTCACGCGTTTTTCTAACATATTTGTCATTTAAGTCCATTTCATAATTCTTTTTAGTTTGTTTATCTAGAAAGACAGTTTTCATTGTTAGTTCTTTCGAAACTAATATTATATTCTACAATAGAGTAGCAAAAACTTTAAATAATAGTTCAGATTCAAATTCTGCTTTCTGTCATATTTTCTAAACAGTCCAATTTGTTTTTTTCCGTTAAACAATAATTTCATATGTTGACACATTTTCATACAATTCTGCAACGAAACATGATTTAAAGATAGTCCTTTTTTTGTCGTTGAATTATTGTTCTATAGATAGTTATCGGCAACGATAATTGAATACTTGTTTTCTCTGAAGACGAGTTGTGTGCAATCTTAACAAATATCTTTCAGCTTTTTAACGATTGTATACGCAGGTCAACTATATCATATTTGATGATACTTTCTTTTGCTCCATTCATAAAACGTTTTGAACCCTTTTTGCTATAATCTATTTTCATACACCACCAGTCATTCCATCCGGTTTATTTATATTATATTTTATCTTGTTCTGTATTTCATATATTTAATAAATCGCGCAAAATAAATTTTTGTATGAAAAAGCTCTAAAAGGAATCTTGAATGTTTTTTTCAAAAGTTGCTACCTACTGAAAAATTGAAGCTTTTTATTTCTAAGTGCGCAAAAAAGACATTATTTTCATTACTTCATTCTTTTAACCTTCACAACCTGGAAGCGATAAAATTGTACTTAAATATGAAGAACTTTCCAAGAATTTTATCCACAATAAAAATATTCATCATTTTGAATTTCATCCAAACTTCCAAGAAACTCCATCCATTTACTATGCATGTCAGTACCCAATTTCAATGATTATATGCATCTTTAGTTTCTAAAGTTCTCCAATCCTAAACTTATAAAGTAAACCTCATTGATCTTGCCAACAGGTCAATTGATTTCAATGCTCGAGCAAGGGAAATATAAACACTTTTATGTGGTAAACAATTTGCAGATGTTTTTACTCATTCCTTCTTCCAAATCATATCATTCCTATTTCCGATCGAACTTTTATTACGATGCTCTTAAACTGCCATGTAATACATATCCTCATTACGCTATCCCAATCATTCACATTTACATAAAACCGGCTCAGAAATGACCTCCCACAAACCACAACCGCAACCGAAGCAGACAATCAGTTTATCACTTACTCCATTCCACTGAATGTCACGATATTTTATTCATCTTCCTATAAAAACAACCATATTCGAGACAAAACTCGAACGTGCCATAGATTCCCTCGAAGCGCTTACTCAAATGCGCCTTTCAGTTTTCGTCAACTTCAGATTTCGTCGGAGCAACTCAGTTATTACACCCTTGAATTTGTCCTCGATACCAATTTCGCGAACACACAGTGTAGTGAGTATCTGTGTGAAAAGTAAATATCGTATTATGAGAGAGACAAGGAGAGACTAGCGCTTACCCTGTTATTTCGCAATGCATCCACTAGGTGCTGCACTCCTTTGTTTCCGATTCCAAACGAATACAGATCTAGTGCCGTCAGTGTCTGTGTGAAAAGGAAATATCGTATTATCACAGAGACGAGAACAGACTGGCGCTCACCGTGTTATTTCGCAATGCATCAGCTAGGTGCTGTGCTCCTTTGTCTCCTATTTCATTCGAATCCAGACGTAGTCTCGTCAGAGTCTGTTTGAACAGTGAATGTCGCTTTATGAGGGAGACAAGGAGAGACTGGCGCTCACCGTGTTATTTCGCAATGCATCAGCTAGGTGTCGTGCTCCTTTGTCTCCTATTTGATTCGAATCCAGACGTAGTGTCGTCAGTGTCTGTGAGAAAGTGAATATTGTATTATGAGAGAGACGAGGAGAGAGTGGCGCTCACCCTATTATTTCGCAATGCATCAGCTAGGTGCTGTGCTCCTTTTTCTCCTATTTCATTCGAATCCAGATGTAGTGTCGTCAGTGTCTGTGAGAAAGTGAATATCGTATTATGAGAGAGACGACGAGGTACTGCCGCTCACCCTGTTATTTCGTAGTGCATCAGCCAGGTGTCGTGCTCCTTCGCAACCAATTTGATTCCGATCCACATTTAGTGTCGTCAATGTCTGTTTGAAAAGTGAATATCGTGTTATCCGACAGGCCAAGAGAGAATGAGGATCACCGTGTTATTCCGCAATGCATCAGCTAGGTGCTGTGCTCCTTTGTCTCCCATTTGATTCGAATCCAGACGTAGTGTCGTCAGTGTCTGTTTGAAAAGCGAATATCGTATTATCACAGAGACGAGGAGAGACTGGCGCTCACTGTGTTATTTTGCAATGCATCAGCTAGGTGCTGCATTGCTTCGACTCCGATTTGATTCGAACCCAGATGTAGTGTCGTCAGTGTCTGTTTGAAAAGTGAATATCGTATTATGATAGAGACGAGGAGAGAGTGACGCTTACCTTGTTATTTCGCAGGGCATNTAGTGTCGTCAGTGTCTGTTTGAAAAGCGAATATCGTATTATCACAGAGACGAGGAGAGACTGGCGCTCACAGTGTTATTTTGCAATGCATCAGCTAGGTGCTGAAATGCTTCGACTCCGATTTGATTCGAACCAAGATGTAGTGTCGTCAGTGTCTGTTTGAAAAGTGAATATCGTATTTATGAGAGAGACGAAGACAGACTGGCGCTCACCTTGTTATTTCGCAATGCATCAGCTAGATGGTGTACTCCTTTGTCACCTATTCGATTCGAATGTATAGTTAGCGTCGTTACTGTCTGTTTGAAAAGTGAATGTCGGTTTATGAGAGAGAGGAGGAGAAAGCGGCGCTTACCTTGTTATTTCGCAATACATCAGCTAGGTGCCGTACGCCTTCGTCTCCGATTGGATTCGAATGTAGATGTAGTGTCGTCAGTGTCTGTTTGAAAAGGAAACATCGGATTATCACAGAGACGAGGATAGACTGGCGCTCACGCTGTTATTTCGGAATGCATCAGTCAGGTGTCGTGCTCCTTCGCAACCGATTTGATTCCGACCTAGATTTAGTGTCGTTAGTGTCTGTTTGAAAAGTGAATATCGTATTATGATAGAGACGAGGAGAGAGTGACGCTTACCTTGTTATTTCGCAATGCATCAGCTAAGTGATGTACGCTTTCGTCTCCGATTTGATTCGAATGTAGATGTAGTGTCGTCAGTGTCTGTGTGAAAAGTGAATATCGTATTATGAGAGAAATGAGGAGAGACTGAGGATCACCGTGTTATTTCGCAGCGAGTCAGCTAGGCGTTGTACCTCTTGCTGTGCAATTTGATTGTGAAACAGTGCTAATGTCGTTAGTGTCTGTTTGAGAAGTGAATGTCGTATTATGAGAGAAACGATGAGAAACTGGCGCTTACCTTGTTATTTCGCAATGCATCAGCTAGATGCTGTACGCGTTCGTCTCCAATTTGAGTGAAACCCAGTTTTAGTGTGGTCAGTGTCTGTGTGGAAAGTGAATATTGTGTTACCAGAGAGACCAAGAGAGAAGGAGGGTTATAGTGTCATTTCGTAACGCGTCGAGCGGATTAATGTTAAGAAGATGTAGATGTGATACAAATAGGGTAATGAGAAGATTCAATCTGAGTTTTTGGTTATCGGATGTTCTTACTCGGAGATTTGGTTGCTATATTTTCGGATGACGGAATGTGAACAAAGAGTTAGTGATATTGATAGAAAATCCGGTTTGTTGTTTTTAGACATACCCCAAACGCAAACCTTCTTGAAGTCGGTCGAGCTCAGTGAGGAATGAAGAAAAGGAGCAGTTGTCGTCGAGCAAAGGATAGTGGATAACTATTGAAGAGAGAACCAATAATAGGATAGTGTATGTGTGGCACTTTAATTTTAAACTGCAGTTTTTAAAGTGAAGTTAAAGTGCCACCCCTAGGATAGTATTGAAGGCGTTTCGAAAATTTTCGGCCTGGTTTTATTAATCGGGCGAGCAGCATTGTACCTCGTTATTTTTACCAATTTTTTTTGTATTTTGTCACAACACAATTTTCGCACACGATGTCTCCCCCAGGAGTATTTTATGAATTTTTTGATATATCGCATATTTAGCTAGCAAATTATTTATCTTTATGAATACAATAATTATGAATCAAGAACCCACGATAAATTCGTATCACTACATCAAAGAAAGTTGAATCAATTTTTTCTGGTGGTGGTGATAAACGTTGTACGTCAGTAGCTGGTATGAATAGTATTATATTGCACAGAAAATATTACGTTCGATTTCATGCATATTGTATGCTGAAACCATGTACCAAAACTGATGAAACGCTGTAGTAGAATTTATCGAATGATGTTAATCACATTGATTTCATTTTGTGGTCTACTCGTATTCCGCATGATGTTGATGC